CGAGAAGGGATGAGGTGCAGAGCCCAAGTTGAGCAGCCGATGGCCAGTGCAAGAGTTCGCGGCCCGACGAACGGGCAAGCGTGTCTGTGATTCATTAATAACAAGTTGAGTTTTTCATCCCACCGATATTCCGTCGGTCCGGAAGCAGCCCATTAATTTTGTGTGTGTGCGCCTCTATCGTATCCTTTTCCAATGTTAATCTCCTTACTCTGCGTGTTCTCCTAGTTATATGTTATTATTATGCAAGTGGTACCGAGCAGGCTCTAAGTACAACAGCGCCGCACCGTACGCACCCCACAACACTCGAGGCTCTGATGGAATCACTAGCCGCGCCTCCATGCTCCGAGTTTGCCCGTGTCATTGCTCGTTATCGAGAGTGATTAGCAAATTATCGGGAGTTATGGGGGGAGGGAGATGCTGAGGGGAAACTCCTCCTCGCCCATGCAGCAATCCGAGTCTCTTCTTTGCGAAGTCCCCGTAGGATGTAGCGGAGCATCTGCGAGATCGGGAGACCCTCGAAGCCCCGCATGTTCCGCCCGAGGATGGTGCCCACGATGCGCTGGGATGAGCTCTAATCCTTGAGGTACAAAACAGGATCCCCGAAACTTACCCGGAGCAGGGAAGAAGTCCGTCGGCACGTTCCATGGAATGTTCTCTTGCTGATCGATGGGAGGGAGGGGTGCGGAAACGGAGAAACTTCCTTCACAGCGTAATGGGTGCTCCTCCGAGCGTTATGAGTAATTTCGGTTCGAGAGCACTTATCACACTGGAAATGATGGTGCCTGCGCGGAGCGTTCCCATGAAAAAACCTCAGACGGTTCCCTACGACGCGGCGGTAACGATCCGCTGTTTCTGTAGCTGTCCGCGGGCCGTAATGAAACGGGACTATTTCCGAGAGCAAATGAATATGAATTCTCCTGGGCTGCCATGAAGCCGTCGGCGGCTGAACTTTTCTCTTTGTCAATTCCTCACCCCTTTGAGCTCTTTTTTGTTCAGCTTCGAAAATTGAAAAATATTAGGGAATTCCGTCCGTTCGAGAGCTCTCGAGCAGTGGATTCTCTCGATCAAAGACTTGCTTTTGTTTTCTCTCGATGTTCTGACATTTTCCCTTCCGCCATTGTTCGCCGAGATCTCTTGTCAAGCATAAGGACATCCTCGACAAATCTGTCTAGTCTTCTCGGAGAAAACAATTCTAAACAGGAATGTTCTCCCTCGTCGGAGCAGCTCGTCTTTGCTGGGAATTATCCAGCGAATTTCCCCTTCGAAATCTACATCCCCGGTAAACCGTCATACGATGAGAACGGAAGCCGTGAATATGGAAGTCTCGAAATGTCCGTTGATCAATTCCGGGGTCGATCGGATGCCCTCATTACAAAAGCTCTTTTCGGAAAATCCGAAGATTTTCCGCGATGTTAAGAAGTTCCTAGAGAACGAAACTCGCTCACATACAGAATTCTCCGGTGGATCCACGGCTTCTCTCAGGTCGGAACGTCTGGCTGAGAATTCGAGCCCATCCCATTGCCCCAGAGAAGACATCGTCCGCATGAGCGGTCGAAATCTCACACGCGACGGACACCTACTGTGTCTCGCAGCCTCCGGCTGAATTGAAACAAATTTGTAAACACAAAGGAAAACTTTTTGGTCGTATCTCTGGGCTTTCCTCCAGCTCATTTTTTCTCTGTTCAGATGACAACTGAGCTACGTGTACTCCCCATGTGCGTGGTTGCTGGAGTTTTTCTTCTTGCTCGAAGCTTTCTTCGGGGTTTTTGGCAAGCCTTGTCGGAGATATCTTCTCGGTTGTCTGATGTATGCCAGCAAGCACTTTGGTGTGTTCGCTTCGTTCGTCTGTTCGACTGCATTCCACCGAGGAGAGCGCTGGGACTCGGACGGGAAAAGCGGGCAGCGGAGGAGGAATAGCGGAAGAAAAAGAGAGTGTTCCTGTTGTTCTGTCCGTAGTATTGTTCCTAATGCAAAAGGTTCGCTTCTTTTCGCGTTGCCTGGTCGGCATTTCACCCTGCATCGTTGCCTCGACGGAGGAGCGGGAGCAACGACGGACGGACGGGCGAACGGACGGACGGACGGACGGACGAAGAAGACGACGACCGAGGAGGGGCATGACAACTTCCAGACACCCACACACACCTCGGTTTCCATCGCGAGTTTCGCAAATTGGTCTCACCGACTACTCGAAGAACTCGTAGACAACGTAGCTGTGGCCGTTGTCCGGGTCGTTGTTCTCACGTGTTTTAGCTGCAAGCGCCGCCCATCGTCCCCGGTGCAGTTCGCGACTCAAAACGACAGCAGCGAGTAACTCGACTGGACAAAACGTCCCCCCGCTCCCACGTCATTCGCGCTTCCTCGCACATCCCCACGTCTTGTTTTGGAGTCCCCCTCCCTCCGGGCCCGAAAGAGTTTTCCTCAGCTCCATCCCGGTCGCAGCTCGAGGCATCTCTCCTCGGTAGAGCTCTTTTTTCATATCGTTTTCAGGGAAAGGAATCTTTGTCCTGAAAACACCCCGGGCCGTTCCACTCTCCGAAGTAGCTGGTGAGCGGCAGATAGACGAGCCGGATGCTCGCCGTATCCCGACCCGTTCGACTGTGCAGCGCGCGACTTTCGTGTTATTTTTGACATGCCGTGGTGCTATATTTTCCAACGAAGCTCGTTCCTCTGCGTTCTCTCAGTACTTCCCCACCAAGGGAAATTATCATTCACGCGCGTCAGACTGAAGCCTTCCAACTGGATACGTCGCAGGAAACCCCATTCTTCCCTCTGAAATATCACGTTGAATATTTTTCCGAGACGAATGATTTCACCAGCAATAAATCGGAGAATATTCCGTGTGGCTACCGCTTGGGCCGGTTCCAGGAACTTCGGGGCCCCCTCTCGATACACTGCAGGAGCCAACGATCCCTATCTCATTGTCTGTCGTCATCTACGTCAATTTTTTTTCTGGGATGGACATGCGTGCAGAGCACGTCGTGTGACTTCCGCTCTCTGTTTGCTCGTAGCTCCCGTGGGTTGCCGTCTGTGCTTTCCTGGTTTGTTGTCCAGGCAAGCGGGATGCCCGGGGCTAAAAAGCGACCCTTGCCACGTAGACGTCAACTGAAAGCCTACAATGTCAGTGGAAGAGAGCGCGTGCGGACGAATGCCACAAGAGAGGGAGAAAAAATCCAAAGCCGGCTTTTTCCTCTCAATCTCCTGCCCGCCCGCTTGCCTGCCAGCCAGCCCGTCGATCTATCTATCCGGCCATCAATGCAGCCGACCAGCCATGCGTTCGAGTCTGGACGTTCGCAGTTGCCGGTCCATAGATCGACGAACGCTTGATCTGATCGGGTCAGTCGTCCTGACACTAGGGTCTCTCAGGTCAACGGAATACTGCCCGCCCGGCACTGGGGCTTCCTGTCCCGGGAATTAGCCCGAAAAACGCTCATCTTGGATCCGGATCTGCACGTCATGTCGGCTTATGGCACGGTGCTCGTTCCAGGCACGGGGATGATGCATCGAGCGAAAGAATTCCTTTCTCGGGAGCGAATCTCTAGAGGAAAAAATCCTCTTCGAAAAAGCCAGGCGAGGAGGAGTGTTGTTTGAGGATTTCACTCCAGGGTAGTGGGTACGATCTGAGCCAGGACCATACAACTTCTCGAAACTCATCAGATGTTCAGCCAGCTCTCAGACGGCGGGACCGGCGGCAGCAGCAGGAGCAGCAACAATCGCACCGGAGACGACCACAAGTGCGGCGACTGCTTTTGAAACAGCGCTCTTCCCGGAACGATCCATCAAAACACCTTGAAAAATCAACTGCGATGTACCCTCCGAAAGAATTCTCGCTGCGGCAGAGGGAATGCTCAACACCATTTGCGGAAGTTGCGCAATAATTATGCCCGAGCAGCTATCATCAGGGAAGACGAAATAAATTTTTGTTGCTTGCTCTACGTGGCAGCTGCGCTCCTTGTGGTATCTCTTATGATATTCGATAATCTCTATTCCATCTCACTCTCGACGTGAGCGGAGGATCGCTAGAGGAAGACGCGTAGGTGATAGCGATTTTTCATGAACCTCTGAGGAGCTTGGTTGGTAGACCGGCGGACGGAGCAGCTAGTCGACAGGCGAAGTGGGCCGCTTCGAAGTGGCCCTGGCCTGATTTGACATGAAAGCGAAGAGAACAAAAAGCCACAAAGAGAGCTCGAACACGGCAGAGATTGTGGAGAATCTCCGTCTCTTGAGCGCAGTGACTAATGACAGTTATGATAACGAAGATAAAAGCTCTAACCCGAATCTTCCCGTGGACTCCTGGGCGATGGTGGCGCTTCGCTAGCGGTGTCAGAGCTTCTCGCGAGCACTTTGCTTCAAGGGAGAGCTTTGGGCCACGATAGCGAGAGGGAATCGCGGAGTTGGGTGGGGAATTTCGGATGAGACGCACATGAGGAGCGGATTAAAAGCGTCGACCCTGCCATCGTACAACTACCCCGTCTAAAAACAACACTCGAAGCTTTTGAGTGGACCGCGGAAGATAAGGCGGACGAGATAAAGAGTGCGAAACAACTACATAGCCTGATGCCGAAGAGCTCCTCTATCGATCCCAGTGTATGGAGAAAAACATTTCCCGTCTCCGTGAATATCTTGCGAGGCGTTCTCCACCCGGAGCTTCTCCGATTCAGGCAACTTCTTCGTTGAAACGGAGGAGCACGATAATCACTCGGATCCTACAACGAGTATTGGTGGATATCGCGATCGATTCAGAAGAGGCATTCTTAGTTTTAAACTCAATTTATTATATCTTGCGGTAGATACTACCACTATCATTTTTAAGGGTATAAGTTGGAGTTTCATCAATCCTCCAATGAGTTAAAGCTTTCGGACTGTTATCGTGTGATTGCGCTCATAGGAACGCTCTACCTAGATTGGATATAAGAAGTAAACACGGTAGACGACGTATTCACGTGACCAGACTATCGGTGTGTATAAGTTTCTGCCCAAGAGGGCGGCCGACAAGCGAAAATTCGATTGCCGGTAAAGCTTTTCGACTGTGATTGAACTTCGATTCCCTCTCCTCCGGACAACTCCTGTAGCGAGTCGATCGGTCGATGCCTAACTTGGTGCAGCGAAAGAGTTCGCTTCGTTGTAGATCTCGGGTCGTGTGATGATCTCGGCTTTGGTGGTCTCGGCTGATGATTTCATGCTCGATACTTCTTACCAGTTCTCTTTTCGAATTCTAAACGTTTCCGACATCCCACACTCAAGGGAAGAATTCGTTGTCCAAGCTCATCACGATTTACGATCATCGGGACTGCCGGAAGAGTCTTGCGGGATCTCGGAGGGAATACCAACACCTGGAGGTATGGGTAGACCTCCGAGGCCGCTCTGGTATGCGACAATCCTGCGGAGTTCCTCGAGAGCTTTCGTTTGCATGAGAATGTAGTTTTTGGCGAGTAAGAGGGTGGCGATTTTGGATAGCTTGCGCACAGAAGGCGAATGAGCGTAGGGTATCACTGAGCGTAGTTCGTCCAAGGCATCATTGAGGTCATGCATCCTTCTACGTTCACGAGCGTTGATACTCAGTCTCAGAGAGCGGCTTCCTTCACGCGGATCTTCGAGCGCGCGCCGTTTGCGAGTCGATCCACCGTGCACTAAGCCAGGTGGACCTTGGTTCTCCTCACCTGCACCACCTGCAAGCATGTCAGAGTTCATACGTCGTGGATAAGCCTGAGTGGATGATGCCGAGTGGCTCCCATGCGGAAAGCAGAAATGGTAGAATGCGGGGAAAAACGAAAGGAGCATAGGAACGCCCCGCTACAAATGAACTCGTAATTTCTCGGCCCCGGACTGGTTCGGTTTTTTTGAAATCTCTCCTTAGGGTGGGGAGAGGGGAGTTCCCCTCCCGATATTCTGATTTTGTGGAGGGGGCTAACGACCTTGCGAATGGAAGTCGAAGGTACGACGATTGGCCGGGAGCAGTTTCTCGCCGACCGCCCGCTCAGCAGATCTCGCTTCATGGTCTTCGTGGGTGTGACTGTTCGCCGTGACAACTGCTCCGGTACGTGGGAGCGATTCGGAAGCAGAAAACATTAGACTCGAAAAAGAGGAGCGGCAAGAGGCTCTAGGGTGGCAAGAGAACAAAGGAGGCGAGCAACGACGAACGAGGTCTTTCATGAATGGGCAGCGCTCCGCAAAGTCACTCGGCGTGAAGCGACGTGGGATTCGGGAGAGTGGATATACATACTCCTCATCCCGCTGTTCCGTCGCAGCGGATGTGGTGGGTCAAAGCGAAATTAGCGAAAAGCCCTAGAGTTTTCAATGGGAGACACAACAGATGGAACGGCTGGCGGAGGCACCGCTCTTAGACCGAATTCACTCGAGTCATCTAGTTGGATTTTCAGAGTTGCGCGTCGAGCTCGCTCGTAGCGGTTCAACGTCAGCCTGACTTGGGAAGAGATCACTTGCCGTGATGAACACGTAGGGAGCTACCGAGAGATAGGGAGTCATCAGGAGAGCAGCAGGACGGAGCGGGCATGTGAACTCCTGCGTCAGGGAAGACGAGGCACGAGGGAGAAGAGGGCTCGGAGATGGGATGGCGGGCAGCTCACAGAGTCGAGGGGACAACCAAAACAGGCGAACAGGGGAGGGCAAGGGGCATGATGACGCCACTGAGGAGGTCGAGTTGAGGGTATAGCGCTCGCAGGTCGCTCACTCGGTCGAGCTAACTGACTGTTGTATTATTCAGCAAGGAGGGACGACTTTCCGGCAGCTTGCTCGGCAAACTGGCTGCCTGGCAGTTTGACTGACTGACTGGCTGACTGACTGAGCGACTTGCAAGGAAGCGAGTGGCGGAGCTTACCTGGCGGCTGCTGCTGCTCCAGTGGGGGCATGGGACCTCCGCTTCGGAAGGCGTCGTGGTCCGGAGGTACGGCCTGAAACTGCGGCCCAAACAGTCCCTGGCCGGAGAACATTGCTTGCAAATGCAGGTCCATTGGGATCTCCCGGATTTGCTGACGAAGCTAGCGGATCGATAGATGATCAACGGCGATCGACGCTCCACCGGGACGGACAGGACCACGACGTCGACGACAACGACCACCACCCGCAGCACCACGAACACCAGAACTACGGTCAAAACAAAAGCAACAACAACGATGATAACGGAACCGCTCGCCCGTTCCCTATAACCGAGACGAGCACGAGTAGACCGAGCCACGGGCGAACTTGGGGAGAATGAGGTGCCGAATGAGGTGCTTGCGAGCTCCCCAGCTCGCTTACGCTTGAATTTGTGAGGGAATTTGGGGACTACGTTGGTGTGTGGTGCGTTCCACGACAGATGGTGCGTTGCCTGCTCCACGGAGTGTGTTGCTGGAGCTCGGTGGTTGAGTCAGAAGACGCGGAGCTGCGGAGCGCGAGGGAGTCCCGCACCACGCGACGAAGGTTCTTGAATGCGGGACGAGTCCCGAACCCGAGTCTCGCTGTCGGGCTTCGCTCCTTGTGTAGGTAGAGCCAGGAAGCCGTCGGCGCTTGCGGAATCGCCCGACTGCCAACGAGCGTCGATTTGGCAATTTCTTCGCGAGGCCGATTCGGAGACACCGGTGGACGGACACCGAGCTATCGGAGCTCTTCTGAAGAGCGAGTTGTTTGACCACGAAGGATCATTGCTAAGGCACTTCATAGTCGAGCCTTCGGACGAAGGAAGGCCAGGCTAGATATTCAGGGGTTTCGTCGTACCGGCGCCGCTACCACCGGGCGAGATTAGTTGAATTATTCCTGTTTATGGTACGTCTCCGCGTTCGGAGGATGCTTTTCCCCGAGAAACAAGCTCTCCCCGAGGAGTCACAGTTCCTCCTTATTGTTGTTGGGCGTTGTCGGTTGGTAGCAGGTAGCGGGCTCGAATGCCATGACTGCCGGCTCGGCGCAGGTGGCGCCGGGTAGGTGTAGATACACCAGACCGACCAGGTGTGGCTTTTCGCATCGGCGTAGCTATCTACGAGAAACACCGTCGGATTCACGATGCGGCTCGACCCACATCACTCGCATAGTTTTATCTCGCGGATTTTCCTCTCGACGTCGTATATATTGATCCTCTCTCATGACTGCGGTAGCAACCGTAGAACTCGGATACGGTAGATTGCGGTGAAGATGTGGCGACAGGTCTAGGCGACAGGACGCAATCTACTCGAATCGAATCCGTACCTGGAGGCGACTCGAGGGATTTTTCAGCCCAGGGTCGAGTAAACGGAATGACGAAAGATCCGTCGAGCGTGGATACATTGGAATTTTCATTGAGAAAATACATCCTGTCTGGCTACTTCGTTCCCCGCTTCGAACGAAGGCCAGGGAGCGTATTATCATTTTTATTAGTTTTTATTTCACGCCAACTCCTCCGGGAAACGCCTTCGAGCTCCAGGGCCCGATCGGAAGAGCGCTGTCTCCGCTGTCTGGATCTGATGCTCCTCATGACATCCCATGGCTCGGCAACAAGTCCGATAGATATCACGTTTCGGGAGAACGACCGCACCGCGTATAAGGCAAGGGCCCGAGTTGTACATCACGACGGCTAAGTGTCTCCACTCAAGAGCCGCTGGGACGACGTAAATCGGGCGAGCTGCGATCTTGCTCATCGCTAGAATGATTGGACGCGGAAATGTTTTCCAGATAATTTTCGAGATTCGTTACTTTTCGGGAATCGCTAGGAGAGACATCTCTCGTTTCCGCCTGTATTCAGCGAGTGCAGACCGGCTTCAGCGAGGCCTCCTCTGTATATGTACGAGCCAGGTTGTCCCACATTCGTGCGTTCCGTTCATGGATTCACAATTAGCTGTGGCTTCGAGGGTAGAGAATATGATATCAACAGTCAACAGGCTGCTAAAGCTATATTCATCCCCTCGTCGGGGTGGCTCGACAAAACAACAGAATTATCCGGGCGATAGCGTATATTATGAACAACGTGTTTGTGAGTGGCTCTGACGAGATGTGCGAGGCTCGTCCCGCTACGCGTGGGGTTCGAGGGAGAAAACGAAACTATGAGTGACGTTGCTCGTTCTTGCATGAACAACCAGCCATGGCTCTCTCCTATGCGATAATTAAATATTCAATTATTATGAAAACATTTTTCGCTAGACACCACAATACTACCAAAGTTCTCGATGCGTCGCCTCGCTAGCAATATTGATCGAAGCCTGCGGTTCCATCAGCGACACTCAAACCGTCCGACGACGATGATCGGGGGAATCGGATATCGTTCATCCGCATTTATGTCCATCCCTTCCTTTCCGATCCACTTCGGTTTTCCACTCCCTCTCACGCAGAGCTTTCTTCGATGGACTTTTTTGGCGCTCCGATCGAGACGACTTACGACGAGAGCTCGACCGTGTGCGCGCCCTTAGCACGAGATTTTCGCATGAATTGCGACACAAGGGAAATTTAATGATACGGTCCTGAATTCGAAAATAGCATTTCCACGGACAACAAACAATCTGACATCGGTGTGCTGTTGTCGCTGGGTCCGCCAGCGCCGACGTCGTTTTCGTGTTCCTTTGAAACGAGGTGACGCTATCTGAAACGATGCAAGCATGACTTCGTCTATTCTCACCCGGGCGAACAAGACCTAAAAATCTCTGCATTCAGAGTGGCTGTGGAGCTCGCGTTCGTCCCCGCACGAGCTCGGTTCCTTTCCTTCCTCGAGCGCCGTCGTCGTGTCGACCTGGGCGAAACAGGCCCCACATCTGCTAACTAAGCAGGCGTATCAATTGGCCGTCCTACCATCCCACCTACCAACCGAGCAGCCCACCGACGGACGGGACCAGCGAGCTGGCAAGCGACGACGGGGCACCAGCCCTCGCTCATTCTCTCTTCACGAGGAAGTGAACCTCAATGGGGAGAATTCGCTCTCTGCGGAGAAGAACTGGAATCCACTCTTTCATTCGTGTGAATAGGTCTCTCGAACGATCCGAACGAAGCGAAAATAAATGTGGGTAGCATGGGCTCCCAGACAACGGCTTCACGTATCGCAGAAAATCTCTGGTTCCGAGGTGGAACTGGCGGTCGGAGGTTCAACGAAGCACGGAGTAGAACTCGGGACAAGAAAAAGAATTCAAACGAGCCCTCTGGCGAAAATATGAAGGGAGCTCTGTTCGCTCGAGAGAGTTCGTAGCAGACCCACTCGTTGTGCGAATTGGAAAATAATGGCAGACATATTTGCGCAAGTGCTGTTTCTCTACTTTCCTCTCCTTTCTTCTCGATTGTTCCCCAATCTTCGTCGCTTCTCTCAGACCAGAAACCCGTCGATGGATGCGTTGTTCTTTCTGAAGTCTCGTACGACTCCCCGAAACTGAATCGGTACGCGAGGATTCGTTCAATCGTCTCTATGTAGACCCCGTCTCTGCTTCGAGGGTTGAGCATCCAGTTGATGCTAGGAGGTGATCCCATGCGGGTGGTAGCACCTGACTCGTGTGTGAGAGGTACAAATTCCCTGTGCGCCGGCTCCGAACTGAAGGGTTGGGGTGGGCACTCTTGATCTCCCCGAGCTTGCTCCTCCATATAGGAGTTTCCTGAAACGTCTCATCGGAAGTTCCGATTCTTTTTGAACAACTGTTAGCTGTCCTCACCGGAACTGGCGAGCTTTTGTTGATCCCTGGTACTCGGCTCCTGAAGGCTTTACGATGATGGGGGAATTCGAATCCAGGAAGAAGAAGAAACAAAGGGAGGACTCCCCGATATCCGGTCGTCTCCCCGCTGCGCCGAGATCTCGGACCAGACGCTCTCTCGAGGGACGATCCGACGGCAGCTGCCTTCACGGCGACCATCTCCACCGCTCTCAGGAGTCATCGGACGAATCAGCAGTATCGTGTCGTGGCCTCTAAACGATATATGTACGTTGCTGATAGTGTCTACGTCACCGAACGGGCGTCATCGCCTTCGGAGGAATAAGCAAGTCTCCGAAGAGCGAGCATCTGCGTCTCCTGTTCGGCAAAGACTCGCAGCTGTGAAGGCATGCGATCCCTCGCTCCTGAAGGTATCTGCCTGAGCAGATCTGTCAGTCAGGGGCTCTCACTGAGCCAGCGGAAGAGACGGACGAGAGCGCGATTCGAAGCCTTGCTATAATGCGTCACATATTACGCCACGGTGCGCTGAGCCGACTGGGATCGTACGACACTGCCTGACAGCGTAACACACGTCGTTCGTTCCGAGCGAAACGTTTTCGCCGGGGCTGCGACGCATGGTGCCATGGGCAAATCGTCCCACGGCAACTAGCGAAAAGAGTGCAGAACGCAGACAGCGATCATTCGCTTGAGGCAATTCCTTGTCAAAATCACACTGAGCGCTTCCAGCGGTTACCTGAGTTGGATAGGGTTCCAAGCGCGTACGCACGTCGGAACGAACCGAGAGTTCAGCTCCCGACAGGCTCGCAGAATCGTTGTGATCGAAACGCTAGACGGTGAGCCGTTCGGAACGAGACGCGTATCTGTAAGGGCAGGAAGCGAACACTCACGGGCGCAGCAGAGTCCAGTGAAACATGCACGCCTCGAGCGTTTTCGCTCTGATGCTGACCCCTCTGAACGTCGCGGTGCTGCTCAGTCGGAATCGGCCATATTCCAATGCCTAATGCTATCAAATCTGAGAAACCTAGGCCATGATCCATTTGGATTATTCCACATTCCGGGTCATTCCTAGGAATCAAGGCCTCGAATGACGACACGGGTAATTTCGTCGGCCACCTCCGACTATTTTTCCCACGGAACCCATCTTCAGCTCCCAACGATGGCCCGCGCCATGGGCGATTGTCTAGAACTTTTTTCGTTCCAATTTCAACTCTTTTCACTTTTTGCGTCCGCTACAAGTGCTCAAAGCCGCCATCCCGTCGGAGAATAGAGTAGTTCGAAGCGCCGTCAACTTGACCATCCGTCGGATTTAGGACCACACCTCAACGCGTTGTGGTCATGCGATTCAAAAATCACGATAGGATGCCCCGACTCAGTCCTCATGCGAAATTCGAGGAAGTAATTCCACAGTCTCGGTATGCGCGGTCGGAACGGTCATTTCTGACGGCCGCTCTCCGAGGAATTCACAAAATCAGGGAAGTATCCCTCCCCGATGGGATGCCGAACGGAGCCCCGCTGAGAGGAGGAGGTTGAAAAGCTCTTGGTTCAGCCCTCTGTCGCCTCGATTTCCGGCGCTCTATGCCCTATCGGTAGATGTGAGATCGAGCGAGGACCGTACGATGGAACCTGCTGGTCGTCGGAAGAAGAAAAAGTTCATTTTGGAATACATTAGTCTTTATTATGCTTGTCTTGGAGCGTTGGGAAGCTTCTCCCCAGACGAGCTCTGTGCATGCGGCATGAGGGTGTGCGTTTCGAGGTTGGACGCGGAGGAGCGCCGTGTCCCCCTTCTGAAGTAACGCAGAGCGCACACTGTCCCATCCGGGATCGTCGGCAGTGGACGCGAGAACGGGAAGACAAGAGACACTCGAGACACTTGAATTGTGAGCAACTAAGCGGAAGAAAACTCCGCAGAACTCCGCTTCTTCCTCCAGCCAGCTGCCGGTAATTAAGGCAGCAACATGTCACGGAAAAGCTGACGTGAGCCTCAAATCTCCCAGTGAACACGCACCGCCTCCTTCACCCCTCACTTGAGTCGTTTCCTCCGCTGCTCGTAGAGAAAAGAGTCTCGAGTGCGACAACTTGCGCCTTAGTTGAATCATCGCTGCTGAGCTCGGGTCGTCTCACTGTACTCTGCCGCGACGAGCCACAACTCATCCGGGTGGTCACTTGCGCGCACTAAAAGTTTGAAAAACAATCTCCGGACTAGTCCAACAGGACAACCATCGTGGAGATTGGAGGGAATGGGGGAGTCAATGGTAGACCAGTCGCAGGAGAAGGAACTTCCGCAAGATAAGAAAACTCGACAATGTTAATGAATGGACGGAATGTGAGCGCGGAGTGCTCCTCACCTCCCCCGGCATCGATTTGAGGGCGAACGAGAGCGAGCTCGTGCGCCGCAAACTGTACCAGAGTGTTTCAAAAAGGAAAAACGTGTCTTTTCCGCACTCCGATGTCACGGATCGCGGATGCTGGTCGTTGTCGACTCGTGATGTTGCTGCTCGAGAGACTTCGTTGAGTAGTCTTCATGCATAATTCACCACAAGGACAATACTCCTCCTTCGCTACTTGCTTGGTTTCTGGAACAGTTGTTGCTCTCTCCCTAAGAGCTTCGAATTCTAAGGGATGGAAGGCGCCGGAGAGCAAACCACAGCCTGTGAACTAACTCGCACGCATGCAAAGTACGGACTTCAAGTTTGCAAGAAACTCTCCTTATTGAAATCGCAGCGAATTTGATTATACACCGCGGGCTCGCGAGTTTCTGATAACGGTTATTTGGACTACCGATGAAGAGACTGGCGTTCGCTACAATCGCTTGGAAGGACGCTCCGTTTGTGCGCCTTCTGGGGAAAAATCCTGTATGCTAAACGAGACGCATGCCTCGGGAAGAACATCACCGGTTTGATTGAATTTTTTCTGACTGTATGATTCTCTCCAGTGTCGCCCGACGGAACACCGTCGGGACCCGGGACTCATGGGAAGCTCATTCTCACCGAGGGAGGAATCGGGTCGAATCGCATTCCAAAATCCCTAGGGAACAGGTGTGCCTCAGCTCTAATAAGTCGGCGGCCCCTGAACAATGGGCCCCAACCCTTGGGTGTCGCCGAGCTCCCACGGGGAAGACCGAGGAAATCGGTGCCACATCTCCTTCATGTGATGGAGTGGCTAAGCAGTGAGTAGTGATAATACGTCATCTTGGACGGATGTGGCGATGTAGCTCGATCTCAAGTCGGCACTCGATGGCACGGTCTATGATCTAGCGCTGCTGGCCAGGTCTCGTCCCAGCCGGAATCACATCGATGATCCTCGTACCATTGAAAACGAGTCGTCTGCGAACTTGCGCGATATATCTCCCCCATCGGTGAGCTGGTGGAGGAGCGTGTGATGGGGTCTCCTTTCCATTCCCGAACTGAGCTCCCGACATACGGGAGCGGAGCTCTGCGGAAGCCGAGTGCGGAGTAAATTGACTTCTTTCAGAAGACCGCGGCATTAATGACGAGAGGAACTGCTATGCCGGGCGCTTTGATCTTTTCCGCGGAACGGAAGCATAGAGAGGCGTTCCCACAGAAGCTACCCCGATCCGCATCGGAATCGGTGATCCGAATTTCGAAATTTCGCCACGCTTCCTTTACCCCACATACATAGAATCGCTACGACCAGAAAATGGCGCCATACCGATACTTATTGTAAACAGGAGCAGGGCTCTGTTTCCCACAATCCCGAATCCGGAGGCTCCAGAATTATGACTAATTTTTCTTGCAGCAGACCTGGACTCCGATTCGGAGGGAACTCCGCGATTGAATCGGAGCGACCTTAGAAACCGGTGCGCGTGCCGGACTTGGGCGACGGAAGTAGTATAAGTTGCACAACCCGCGACATTTTTTGACGGCTCCCCGGACAGAACGAATAGAGAAGAAGCCAGGGAGTTTCAAGTTCGCAATCATGGGTCTGACACGCTAAATCGTTGGTCGATGAACCCCGTCCGGACCTCGTGAGTGACAACCATATAAACATCGGTCGGGACGAGTGCCCTCGAAAGATCTCTATTCCGGACGGATACATTGCGATTCCAGGTTCATGGCGAGAGATGTGTAGGCGAAGATCTCAAAAGGTAGGAATCCGGATCTTGCCTTCATATTCCGGAGATCTACTCGTGGGTCGCTCGGATGCAGGAAAAACCTATCCGTGCACCTCTTCACCATTCCCCGCGGCCGAGAAAAGTCATGTTTTCCAAGATTCCAAGTCCATTCCATCTGGAGCGAGATGGCTCTCATCAACATCCATTTCGGAAACTGCTCGATAGGTAAACGAATAGCATACAGGAACGGGAGATAGGCAAGAGAGCGAGGAGAGGACGTCACTCAGTGCCCTCGGATCACCAACAAACAGCTCCGCATCGCCACCTCAAGACCGTTATCTATACCCCTATTCGTAGAGCAGGAGAACTGAGATAACATCGAAATGGTCGAAGTTCGCTGTGATCACAGCGAGGTCACGAAAGGAATTTTCGATGAATCTTTATTGGTTTTCCAATCCCCGTTTCTCGGGAGCAGGAAGACGCCTTGCGCACACCCAGAAATTATTCCGGCTTGTAAGAGACTCGCTCTCACCACACAAGACCTACTCTGCTTTTGCTGCATTCCTGTACTCCTTCCATTCCTAAAGTGAGAAACATAGTTCACTATTTCGCTCCAGGCCGATCATCCCGCAAAAGGGTGATTCCTTTTGAGAGTAAGAGACGAAACTGTCTACGTAGAAAAATTGATACATGGATCTGGAATACTACATAACGATTATCAGACTAGAATTACTATTGATCGCTGTTTGCGACTTACGGCCGTGATCACGTTTCGATGTTTCCTCGGTCTATCTGCGCGAAAACCTTTGAGGCCGTAGGAAATTCTACGGCTCTGAAAACGGTAGCAATGGCTGTCGGAGACGATCCCTGGCAGAGATTCTCACGAGGAGACGGTCGTGGGGAAGATATCATCGAACAAAGAAGATGTTCGAAGGCTCATCGTGATTCTGAGTCTCTTCATACCTTTGATTCACGAAAGGAGAGACTCTCCAGACGACGCACAGAGAGTCGATAGCGAGCATGAATCCCACAGCAAGTTTACTGCTCACGCAGAATTTATTCAGGAAAACGAGATTTGAAAACCTCTCATTAATAAGCCTTTCCCGCGGGGACTGTCTGATATGAGATGTCGATACTCGCTGAAACCCCCTCGGAGGCTACGCTCGAGGGTAGGATGATCTTCAGTTTTCTCGCTGAGGATTCGGGGGAAGAGGCTCGAAGATCTCTGAAGAGCGAGCTCTTTATCGACGGCCATCAGCGACTCACAGTATTTTCCCGCCAATGTGCCTGTGTGCTAATTGTACGCTTGTACAACTGCTCAGGAAACCGGGCAATTTTGCGCGTGTCTATGTGAAATGCGGCAGATCATATCCAGGTTCGATCCTGGGTCATCCTGGCGTGATCCGCCGTGATCCGACGTAGTCTGATGTGGTCCGTCGTGATCAAGATAAGATCGATGGTTGATCTGCCGTGATCCGGTGCGGCAAAAAAACAGAATTGAAAAATGGCGTATGGCGCCCGATTCCGGTCAAACTTCAAGCAAAGATCATAAGCATGAGTTACGTCACCCTCTCTCATCGAAAGATTCTCCATTTTTGTAGAATTTCACCCCGCGCACTTCTTTCCCGCTTTTCTCATCGACTCGAAATCCGTACAATAGCACGCTGTCCCGAGCAAACGCACAAGCGAACAGAAGTACGCCGTTCGAAGCGTAAAAAGTACAAAGTGGATCTCATGTCTACCCAGCAGACAGGCATCAGCCAGATGCCGGATCGCCGATCTATCTCTTCGTGCCGTACCGGTAGATTTCAACCCTATTTTCGGCTGCTCCGAGCTCTCTTCTTTTCACCCATTCCCATTTCCTATACATGTCCCGGCTCTGAAGAAGACCCTCTCTCGAAACGGCTGTTGTGGTGACGCTGTGAGAGCTGCGCCTACGGCTTGGTGTGTTGCTGGCTGCTTTTGGCTGGCTGGCTAGCGAGGAAGTCTAACAAAGACGACGACGACAGTCACCATCGCCGCCGCCTGCAGTAGTGTATAGGCGATTCCATCGAGGCTAGTCCACGCGTGATTGACCATTTTCACAGGCGTCTCTATAGCTGGAAACAACTCGGAAAGCTTAGCCTCCACTACGACGGCACAATGTTGCTCACAGTCAATGTCAAGTGTTTAACCAACGAACTTTTCACCATCGAGATCGATGATGACTGCACGGTGAGTAGGCCGCCGCCGCCGTAGACACTCGCGAACAGCGGGATGAGTCGGCACCTTTCGCTGACTGTTGTCCGTTTCTGCCGTTATACGATCGTTATTAGAGCAGCTTGTTCGAGCGAAGGTTGAACGATCGTTTCGGTTCGATACGAGCATCGGTTCGGCGGCACACCGCACGTACCTGGGCGGACAGATGGGAGTAGAACAGGGAAAGATGCATGATGCCGCCGAGAAGAGAGAGTTGTCGAAATCAGTCGATCAAGTTAGGTAGCCTCATTAGCGATTCGATGTTCGAGTGGAACACTTAGGAAGACGAGTAGGGACTCGTAATAGCGTTCGATAGCAACCGGGGTGGGGAGCTTCTGTATATTTTCGGCGAGAAGGAATCCCGGCTTTCGGCTGCAAGATCGATAATCGACTCGTTCACTCGTCGAACTTGGATAAGAATGGTAAGATGGAAACAAGAATCCGTCGAGAACCCGGCGTCTGATAGGTTTCAAGCCGGCGCCCCATGACAACATGAGTCGACGGCTCTACCGGCTTCGATTGCGGGCCGTCAGAGCGGTATCTGGGAGCTCCCCACCGCGTATCGGGCCATAGCAGCATTCCAAGGGAAACTGAACAGGACTCGATCCTGGGAGCGACGCGCCGTTCGCCCTCTAACGTGCTCATGTCGGCGAGGGAGCTCTCCCGGCGCGTAGAATCCGGGAATATTGCACATACCTATGCCCTGTTTCTCCACTCCTCTTAAAGACGTCGCCTAAACATTGAATTCCGAACTTTTCCAGGTGAAAGATATGAAAGAAAAAATCTCGGAGATCAAGGGAGCAGCCTTCCCGGCCGTTCATCAGAAACTAATCGCTCAAGGCAGGATCATGGCCGATCAAGATAAAGTGAAGACCTATGATCTCAAGAGCGTGAAATTTGTCGTTATAATGGTTTCGAAGCCAGCCACTGGTGCTCAGCCGGGGGCGGCGTCTACAGAACAGCCCGCTGCTCCCGCCGCGGCCGCGGAGGCGAAGCCGGTCGAGTCCCCAGAAGAAAAACCGAAAGAAGGTAAGATCACTAAACTTCCCGAGGGATCGAGCTCATGAATCTCGAGGTCCTCGTCCCAGAAGCCGCTCGTTGCGTCATAATCTCCGATTTCGTTTTCAGCTGGTACTCCCACGGCGACCCGACCGTCGACCACGACGCCGAGCACAGATTCGAGTGCCGGTAATGAGAGCACCCTTGTTGTGGGCGAGCAGTACAAGCAAATGGTGGAAAGCATCACCGAAATGGGCTATCCGCAAGACCAGGTTGAGCGGGCTCTCCGGGCTTCGTACAATAATCCTGACAGAGCCGTCGAGTATCTCGTAACGGTGGGTTGGACGACGTGAAGCTCGAATTCGGGACAATATCGAATGGCTCGATCAGATCGTATCAGCGTCTAACAATCCACGATCACCTCACAGGGCTTTCCCCCGGAAGAAGAAGAGGCTCGAGCCGCGGAGAACCCTCGAGCGCCGAGACAACCGGGAGCCGGAACCCAGGGTGACCTCAGCTTCCTCCGCAATCAACCGCAGTTCCAGCAAATGCGGAACGCCATTCGAGATAACCCTGCCTTGCTCGATACGATCATTCAGCAATTGGGCTCGAATAATCCGGATCTTCTTCGTTTGATCACCCAGAATCAAGATGATTTCATGCGACTCCTCAATGAAGAGGACGACGCTGCTGAAGGCGCGCTGCCTGAACTGGGTGAGGGTGCACCAGCAGGCGGTCCTCTGGTGATAGAGGCTCACGTCACGCCGCAGGATCGGGAGGCTATCGAACGATTGAAAGCACTCGGTTTCCCTGAGCACCTTGTTGTCGAAGCGTACTTTGCTTGCGACAAGAACGAAGACCTCGCGGTGAACTTCCTCCTTCAGGATGATTGAAACACACTGATCCCTGACGACGCAACAAGAGGAAGGAAACTAGGTTTTTTCGGGAAACTGGGATGCTCTGGACTGCTTCTCTGCACGATATGGGAGCAGGCGTGTGTATATTTGGTGGAAATGCAAAAGATGTCGAGGAACCGTCACGGTGTTGAGGAAAACCATGAGCTAAAGAAATGTTATGATTTGATGAGAGGAGACACCATAGAATAAAAGAGAGTCAAATCGATCAGCATCTGCCCTCCATCATTACGGACCGCCTATATCTTGGACCCTCAATGTTTTCGAGACAAGAGGAGAAATTCGCAGAAACTCCTCGGGATATCGGAATATCGCTATTTGGCGATTCCACGAAATAGAGAGCTACTCCTCGAGCCTCGTCAACCTGAAACTGTTTTCCTCTTCGGGATGCAACAGCGAGCCTCCCTCCAGGAGGGGAGAAGACCTCGATCCGGGATCCTGCGAAGTGGGATGACGGTCATTTCGCGAGCCGCCATCAGTGGAGGACCGCGACCCGGGATCCCAAAGGAGCGGGATCGCGGTCAATGGTGAAAGACCGCGATCCCATTGATGTCGAGCACGGATCATTATCGCCAGCGTACGTTGAACATTTGTCTGCAACCTCTCACAAGTCTCGACCGGCCTTCTTTTTGAGATACTTCATTGGCTGTTTGTCTCCCCGGGTTGTTCACCACCTTTTAGGACAAATGCTAGAGTCGTGCCCTCCCTCTGTGACACAGGTGCGCGCTCCAGCGCTCCTGCGAAACCGGGAGTTCGAACCTGAGCTCAATCTGCTCAGGGATACATTCCGCGACCAGTTGTGGCCACATTCGCCACTGAATTCAGGTGAGATTTCGGTCTTATTCCTCTTCGATTATCAGTTAATGATGATGTGAGCATGAGGCGGCCGAAAGTTCCTAACTGTCCTTATCACGACCTGGAATTCACCCACGATGCCTTCAGCTCCCGCTGCCGGCGGCCTAGATCACTTCGGACGTACTAATGGATCCCTGAGCCATACAACCTCGTCCACTAAACATACGCTAGACCGACCCCCTTTTTCTCTGGGAACCATCGGATTGACTCTGTGTCCGGATGCCAACAAGGTGACCCCGCAGCCCCCTCTTGTTCAATTTGGTTCTTCAACTCCTCCTCCGGGAGCTCAGGAGCAAACTGACAGTATCGTTTCTCGACGACTTGGCACTCACCGACGCTCACCCGGCAGCAATCGGAACCGATCTCAGGATCGTAGCAAACTCGTGCGACAAATGGTCTCACGATCGCCCCTTGAAATCACGAAATCTTCCACCCGTTACCCGTCTAGAGCCCCTCCTGGCCTGGAGGAGTATTTCACTCAGTCAGACGGGTCCTCCCTCCTCCTGCCAAGCATCCGCAACGAAGAACCTCTGCGCTCGATGAGCGGTGACATTTTTTCTGGGGGCCCTTCTTCACCAGCACTGTGCAGCCCAACCGAAGAGCTATCCTGGATGCAGTCCCGTCTTCCTCTCGTGAGCTCTCAGGCAGACTATTCCGTACTGCGCCACTCGCTACATACACCGAGTGAGATAGCGAGTGAAATGCAGCGCAGGCACAACTCCCGGTCAGATTGGGTGGTCTTGGTCTGACTGAGAGATGCCGGATCCCTGGAGCTCCTGAATTTCTTGTCGTCCACCTATGCCTGCCGGGAACTAGTGGAGAGCCTCGTGGGCCCGAACATCACCCTGGAGTACTCGATTCGTTGCGTCCTCTCCACAGCTCAGGCCCCAAAGCGGCTCCTAGTTGCCCGCGAGACCCGATGAAAACCTAGGCATTCTACTTCTGTACCGTGAGTTCAGGGTCTCTTGCGCTGAAGAACTCGGTCTAAACCTGTTTCCCTCCTTGGGAGACCAGATGATATGAGATTCGACCAGATGGTATGAATCTGACCTCCTGATGCAGGGGCAGAACCAATGCGGCAAGCCACGCAGCTCGTTCAGAGAGTCGAGTTTTCACAGGTCCATTTCGCGGTCAACTTTCCGGCTACAAATCCACTCACGCGGCTTCCCGCTTCCGCTGGGTGTCTCGACCGAGGTTGAATTCGCAAGTGCTTCTGGTATCTTTCTGAGCTCATTCCAGCGACTAGGCGACCTGTTGGAGGCTCTACCCAGGAGGTCTCTCGTTTCGCAACGGCTCGTATGCCCTCCGCTCAGCCATGAGCAGCGTTGGTGACGGCGGGGAAGACGAAGATGAGCCTACTCGTAGATATTTCTGGGATCGTTCCGGGATCTTTCGAGTTGTTTTATGATGTTGGAATTTTTATCCCGAATCAGGACAGCGGGGTTATCGGGATTCGATTAAAGAGGCAGGAGGTGCACGAATTCTTATGAAACATCGCTCGACCTCACGCGGGCGACGAAGATCGAGACGGTTAAATTTTCAAAGTGTTCATGTGTATCACCGTGCTTCTGCGGCCGGCTCCCATCGTACATTCTATTCGCAATTCTGTTTCCGATCCACTCTCACTACGGTCCCAGCTCATCGGAAGCGTACGGGAGGAAAGGAGTCCGAAATGCTGCGACTCGCGAAGGATGAAGAATTGTCCCATAGGCAGATTTCATGCACGTCGAAAACTGCTCTTCTCGAATCTATCGACGTATTCGCTCAAAAATATCGCGAAACTCTTCATTGGAGCTCAAGAAAAGAGGATCAAGCCCTGCTCATGGGTGGGAATCGATCCACGAGCGAGCGAGGATTCGGAGCCCCCAGATCTCATTGATCTCATATCTTGCATCGGCGCGATTTCTAGGAAATCGGATCATCAACACGTTTCCGTTGAATATCTTGTCACGTAGGGGAAGAGCCATTAGGAAATGAACGAGGTGGCCGTTCCTATACATCGCCGGCTTGGCCGGAAGGAGCTCAAGGAGCAGTCTAGTCAATAGCTCTTTCCGGCCGCCCTAAAGACTGGTCAGTGAAGCCACACTTCTCCTCCGTGCCTCTGTTGTCCCGGCAGAGACCAGAGACACAGGCGGCTACTTCTGCGCTCAGTCAGCTGTTCACAGATCTAACTTTTTGCTTGCGTAGTAGAATCTGGCCGAAAAAAATCTTCGCCGTAAATTGGCCCCTTCCTCATGCTCACCTAAGGACCCAAGGCTCCCAAAATGAAGGCGAAGTTCACGTCAGCCGATATAGTGGCGATGGTTGGCGAGCTCAAGGCACTAGTGGGCATGCGAGTAAAGCAGGTGTACGACGTGGACTCCAAAACCTACTTGTTCAAACTCGTCAGACAAGAGGTACGATATCGTCGAGCGGTTCTTCGATCATGGATCACGTTGAGTCCGAAATCGTAGTGAGACGTCACGCAAAGATAATCCTAGGCTGATCCCTCATGATGGAGGACCAGAGGGTCTAGACTCAGACGAGGAGTGCTTTTCAGGAGAAAGCCGTATTGATTTTCGAGTCTGGTATTCGAATTCACACGACAGAGTATGATTGGCCGAAGGGAATGGCTCCGTCTGGATTCTCGAGCAAGCTCCGGAAACATTTGAAAAATAAACGTCTGGCAACAATCTCGCAATTGGGAGTGGACAGAATCGTCGACCTTCAGTTCGGTGAGTGGATTCTACGGATCTATACGATCTCCTCCCAAGTACGCGATGGTCTTGGTGGTCATCTCGAGATAAGGACACGAATACTGACTATCCTGATTCGAGCTTCCTTCATTCTAAATATCGAGAATTTGAATTCAAGGAATCAACGAAGCCGCTAATCATGTTATCGTTGAGCTGTACGATCGGGGGAACGTTGTTCTCACTGACAATAATTTCATCATTCTCAACATTCTACGGCCCCGCCAAGCGGGCTCTGAGGATGTGAGATTCGCTGTCCGCGAGAAGTATCCTATCGCTGGCGCCATTCAAGAAGTACCCGAACCCTCACAACAAGATGTGATCGAGTGGTTGACCGCAGCTAAGGAAACCGATACAGTGAAGAAGGTGAGCCGCGTGAGAGAACGTCTCGTTCGTTCCGCGTTTATTTCGAAGCAATTATAGCGAAGTTTTCCGGCGTATACTTTTCATCGATAAATCTATACCGCTCAGCCTTGAGTTTTTTTGAATTCAAATATCGCAAGCGACCTTCGTCGATGATTGCTTTGACCATGAATCCGATCTGTCGCCTCCTTTCTACACTGAGGCCGATGCTCTGGTATCGGTTTTGTTTGTCGGGGTCCTCCACGGAGCTCTCGGGCTCTTCCTTCGCCTTTGGAGCAGACTCCTCCATCGTGGTCTCTGGAGCAAGTCCAGATCCTGCGGTTTCGTCGGTTTTCGAATCGACTCCGAGTGGTGTCCCCTCCGAGATCTGAGGGGCTTTGTTCCGTCGAGTCCTTCCTTCCCGGACTGCAAGAAGAGAGTGATTCATTAGGAGAATGGAGAGAGAGTGATCCATCATGCTTAACAGGACTATATTCTTCCCCAGATCATCGTCCCAAAAGTGTTCTTTGGCCCCGCCGTTTTGGAGCATGTTCTGCTATCCCGCGAGATCTCCGCCAATACTAAGCTGAGGAAGGCTGTCTTGACCCCGGACTTCTTCAAAAGCATCCACAGTTCCATTGTCGAGGGCAACGCCTTCCTCGAGAAACTGAAGCAGCCCGACCTTTCCACTGGGTGAGGAAATCGCTCTAGGAGTTCAATGAAGCCGAAGGAGCTCTGTGCCGAAAGTCCGATACTAACCTACTCGTCTCTTTCCCCAGTATCATCAGCCTGAAGGTCGAACCCAGAGTGAAGGCTGCTGAGGATGGAAGCATGGAGATTGCTTCGTACAACGAATTCCACCCATTCCTATTCAAGCAATTAGAGGGAAGTCGCGTGGAGCATTTCGCCACATTCGGTCAGGCGGTCGATGCCTTCTTCTCAATGCAGGAGCAACAGAAGATCGATCTACGAGCTCACAATCTCGAAAAAGAAGCGGTCAAGAAACTAGAAAACGTCAAATTGGACCACGAGAAGCGCCTGAACGCTCTGGAAGGAACTCAGAGGACCGACTTGGAGAAAGCAATGCTCATAGAGAACAACCTGGAGCTCGTGGAGAAAGCGCTGTACGCGGTTCGGTCCTTCGTGGCCTCCCAATACAGCTGGGACGAGATCGGGCACATGATCAAGGAGGCCCAACATATGGGCGATCCCGTCGCTTGCACGATAAAAGCACTTCATTTAGACAGAAATCAATTCGGAATGCTCTTGTCGAACTCGTTCGAAAACGATCTCAGCCCATCGGTGGTTGACATCGATATCGATCTCTCGGCCTACGCGAACGCCCGACGCTATTTCGATATGAAGAAGCACGCAGCCCGAAAACAGCAGAAAACAATCGAAAGCTCCGCGAAAGCTCTGAAATCCGCTCAAAAAAAAACGAAGGAGATTCTCAAACAGGTAGAACTCACTACCAATATCGCTCGCACGAGGAAATCGTACTGGTTTGAGAAATTCTTCTGGTTCATATCGTCGGAAAACTATCTCGTTATCGGAGGTAGAGACGCACAGCAAAACGAAGTGATCGTAAAAAAATACATGACCAAAGGCGACATCTACGTTCACGCCGATCTGCACGGCGCCTCCAGTGTCGTCATCAAGAATCCGTCAGGTATTTTCCTCCAGAGCCCAAGATTGTCTCCGAGCTCCCCCTTCCACGACTCCTGGGAGTAACTCATAGATTTCTTTCCGTTTCAGGCGGAGAGATTCCTCCAAAAACTCTCAATGAGGCTGGAACCATGGCGATTTGCTATAGCGCCGCCTGGGAAGCCAAGGTTGTCACGTCGGCCTGGTGGGTACATCACCATCAGGTCACCAAAACGGCTCCGAGCGGAGAATACCTGACGGCCGGATCTTTCATGATACGAGGGAAGAAGAATTATTTGCCCCCTCTGTATCTGATAATGGGCTTTGGCTTCATGTTCCGTCTAGACGAGGAAAGCGTACCCGCGCATCAGAACGACCGCAAGGTAAAAGCTTCGGGCTCAATGGGCCTCGAATTCGGAGAAAATCCGCGCTCGATTCCGGGCTTTGCCTGACGCTCAATTTTCCCTGCAGGTTTGGACCGCCGACGAGACTACCGCGGTCGAGGACAATGCCATCGAGCCGGAGGGCGTGGATGAGCAGAACGAAATCGACGTCAGTACCTCGGAAGACGAAGCCGGGGAGTCGGCTTTTCCCGACACCCAGATCAATCTCATCAACCCGATCGGAAACCTTCGGCAGAACAGTCTCGAGCCGGCGGCCGATGAAGAAATAATCGTTTATTCACAAGCGACGAAGTCGAAAACCACGACGGTTCAGGTCGATAGAAAGAAAGTCAAAGGGTACGTCTTGACTCGACGTAATCACAAAACCATAGCCGGAGTGCAGCAGCTGATGAATGGTTCACTTCCAGGCAGAAGAAAGGAGCCCCACCGCCTGCTGCCAAAGCTTCGGAGGGAGAGCAGAAGCAGCCGAAAAAGCTATCGAAAGCCAAAATGAGGAAAATCAAGCAACGCTACGGAGATCAGGACGACGAGGAGCGAGAACTCCGAATGAAAATTCTTGCCTCCGCAGGGAAACAATCGCAAAACACTGAGACTGAAGAAGGATACGACTGTCGGAGTGGTGGACAGAAGGAAGCGTGCGATGACGAGGATTCAGAGCAGAAAACGACAGATCGGACCCTGCCGGAGAGCACGAAGACGGAAGCACGAACGGAAGAGCAGCAAGACGGAGTGGAAGATGAGGACGACGCAGATGAAGATCTCCCGTCAACCGATGACCTTACTGCCATCTTGAATTCCCTAACCGGAACTCCTCTTCCCGAAGATGTTCTCCTATACGGAGTCCCAGTTTGTGCCCCGTATTCTATCATGACAAACTACAAATTCAAGGTACGAGAGATAGCAGCTTCCATGGAGATTGTATGAATATAAAAGTTTTGCGTTGGCTTGCATGACGTAAGTCGAAACTTTCCCCCGCAGGTCAAAGTGACACCCGGCACGGCTAAGAGAGGGAAGGCTGCGAAAATTGCCCTGAATATGTTCCAACACGATAAAACGGCCTCTCAGCGAGAAAAAGATCTCCTCAGGGTCACAAAAGATCAAGACATTGCGAGGAACATGCCGGGAAAGGTCAAATTATCGGCGCCAAATTTACAGAAACTGCGGAAATGAATCACTCCGAGCACTCAAGCTGTCTCCAAGATGAACTGTTGATAATAATAAAGATAATTATGGTCATCACCGCCGAAGGCTGGCACTCTGTTCAACCCACATCCAGATCCGCACGTTGCCCAACCAGCGATTGATACCATCAGCTGGAAATCTCTTTCAGTCAGACCGAGCGATTCCAGCCACTCCTTGCCGGAATACCAGCGCCATTCGCATCTGTGATGACAACAGACAGCCATCACGATGCCTGGAATACAAGGAGAGAGAGCTTATGGACGGTTTTCCTTAGACTCGATACATACGCTCTCTGAGGGGGACTCTTTACAAGGATTAGATATGTGTTTCATTCCTGGTCGAAGAGTCGAGGCGACTACAACCCACCTTGAGGTAGACGATTTTCGCCTATTGAACCGGTGATGCAACGCAGAGCCAAGTCGATGGCGACCCCGCATAAATGTTTACAGAAACCGACCACCCGACCCTCGTGTTTCTTGAAGGGATCAAGCCGTTCGAGGCAGAGATGTCGTATATCCGCTCGGATTCGATGGATGCTTGCGCCCCATTTGTCGACGAATCGATTGTCTGCCTGTGATTTTGTAAAAGAAAGGAGCCTTGCTGAAAGCGCAGGCGGAATCGCCGAACTGGATGATTGGATCTTCGCCTACCTAGAACGCTCACCTTATAGCGCTGTGATCCTCGATCAACCAAGACGAAGGCGCTTCGATCGACCCCGTCATCCCCCAAGGATCGCATCACCCATGTCGCCAACTGGCCGCGACCTGCGCCAAATTCGACGAACATCTGATTTGCTTCCAGTAAGCCCTTCTCTCTGGAAGCGAGGGGTGCTCTCGAGTGTGCTTTCAAGTCCCTAAATTTTCTGCCCAAGCGGTAGAACATATTGCTTTGACCCACTCCATGATTTTGAGGAGCGCTCCCTGTTGATTGAGATGCTTGTTGACCATGGCGCAGTCCTTGAACTTCTCCAGCTCTTCCAGGATCAGTTCATGACATCCATCATATTCCACCGGCTTGGAAACATGGGCTGCCGTCAAGAGAAGGTTTTCGAAAGTCAGATCATCTCTCGCGTGAGCGAATCGCAAGAATTTATCGGATTTTTCTAGCCTTCAAGATTCAACACAACGAGTGTGAGGAAGAATTCCTGACGACTATTACCGCGGTAGACCCCGTCGATTCGTTCGATGAAAGAAAGTAATTCCTCGTCGCCGACTGTGTGTACGCTGATTCTTTCTGTCGACGCCTCGCTGTCTGCTCCATTGATACCCTCAACGTAATAATCCGGCATCGGTTTCTTACGTGCGTTGCATTTCTTCAGGTGAGCTTCGAGGAGGTGAGCGTAACAGGAACTGCAAACACGTTCATTGTAGTCTCGGCGTGCCTTGAGTGGTGAATTCCATTCTCAAAGTTCGAACAGCCTCCGCTCCTGGGCAAGAAGCATATTTCCGGGAATTCAACTCACTGAGAAGGATCCAGCGGACATGGAATACGGCCGTGATTTCCCTAAGGTAGACAGAAAAAAGAAACACCTTCAATCCAGGCTGAGAAAATTTGTCAACCCCTTGCTCTCAGCACGTATGGGGCTCTCGTAATGCATTCCATGCGTAAGCAGTTTGCTGAATTCGGAATCGCGCTCCGAAATGACACATACATCTTTTTGATTGGACAGAAGGAGGTGTTCCCCGCAGTAGTCGCAGTCTTTGTTGGCACGTTGCCGACATCGTCGATTCTTCCTGACAACGAGATATTGACATTGTCTGCAAGAAACCCGGCTTTACGTCAGACGCGGGGATTCTTCCCGGAAACGAGGCTATACATATATCCCGATACCAGGACGCGCTCACAGATGTTCGACGCCGCTCACCTGTAATCGGGGTTTGCGATCTTTCCCGTGCTCTGATCATTTAGTTTGAACTCTCTCTGTTTTTTCGAACAAGGATCGCCGAACTCTTCTCGCACGGCTCGTTTCGAAGACTCCCCGGTGCTGGTGTCGAGCTCCGACATTTGATTCCGATCATGGAAACTTCTTGCAACAATGTCGGTCCTTAGGGAGCCTGTGCTTGCCCATATAACGAAACGGGGAATTGTGGTCCGAGACAGCAGGCACAGCTGGACGTGAACCAAGCGGGGCTTGTTCACGGAGCAACACGTGGTTTGATGTTTGATAAACATTGCCCTCTCCGTTCAAAAAAAAAGACAGAGTACGGTCAGATCCCCTCAGTCCTACCGAGGATTTTGAGCTTGGACTCCCATGGAGGTCTGGGCCTCCGTGATGATTGTCTTTCTGAGAGTACCCCGACTTGAGCAAAGGGGTATCGAGGAGTGTTTTTGAAATCGCCCGCTGCGCCTCACCCGCACGGGCTCGAAGGAGGGTCCTTCGGATTCGTCCCCATCTGGGAGCGAGCACGTATCCATGAAATGATGTTCACGGGCGCCCGAATTATAGAACTGCTCTCCTGAGCTCACACGTCAGCGGCGCGAGACTCGCCGATTTCTCCGCGCGTGAGGCTTATCATACGAAAGCCACTAAGCAACTTCCAGAGACATTCTGTGATGATCGTGGGTGCTCATTCGGGCTCGCGCGCGCCCGTCCAGCTCCATGATCCTTCTGACTAGATTCAGAAGCATGATGAGTCGGGATTCTGACACCGCAGTGGTGACACGTGTGACGCCAACTCCTTGTTACGCAAACGCACGCGACCCGCCTGATTCTCGCTAGTCGCTACAATGAAGGATCATCTCGCCGCAATGGCGATACTTGCCTGAGAAAGACATGCAAACAACTCTCACCCTATTGCGACCCACGATTGCGGTCGCGATGAGGGCACGTACTAATCTAGCAGCTTTAAAAACCTTCCCGAGTATATGTCCGCTTCTCTTAAGTTCCGAGGAAATGGCACTAGGTAATTCCGACCGGAAAATGAAATCCCGCGTTGTTCGTTTAGTCTCGGCAGCGAGGTCTCGACGGCTAGAGTATAAGCCGAGAGTGGGATCAGGGATCTGCTCCTCAGCCAGCGCTTCGTCCCTGAGTTATCGTATCCTCATATCGTATGAGGATATCATAGGAGCCCACCCGAGAGTTGCTCATTTGGAAAAATAGGAGAAGAGTATTGTACAGCGGGTCAAAAACTCGGAAAGAAGTGTCTACTATTCTTCACGATGTCCTCGCGAGCAGTGAACTCTTCTCGGGGAGGGGGGAAACGTCGCCTCATACCGCGAAAGCGTCTATCTAGCGGTATCCACGGAGAAGGAGAGAAGTCTCTCCTTTGATTCCCCGGGCTGGTCGGTAGAGGGAAGAGTCCCCCATTGATACGGATCCTCCACATTCACCGAAAGAAAGTTTTCGACTGCGCGAACGATTCACTGAAAACGATTGATGTCTTGCTGTATCGGAATTTCGAATCCACCGCCGTTGCTCCGACCGTCTGCTCCTCGCCGTCTGCTCACCATCCTCCTCCGGTGGCGACGGCCATCTGGAATTCGTGACCGGTTTGTTTGTAAATACCGGGATATAACGAATTCGAGAACTTCTTCCGGCGGAGCCGGTGTATAGTGCACTCTCGCGGCGTCGCAATGGCTCGAAACGCGGAGAAGGCTATGACCACTTTGGCCCGGTGGAGGGCCGCACAGTTAGCAGATGAGCGGACAGACGAGCGACGACCGTTCTTGGCCACGTCTTGTCACGATGTCAAGAAAGCTGAAAAATGGAGGCGCCAAGTGATCTCCGAAATCTCCAGAAAGGTGGCGCAAATTCAGAATGCAGGTCTCGGCGAATACAGAATTCGCGACTTGAACGATGAGATCAATAAACTACTCCGCGAGAAATCGCATTGGGAGGACCGAATCAAGGAGCTCGGGGGACCCGACTATGCGAAGGTTGGTCCGAAAATGTTGGATGCAGAAGGTCGAGAGGTTCCCGGTAACCGAAGCTACAAGTACTTCGGAGCTGCAAAGGATCTTCCGGGGGTCCGAGAATTATTCGAGCTTGAGCCCCCGCGACGCGCTAGAAAAACCAGGGGGGAGCTCATGAAACACATCGATCCGGACTACTACGGGTAAGCTGACGGGGAAACGATTGGAAAACGCTGCAGGATTGACAGCTGAGAAGACTCACATCACTGACATCAGGTCCTATCCCATCCAGGTATCTCGATGAGGATGATGGCGTGCTTTTGCCTCTCGAAGCGCAAGCGGAACTCGTAGCCAGAAAGAAGGAAATTGAAGCGTGGAAAGCTCTCGAGGAAAAGGCGGTCTCTCAAGAAACTCGAGAGTCTCCGATTTCGCTGTGATCGTAAATGAATTGTAAATGAAACCCTCTTTAGAAATCCATCTCATTTTCACGGATCAACCTCGATGTTGGTTGTGAGTAATGCCACAACTTTGTACATATATCGGTACGGAAAATTATGAGATGTCCAGCTTGAGATAAGTCGGCAGTCAGAATGGCATCGATCCCATATGCGCATGAAGAAACAGAAGTTTGGAGATAAACCATTTATTATGTCATCGAAAACGGATGCTCTTCCCCAAAAACGGATGCTCTTTCCGAAACTACGTCATCAGCCAAGGCACTGTCATCGGTTGAGGGTTCTGAAGATAAGTCATAACCACCGCTGACACGGAAAGCCTGTGGACAGAAATTGCACCGATAATGAACCGATGCATGGATTCGCGTGGACACCTCACTCAGAGCTGCCCGCTGAGGAGCTTCATGCTTGACAGATTCATTGCAGAGAACTCACATGAAGCTACTGAATATCTGTCTGGTGTCCTCATTGTTTTTGGAATTGCTGAACGTTATGCTCGAGCAAAAGATGGCCATCCATGAGCACCATTTGATCTGGAATTCAACATGATGTCGTATTGCGAACCTCGATGCGCGGTGAATCTTTGACAGCTTTCATCGTAAGCTCAATCTCTTACGATTAGCCCTGCACCCATAGCATCAGAAAACTCACTTTCATCATGAGTCCGAACATGGAGAACGCTATGCTGAGGACATTCATGTAGTCAGAGATGGGATCGACAGCTCCCGGTGCATTGATTTCATCGGGACTTGGAGCCTTGTACCTGGCAGAGGAAAAATTTCTCGAATCTAATAGGACTTCGCCAGTGTACGGAGCCCAAACTCCGGAGGCAAGTGACTTACCGCACGATTTTGTCGTGACGAACTAGTGATTGAGAGTTCATTCTGTCTTCTGAGGAATTATGCGGCCCGTGGAACTTTCAGCGACCTCCAGAAGAATATCCTTGCGACGTGTCAGAGTGGAATAATTGTTCAGTCCGTACCCCTCGGTATGGAATGCCTGCTAACTCGCAACCTTCGTTGGTCGATTGTCGGTATAGCACGTTAGACCTTGCCGTGTCAGTTCCCACCACCAAGATCTCGATGAGCCCTCGAAAAACTTCCCTCGGAGACTCTGATACAGTAGCGCAACCCGTTTCTCTAGCTCTGACCCCGAGTTTAAGAAGAGGATGCCGGGCGATCTCAGCGAAGTCTAGAGAATGTAGTGTCTCTCCTCGGGCTCGACTTGGTTAACGTTCAGAAGCTGTGTGCGAACCGCGGCCGGATGGAGCAGAAATCGGATTTATGGAAAAAATGGAATCTGACGACGGCGGCGACGGGCTGTACGGGAGAGGGACAATGATTTCGATGATCTCTGCTGGGTGGTCCATCTGAATCGCATCGTCGAATGACTTCTCCCAAACGATGCTCATCGCCAGACCAACCTTCGAGAACCGGAGTTCCAGATTCGACATGTTATCCGGAGGTCGAGCACGCCCGCTCGCTTGCTCAATGATCCGCCGCAGCGTGCCGCCCATCAGAGATCGCCCACTCTTTTTCCCTATTCTCCGAAAAGAGACTCTAGTCCTTCGCTAAGGAATCGGGAGCCGGGTTCTTGAGTGGATCGAGGGGCTGTGTGATTCGAAATCGGGAGCCTCTCTTAAGGGGGTGTCCGTCTGTGGGGGATCGTACCCCCAAAAGATATCACCCGCGAACAGTCCGAGACATCCTGCGTCGCTATTCCCTTGTTCAAAGCATGCGTCGAATGTCTCAACCGAAGAGTGCCATTTCGAAGACGCTAATCGCCGGATTTCGATGTCATTCGTGGGAGTTCTCGATATATAGTGATTTTTTGGGCTTCCGATTCCTTCCGCCGAGATCAAGATATCCCCTGCCTCCGGGAAGATCGGAGCTAGCCTTGGAGGAGTCTCGCATCATCGACTCTGAGGGCGACCTCGGGGACCACCTGTAATCCTCCTGAACTCTCCATTCCAAGGCTCATTCTGTTGCCCATCTCCTGTACTCGGCAGATCGCGCGAAGAATTATGATTAATGACGGATGCTCCTCACCGACTCCTGAAGATTGGTAGGCAAGTCGAGGCTCCCGACAGAGGGCAGCTTCAACGATCCGAAGAAGGACCATCGAGCTAGGACTCTCCGATCGACGTTGAATTTCGCAGTATCGGAATCTTACGACGAGGTAGTATCAATGTTAGATCCGAGAATGCCTTCGCGAACGAGGCATTGCTTCATTCTGAGAAGCTGTCGATGATTCATTCGGAGTCCGAAGTGTTATCAGCGAGCGCCTTCCTGGTTCGCCCCCGGAAAGCAATCATCGACGGACGATAGATCCTGATAGGGATTTCGGTCGTCGGACTCAGGATGTTCGGGGTTAATTACATAGCGATACGAGAGAATGATGAGCCGGAATTTATCGGAAACAATGAGTTCAATATCTGCATTGCAGCATTTGAATGTCCCGCTCATGAGAGATCATGATGATCATTGTCCCCTCTGTCAGTCGTCAAAGTCCATTTCGAGAGAGTTCAGATCTTGTTTCAAGGAAAGGCTGTCAGATAACTCCCTCCGGACGAAGGTTCGCTATGCACAGGCAAGTTTACAAGGGTATCGGATCCGATTTCTTGGTATTCCCGTCGGACGTACCCTCTCGAGAGCAGTACCGAGTCACGTGCGAATCGACTGTTGCGCCCCCTGGCGCTCGCCATCTTGCGGGTGCTGTCAGGTGATCAAAAGTCACAAGACTGAGCGCAGATCCCGTGCTGCAGTGAATCGTTCACACCGTCGGAGCTCTCAGCAACGAGCTGCTAAGCTACTCCAAGTGCGAAGATTTTCGAGCGAAGTTCTAGTCCTACTCCATCGTTCCCAGTCGTGATGGCTGCTCCAACGACCCTCAACCGAGTCGAGGCTTTCCGCGAACATGGAATGGCTGTAACTCGAGACTACATATCACAGCCCCGTATGATCTACAAAACCGTTTGTGGAGTCAACGGACCCCTGGTCATCCTCGATCAAGTCAAGTTCCCCAAGTACGCCGAAATCGTCCAACTGGTTCTAGCCGATGGAACTCCACGCACGGGTCAAGTTCTCGAGGTTTCGGGAGACCGAGCTGTTGTCCAGGTGTTCGAAGGAACGTCAGGAATCGATGCCAAACATACCGTGTGCGAATTCACCGGAGATATCCTGCGTATTCCTGTGTCCGAAGACATGTTGGGTCGAGTTTTCAATGGATCCGGGAAGCCCATCGACAAGGGCCCCGCCGTACTCGCCGAGGATTTCCTGGATATACAGGGTCAGCCCATCAACCCGTGGTCCCGTATCTATCCCGAGGAGATGATTCAGACCGGTATATCCGCTATCGACGTCATGAACTCGATCGCTCGAGGCCAGAAGATCCCGATCTTCTCGGCGTCCGGTCTGCCGCACAACGACATCGCTGCCCAGATCTGTCGACAGGGCGGTCTCGTAAAGCGACCTGGAGCCGCCAAGTCGGTCATGGACAACTCGACAGAAGACAACTTCGCCATCGTTTTCGCCGCGATGGGTGTCAACATGGAGACTGCTCGATTCTTTAAGCAGGACTTCGAAGAGAACGGCTCCATGGACAACGTGTGTCTCTTCTTGAACTTGGCCAACGATCCGACCATCGAAAGGATCATCACTCCTCGTCTCGCTCTGACGACCGCCGAGTTCTTGGCGTACCAGTGCGAAAAGCACGTGCTGGTCATCCTGACGGACATGTCCTCGTACGCTGAAGCTCTTCGTGAGGTCTCGGCCGCCCGAGAAGAAGTGCCTGGACGTCGTGGTTTCCCCGGCTACATGTACACCGATTTGGCCACCATCTACGAGAGAGCCGGACGTGTCGAAGGCAGGAATGGATCTATCACCCAGATCCCTATCCTGACCATGCCCAACGACGACATCACCCACCCGATTCCCGATCTGACGGGATACATCACGGAGGGACAGATCTGCGTCGACCGTCAACTCAACAACCGTCTCGTCTATCCGCCCATCAACGTGCTCCCATCACTCTCTCGTTTGATGAAGTCTGCTATCGGTGAAGGTTTCACCCGAAAGGACCACGCCGATGTTTCAAACCAGCTGTACGCTTGCTACGCTATCGGCAAGGACGTTCAGGCCATGAAGGCCGTCGTCGGAGAAGAGGCACTCAACGCCGAAGATATGCTCTACCTCGAGTTCCTCGCCAAATTCGAAAAGAACTTCATCTCGCAAGGCCGCTACGAAAACCGAACCATCTTCGAGTCGCTCGATATCGGATGGAATTTGCTCCGCATCTTCCCCAAGGAGATGCTCAAGAGAATTCAGCATAAAATCCTCGCGGAGTACTATCCCCGAGGCGAGAGCAAGACCGCCGCCTCCAGCGCTCCCGACGAGAAACACTAGAGCGCGTAGCGAAACTCATCTTTACTTCTCGACGAGGGAAACTGAGCAACATTCATTGCGCAGGAATGCAAGCTTGAGGAGGAACGCATGAACGCATTGTTATTTGATTCCGTAGGCTGAAAACGTTTGTGATATGGTCGTCCCAAAAAAACGGCCGATTCCATCTTCTCCCCCTCCACCCATGATCGAGGTTATGTGTGGTCAAATCCGATCTTGAATCTGATTTCCGAAGTAACTGTTTAACACCCGGGAGACCGCCGGCATCCTCCGGACGAAATTCCTTTGTTTTCGACTGAAATCACCCGTAGAACTCATTCAGAGTCAGAGGAGACTAGGTTGCATATCAGATGGTCGACAGGAGAGTTTCGCGACGCTCAGACGGCCCTGCTGAAAACTCGCTCCAGGGTGACTGATGCTTTTCGGAGGAGGCTCCGGAGAAACGCCTCTTCGGAGCCTCAAGGTTCCGGTCCAGAGCGTAAGAGCAATTGAACGGGAAATGTGAGCGAGAGAAGTGAACGTGACGGAGTTGATTATTATTTTTTCTGTTGAACAATATCGATGAATTTTCAAATATGATGTCAGATTCCTCATGGTGGTAGCTAGATACACAATTAGCGCGAATCGGTCGGGGCTGCTGAAGAAGGCGGACACTTCGATTCCTGAGTGTCGAACCGGCTCGGTACCGTCCGATCCGCATGTATGGTCTATCGATATTCGAATACGTGTCTGGTTTATCGATGGATTGATAAAGGTCCTTGGACGTCGATTATATCACCGAAAGCAGTCTCTTCATTTTATTGAAATCACGTGGCTGGCAGGAAAAGCATGTGACGGCGTTTTCGTAGGGTCTACCGCGATCGATCGTAGGGATTACTCGTTAGGTCAATGGAATTACGGATTATTAGGTAATCGGAGAGTTCTCCTGGAATTCCGAAAAGTTGGCGGACTCCTCAGTCCATGTGGTGCTAGACTTACTCTCCCAATTTGATGAGTCCAACTGACGGTTTCATTGCGTTGAGAAACGTCGCAAGCTCGAGGAGACCCTCCGGACCGAAGGGAGAGCCGTACAGTTGTAGTTCCGCGGACCTCGAGTCAGCGACAGCAATCGGGATATATTCCGGCAAGTGAAGGCTCATCCGCCTCCCCGATCTGCTTCCTCATACTTCCGGATCTTCCATGGTATAGTTGTCAAGACCGAGAGGATTGGTACCAGGGAACTCCCTGTTCAAACAAGATTGCGTAATTTCGATTTCCTTTGTTAGAAAAGGACCTCCTCCCCGCTCATGACTTGGGAGCAGTCGAGTCCCTCCAGAATCGGAGTTCAGAATCGGATCTTTGCAACTACCCGGAGATTTTGTTTTGATGGTTTTCAAACGTTCGCGCGTTGCGGTCTCGCGGATAAGTGGCGCGGCGACGGGGAAACACACACACGGGGCACGCGAATGTTTGTAAATACTGCTCCTGTATCCACACACGTCTTCTCCCAGTGCATCGGAGAGGTCAATAGGCTGTCGGCGGTTGACGATCGACGATCATTGAAAGATGATTATCGACAAAGTCCATAAGACTCTCCGTGTCATACAGGAGAATGGAGGTTGGCTGAACTCGCTCCTGAAGCTGTATCGATACGATACCCTCAAGTCAGGAAGATTGGTCGGGACAGACGATTACGGTGAGAGAAACTACCGATACAGCTGATCACCCTGAAGCAGCTATTGTATATTTCCACTTCTTGTGACCGAAAGCCATACTCGAATTTGAGGCGATCGCCGAGTATGGAAGGATGCATTGATCCCAAGCGAAATTTAGCCTGGAGCCCCGGCACAGCGTCGGAGATAATATCCCCTTTCATGCAGTCCTGAGTCCTGCTACGTAAATCTGAGTCGAACCCTTTCCGTCCGCGCTCCAGGGAACCGCTACTACGAGAATAAGGAGTACTTCATGGGAAGAGATCGTTGGGTCGAATACGCTGATAAGGTGAGTGAGATACGGCTCCAGCTGGGTGATGCCTATCCAAATGTATCGAGGGTATTTCTGTCAGGTTCGGATATCTCTAACGCCAGTTCGTCGAAACCCTACCTCTTGACTTCATGGTGCGTCGAATCAAGTCTCATCTGCTCCTAGGTCCGCTTAGATTACGATGGATCCCAGATCCCTGCCGAGTGGTACGGATGGATGCACCATAAAACCGATATACCCCCCACTCTGAGACCCCCTCCGAAATACAAATGGCTTGCACAACATACCGAAAACATGACAGGAACTTCCCGGCAGTACGTTCCGTACGATACCGTGCCGCCGAAAATTCAACCCTGGATACCCGGCAAGAAATAGAAAGTCTTCAATTAGCGGCGATATGGCCTAGTCTCGCATATGTTGTTGATAAAGAATAAAACACAGAAGCTTCAGATGTTTGTAAAAATCCTACGACACCATGGCGCAGTCGTTCATTAACACAACTCGATTCAGGATTACGTTTCGTATGTACATGCGTCAGGGAAAAATCGTGATGCTGGAGTTCTCTCCCGAAAACGAGTCGGAGAGCTCGGCACAGTATAGAAAAATATAATATCTCACAACCATCACCAGGAAAATATTGCTTCACCCCCCCCCCCTCTTCGAATGCACCTTGTATCGGGAATCCCGCGGTTCTCGCGAGGATTTTCGCGAGTCTACGGGCGCTTGGCCTCATTGCGGAGTGCCTCGATCCGTTTTCGTACGATCTCCAGATGCTTCTTGATGTAAACTTCTTTCGGAGCTCTGCGTTGAACTGAAAGCAGACATTTCTCCGCTAAGTCTAGTCTCCCGGCGTTCACATGCACAACACAAAGATTGTGCATGGCTTGTATGTTGTTCGGGTCGCTCTGCAGAATTTTCTCGTAACACTCCCTGGCTCGCTCCGTGTCCTTCAGCTGATTTATGTAAATATCTCCTAACAAGATCAGAGCTTTGGTGTGATCGGGATATCGCTCCAGGAGAGCCTCGAGATGAGGTTTTGCATCGAGAGGTCTACCGGTGTCCGAAAGGAGCAGAGCCAGGTTGAAGAGTGCGCTCCGGAAGTTGGGTTTGTGTTTCAGAGCGAGTTTGAAGTATCGTTCAGCGTCAGTGAACTGTTTGTTATCCGTGGCAAGCATCGCCAAGTTGAACCAGATCCTTTCGTTCTCTTGGCCTTTCTGGAGGAGTTGGTTGAGGCGTTGAACCGCTAGGTCGCGGAGTTTAGCGTTCCCAGACTCCTGGATGAGGATCGCCGAGTTCATGAGAGCTTGCTCGTGATCGGGACTCACTCGCAGCGCCTCCTCAAAATACTGCAAAGCTTGAGTGGGTTTCCCCAATTCGATGAGAACAACACCCATGTTATAATAAATGTCGGGATTGCTCTTGTCAAGCTCGAGAGCCCTTTCGTAAACATGCCAAGCTTCTTGAGTTCTATTGAGTTTGATGAGGACATCGCCTCGATTTATGTATGCCTGAATGTAGTCTGCTCTCATGGAGATCGCCTGACGATAGAGGGCATCGGCTTCCTCGAGCCTCGACGAGTTCCGTGCGTACAAATTGGCCAAGTTGAGAAAAACATTCAAGTAGTTGGGGGCTATTCGCGTCTGATATTTCTTCCCCTTCCTGGGTCGAGGCAATAAAAATTTAGCTGCCAAGAACGCTTTCTCCGCTTCGTCGTACAACTTCAAATTATTCAACGTGCGACCCACGTTTATGTGTGCTCCTACATCGTCTGGTTGAACCTCAACGGCTCTCCGAAAATATCTAAGCGCCTCGCCGTAAAGGTGGTTCTGTTCCAGCGCGTGACCGATATTGTTGTAAAGCTTAGCGTTTTGAGTGTTCACCCGGAGACCACTCTTGAAAATGTGAATCTCCGAGGTCCAGTCGAAGTTCCGCTGGAACGTTTTCCCGGCGTGACACAACACAAGAACGACGACGAGAAAGTCGATGAGTTTCCCCCATCGGCAACGAAGTCTCTCACAACCGAACGCGACCAATAAACAGAAACCCATGCTCGGAAGGTACAGTACTCGCTCCGCCACAACGAACCCGACCGGGAAGAGGAAATTCGAGGCCGGCAAGAAAGTGAAAACTAACAAACTCAGAGCGAATACGACTACTCTGTACTGTTCCGAGCTCAGAGAAAAACAACAGCTGGAGGCTATCGAGATAAATACCATGTAAAACACAATAATGCTTGAGATTCTCGGATCGGTCAAACTTTCGACCAGAGGTATCGTTCCCATAGTCCAATCGCAGCACAGGTGGAAGGGGTTCAGAAGTAGCCAGAAGTTCACCGGGAGAAGGTAATTGAACGTCAATTGGCGGACCGGGAACTCGGCCATAGCTGCTGGATTATCGAACTTGGTAAATATCGGCAATTGCGAACCCATCACCTTGATTCGAGCGTACATGAAGAAAGCTGCCGCCGCCATCAGATACAGGCATCTGAACAGGGAAGCTCTCAACCATGACGGGAGGCCTGCTTTCGGTGCCGAGTAAAAGTATGAGATCAATTCTTGAGGGCGAACACAACGAATCACTAACAGCTCATACGCCATACAGAGTCCGACGACGGTGATTCCCTGCTCTTTGCACAGAGTCGCCGTATAAGTAAACAACACACATAATAGAAACTTGAGCGGTGTCTTCAGAGAGGTCCTGTACGTTTGAAAAGCCGCCAGGAAGAAAATCGCGCTCAGCGATTCGGCTCTTCCGACAACTCCTGTGACCGCTTCCGTGTGAATCGGATGTACGGCGAACAATATACCGCAGACGAATGCCGTCCAGGGAGAAACGAGTTCGCTGACGACAGACATAAGAAAACATGATACTGTCGTGTGCAACAGCACGTTCGCTAAGTGGTAGCCGAACGGCTCCAGTCCATGGAGAAAGTACGTGAGACGGAAACTGAGAACTGTTAGGGGACGATATGATTTATGGCTGTGCTCTTTGTTCATGGGTGTCCCCCAAAAATCGTTCAAAAACAACCGGTAGATCGGGGTCTCGGGCCGGAGATCCTTGTTATCGCGGATTGCGGAGACGTCGTCGAAGACGAAACCACATCCCACGGCGTTCGAATAAACGAGACAGCATGCGACAGCGACTCCGATGTAGTGCCACCGATTGAGGCCGGGTTTTCGGCGGAATTTCTTCACCGGTGTGGAGCGAGCACTATTCGATGCTGAGCTCGATGAGAGTTGTCTTCTGTCATCGGGAGAGGTCTCCCTCGACATCGAATGTCGCTCTCGCACAGGAGCATCATCCGATCTTTCCATTTTCTCGGTCAGAGCGGCGCTACGCGAGCACGGCCTCACATGGTCTCACAACGTCTGGGGCATCGCACTGTCGGAACGCACTGTAGAATCCTCACGGAATGAGATATTCGGTCCGCCGACTGAGAGCTTTCCCGCGGTGAGGAGTGGCAAATGTTATAGAGCTCGCTCTCCCGTGGTTGCGCTGAGAGCTGCTGCGAGCTGCGGGTCTTCAAGCAGCAGAACAACATCAACAAAGGGGAACTGTTGTCTGTTCCGAGCATTGTTGGATACAGCTCATATAGGCGGATTTCGGTATGAAGTATCGAACACGGCTCCTGAGTTCTACCTCTCCCTTGGTCGAGAAATTCGAGTGTTGATCAGTTGTTCGCGCCGATCAATCAGATGTGAGTTGCATGGGAGCTAGCGGATTCCTCGGGTCTCTCACCGGTACCACCCGTGGCCACGGAGTCTGACTCAATCCATGGAGCTGTCGAGCTAGGATCGGCGTTTCTTCCTTTCGACGGGTGTTTTTCCCCCCTCACGAACCTTCGAATGCTTCTTTCAGAGGATTTTCAAATCTTTCCATTCGCACACGCAAGATGAGTGAGCTCCCGGTGGTGACGTATGACAAGCAAGAATACATAGAGACCGCTTCTGGAAACAAAGTCAGCCGGAAATCTGTTCTCTGTGGTGCGCACAACATCATTCTCAGTGGCAAGACCATAATTCAAGCAGGTGAGTACTGAGACCCTTCCTCGGGGCTCTGGCTCCGTTCATTGACGTGGAATGTTCAGTCTCACTCATGTGTCATTCCCTAGGTGCAATCGTTCGCGGTGATCTTGCGAATGTCAGAGTCGGTCGCCGCTGCGTCATCTCGAAGCATGTGGTCATCAGGCCACCATACAAAAAGATATCCAAGGGTTTGACTTTCTTCCCCCAACAAATCGGAGATCATGTGTTCATTGGCGAGGGCAGCGTTATCAGCGCCCAGTCCATCGGCAGCTACGTGCATATCGGCAAGAACTGCGTGATCGGTGAGAACCCGGAATATTGACCCTAGGTGGCAACATAGGCGCAGAGACTCGATGGAGCAGAGTCGCATTCCCTGAGCTCTCTCACTAATTGAGCTTCCCCCTGAAACAGGTCGGAAAGCGGTTCTGCGAGATTGTTGCATGATCGCTGACAACAGCGTTGTAAGTCCAGAAACCACGGTACCTTCATATGCGATCTACGCGGGTGTCCCAGCAAGATATGCGGGAGAACTACCAGGGCCATGCCAAGACATAATGGCAGACTACACCAATTCGTACTATTTGAACTTTATACCGCAAGATCCGATGACGGTCGAGAAAAAGTAATATGTACAGGTCGGAATACGCCATCATTATTTATTTCTCAGTCTTAGGTACACCCAGAGCGGAATAAATTATTTCCTAGATGTTCTGGTATTCTAACCCCCGACCTGAGTTTCGGAGAGTCTCCGATCACGAATATACACGCGGCCCGCAGAACTCGACGACCACACACAGCTCCTAGGTCCCTCTCATTCGCGGAAAAGAGCCTCCGCCGGGTAGTACGCGAAATAGTCTGTAGTGCCTTACTGTCTTGAGCATGTCGAGTTCTTATCTACAAGTTTACAAATATATATTTCCTCCATTTCGCAAATCAACTAGATTCGACGTCAGGCTCCGCATTTACTCCAGGGGCTGAATCCTCCTTTGATCTCCCTTCTTCCTCTCCGCCAGTTGCGTCTGCACCCTCCTCCGAATCACTCTCTGACGACGACGCTCCTGAAAGAAACAAACAAACATTCTCAAGGTATCAGCTGCTCGCTCTGACTAGCTTTCCCCTGATGGGAGATAGGAGGACATCTCCAAAAATTGACGTAAGAGCCTCCTCGCTGGTTCCGGTCATGAGTAAACGATCCCGGAAAATGGGAGTGTCAATTTCACTGCAGAAAATGAGGTTGGATAATGAATACTAGATTGAGAGGAGACTCACGCTCGGTTTCAGGTGCCGAAAGTTTGTTCTTCTTCAGTTTCTGCTTCATGTTTTGCTTCTTTTTCTTCCGCTTCTCGCGTTTCTTAGCTGTGCGCTCTTCGGCAGCTTTCTTCGTCGCTTCAACTCTCTCCCGGAATTCTCGATCGAGACGCTCTTTTTCAGCCTCTTCCTCCATCATTTTCATTCTGCAAGAGAGAACTTCATCATTTTGTTCCGCTTGCAGAACCCATTCTTCTCGAAAGAGCTGAATCTTCTCCTGCTCCAGACGGGTTGCTTCCCCAAGCTCACCTGACATTCTCTTTCTTTCGCAATTGCCTGTACACGTGAAACTCCCCGCTTCCCGCGCCGGCGGACGAGCCCATCACGTTCCGCACGAAGTCAGGCGTCCTATACTGCTTAGTCTCGACTTTGCGCTCTGGTATGAAGACTTCTTTATCAGGATTCCTCATGAGTTTTTCCAGATGGAATTTCTGGGCATCCACCGCTGATTTGATGACCACCACTTCACGCTTCTCGCGAACTTTCTTCGACTTCGGTTTCGGGAGACCGAGGAGATCGAGTTGCTCCTCCGCCATTCTTGACAATAGTTCTGTCTTGTTGGCGGCTCTGATTCTTCTCGTGGAATCCGCAACAAGAGAAAAAACACACCACCGGTGACTTTGTTTACTTTCTCAAATTGTCAACAACAGATTCTCTCTCTGCAATTATCGTCTGCGTCCTATCTAAACTTTTGCGGCCATGGGAGCAATAACTGGCGCCAGCGCGCACGCTCCCGTTCTACCGCGAGTCCTCCATGGGAATGAGAAATCATGAGTGCCCATTGGGCAATGCTAATGGAGCACTCGCTGAATCATCGACAGGCGTGAGAGCAACGTTCTAGGTCAGCTGAAGCCGAATTCAGGCGGAGAGGGTTCAGAACAATTCAAGTATCGCAATAGTTCCAGCTGTATCAGAAATAAGATAGAGATCAACCTTGATCCGATCATTTCAAAGGACTCGACTTATGATACTTTTGATGGATTTTTTATCCTTCTTTGATATTTTGTTCCACCTTTAATATTTTTTCCTGACCAATGATGGAAGCTCCCCCGCGCGGCAACCCGTGAACGCAAACAGGCCCCGCCTTCTTCGCAACGGGCGGGAAAGTCGTCTGCTACGATCGAGCTCTGTATTCTGTTTGGCTTTTGTGCGGTTTGAAAGTACAGTCAGTAAGTTTTCAGGTGATCGATAAGTCCCCGTCTTGGGGGAGTGAGCCGCGTCTGAAATACGTGAGTGAAGGTGCTGACGACCTACCCAGGAGTAAGACTCATTGGGAAGAGTCGGCGGCTTATGAAGCGCACCGACGATGTAGTTACCTGGAAGTTCTGAAGCCGAGTCAAAGTGCTATTCGATTGCTATAATACGCATATGACCAATCAGGACGGCCGGGGAATAGTCTCACTAAAATCTAGAAAACGGAGGTTTGTAAACGGCACTATGCGTAATCATCGTTCTCCAGTGCGTCCGTCTGACCTGTTGAGTGTTTGTGGTGCAAGTTGAGCGTCCAATCCGTTCTGGAAGACACTTCTCTCCAGCAGCCGTTCGCTCTCCGTCCGAGTTTTCTTATAAGGGTTGAATAGTCGATCTTGTCTTCGAGAATTATGCCGGAGGCTCCCCGAGTGGGTCTCAGTGGTTGATTCTAACGGAACCTCATTTCTCTAATGAGCGCATCTATGTTTCTTCTCCATGCAGTATGTCTTGCATGGATCGTACTCCGGAACTTCCGAAGGCTCGTCGGACGACAGCATCTCTCTCATGGGATCGAAAGCGACCAGCTCTCTTCCCCGCGGTCCGACCCACCGACTCGACAGAGAATGCCACTCCGGGATCCGCGACAATCCAGAGTGGTCATTCGAAACCCCTACAGCCACACCGCTTCAGAAAGAGACTTCCTCCAGAACAGCTCTCGGAAATCGGAGAGCTTCTTAAAACGATCGAGTTGGACGAAAGTAAGTTCCGAGCTCCCTTATCCCACGTTCGAAGATATCGAGTCAGGAATATAGACATCAAGAGAGTTACCATAGTAATATTCCGGCGAGCTGTGTTCAATTCGTATCCAATTGCGATTTCAGCTCAAAAAGAAAATGAACCCGAATCGGTCGAAGCCATTTCTCGCAAACAGATGCCCCCGCCACTCCTCACCTCGGTCTCAACGAAAGCGACTCGAGTCCCCCAAGTCGAGGTCACCAAACCCCTCAAATTGTTCCTCCCTATGTCAAAGGTCATGCAAGTAAACGGGAAGGATTACATGATAATCGGAGATCTGGGGACAGGCGGCTCGTGCAAGGTTCGTGCCGGAGCGAGAGACCGATGTACCGCTCTCAAATGCCCATGACTCATGATAGTCTCGTCAAACGAGACCGATTTCTCGTGACACGCGAAGAAGTTCAATAATACTCGAATTGTCTGCAGGTATTTTCGGCTCTATTCGATGGTCAAATAGTAGCCATCAAAGACGTCACCCTCCCTGAAGAGGCCGTCGTGAAAGAGAACTATCTTCGCGAGATACAAGTCTTGAAAAAATTAGAGGACTGCAGTCAAGTTGTTCATCTGATGGACTTTGAAGTGCGCGACGCCGAGAATAAGCTCTACATGGTGATGGAGAAAGGCGACTCAGATCTCGAGACTGTTCTGCAGCAGGCTGTGAAGGATTGGATTACGGTTCGCTTCTTCTTCCGAGACATGCTGATTGCGGTCGCTCGCATCCACAGGCTAGGGATCATCCACCAAGATCTTAAGCCCTCCAACTTTATTGTGGTCCGTGGCCGTCTGAAGCTCATCGACTTCGGAATTTCGGACGATATCGGTGACGCAACATCGGTTTTCCGCGAATCTGCGATCGGAACGATGAACTACATGTCCCCGGAGATTATCCAGCAATCGAGAGAGACGTCGATCAAGACGAGTAGAGCGTCCGACATATGGAGCCTCGGCTGCATCCTATATTCGATGGCCTTCGGGCGTCCACCGTTCGCTCATATAAAACATCCCGCGAGCAAAGCACTGGCGATCGTGGATCCCAAACATGAGATCTTCTATCCTCCGGACGCCGACCCGGACTTGATAGATGTTCTTAGAAAATGTTTAATAAGATTCCCACGCCAGCGCGCCTCCGCCGAGGACCTGCTGCAGCATGACTTTCTGCTCGGACCACCGTGCGTGCGGAATTTCAGCGGTCAGTGATTGTATAGCATTTGTAGAAGTGACCTTTTCCTCATGTACATAATAGTTTAAGCTGTGACGAGGTACCCGATGTTGACGCTTTTATTCTCGAGCCGCGAATAGAATGTTCCGAAGACTCTAAGCACTGCGGGAGGTGTACTGGTGAAAGCTAAATCGCGATTATCGTGTCACACCTCAGCCTGGCAATAAATCTCGGTCTGGAAGAAATCGATCGTAAAGGAGGAACATCTGTCGTTTGAGGAGTTTATGAAAAACATTTATTAGTGAATAACGGATCAGTTATAACGTAATGACTTCTCGTCATTAACTCATTGTGTTTTCCTAATTCGTAAGAGATTCAAGTGGGGACCGGTGTGTGGTTCACCTTCCGAACGCTTCGAGCGTGCCTTCGATTTCGAGTAGGACTAGGTGACAGAGAAAAGGATATTTCTCCACATGTCATCCGTCCTTGGCAAAGCTCGATCTCTCCGGGACGGATCGGAAACTGAAGGTCCCCGACGTGATCGGCGGCTTTGACGTCACCCACGACTTGATGAACATTGAAAAGAATAATCTACGTATGAATGAATGAACGAATGAATCCACGAATAGCTGTCTGGCTAGGAGGATGAGGGAATAAGACAGATATGACAACTATAGTCGACAATCTATCGGTAAGACGCCCGCGGCTCTGCAATTGCTTAAAATAGGCTCTCATCGACAAAGTTTAGGCGAGGAATTCCTTAAAATTCTCGAAGACTCGAAGTCTAAAACAGACGTCCGATGATCATCATCTACATATTTGGAGCTAATAATGGATAAATTCACTATGTCACCGATTTGTTGCGAGTCGACTTTCCCTCATCGCCAATCGTCGAAACTTCGTCGTTAAGCCTTTGCCCGGTCTGATGATCTTCAGGTCTCGAACGAGACAGGCGAGTGCTTCCGGAACAGAACGTCCCAGCGTGCACGTCCTCCGTGCGTTCGTGTCTGTTCCTTGATTTTTTTCATCATCGGCACGAAAAGCAATTAGCGGATCAATATCAATGTTGTGGCTAGTGACTAAGTTATGGTGACTCGAGTCCGGTCTGCCGGATATAATTCAGAGACCGACTCCCCTAAAAGTATTTTCAAGAAAGTATAAGATATAGTAGACAAATGGAGCTGATTTCCATCCACGCCATAGTTTCAATAGCTGGCGGGAATCAGCGGTTTCCGATGCTAAGAGATACGTCGCGTACCACGGATCCCTCGGCGCATGAAACACGAACCGGCTGCGGTAGGTGAACGGACCGAACCAGCAATAGTATCTGTTATGATGGCAACTTGGGGGGCTTAAATTACATCTAGACATGGATTGCTGAGATCCGCGAAGCGAAAACCCTCCCGTTTAGAGGGTCTTCGCTCGATTAGGACGATTGACGTTATGATTCGAGGTCGAATGCATGCCCGTGAAGCCGTTATTGCGATTCCTCATTACAGGTGGATGATACTCTGGCATTTCACGACGGTGTTTCTCGAAACACATTGGACAATAGTAGCAGAAGCATGACGGGTGGCGACAGAAGATCGGTGTCGCGGTCTTGCATTCGGTACAGATACCGTCTTCGATGTAAGCATCCAACTGAATGATCTTCGAGAACCTCGGCGTCATAACCTGGACGAATTCGGCCAGCACAGCTTGACGGAAGGAGTCTCGCGACACAAAGGTCGCTCGTCCTGAGCCGTTGGGGTACCTGTTCGAGGCATTAGTCCGCGTGTTGGTCAATCGAATGCCTCGACAATTGTGATCATATACCTTTTACATATACATGTATATAGTGAACAGAAATCCAAATTGACTCGATCCAGTCGAGCTGTCGATAAGTCCAAATAATGAGGGATTGATCGCTAAACTTTCCTCACCTTTGCTTATCGCAGTCAATAGCTACGTGAGCAACTGGTCCGAAGAGATCGGACAAGATCTGTTGGAGTCCTTCAGCTGTGATTTCACCATGGAGGGCTCCCACGAAAACCGTGTTCTTCTTGTAGGCGTTACTCTGCGGCTGAGTCTTCTTCGGTGCAGAGTTTTTCGTGGCATTTTCGAATTTTCCAGAATCTGTGTCCGACAGGGAATCCGTGGACTCGGTATTGGATCCGGTCGACAGCGACGAATCACAACTTGATTCGGTCGACATGATCCAATCACTGTCCTCAATCGCCCACGGAATAACCTGGGCATGACGGTCCTTCCCTCGACGGGACGAAACCTGCGATAACGATCGGTATTCTCAGTGGAGAGTCTCAGCTTCCTGGACTCGGATATCTCTGCTGTACAAAATGATCTCATGACCGATCCGGAAGAATTATCTCACCCAGTAGAAATATTGTCCAGGACCCTTGTTTTCGCACGCGTTCAGGAGTGCCTGCACTTGCTGTTCACTGTCGAACACAAGGTAAGCGTGTCCCCTTCCCCGAGGGGGAAACTGCACCGTGACGAGTCCGAATTTCCCAAAAATCTCAGTTAGAGCGTCAGGGGTCACGTCGTAGGGCAGTCCACCGACAAAAACTTTGGGTGCGAAAGTCGGTGACGGGTGGAAGCGAGTGGTCAGTGTACCTTTCCAAGAGAAGGTGGTTTCCGACTGGCAAGCAGAGGTTCGTCTCAGCTTCGCCTCGCGTTCGATGCGTTCCAGAACGAGATCGTTCCCTGTCGGTTGGCTGTTCGAATAATTATTGTAAGTCCCATTCACGGCAGCGAGAGCAGGGGAGAACGACGACGACTGGGTAGAGCTGTTGAATTCGTTCCGGAAATGGCTCCTCTGGTTAGCCATTGCGTTCACGTGTCTTTCGCGCTCCAAGAAGTGACCCCCGCTGCACGCTACTGAGGCTCGTCTACAGCCATCGCTGGTGAGGCTGAAGAGCTCTTTGATCGTATCGACTCGATCGTGGACGCTATTGCCGCGTGTCATGAGCAAGGAACTTATCGCTTTTGCGATCAAGTTGAGCTGCTCTTTTTCATTGACCATCTCCGAATTGTGAAGATGGTCAAACGAGTCGTATAGGCTCATAGAGTCACTCCTCGTCGGGGGAGACAGATCGAGGGAGTTATCGGAGCAGCTACCGGTCGAGAACAGCGAACTGGCTTGACCGGATGAATAACCTGCGGACGAAAGATATTCTTGGCCGAGCTCTTCGTTCCAACGGATCACGTGAATTCTCGCGGAGAGTCAGAGAGCAATCGATTCCGAATCTGAGTATTTCTATAGACTGACCTGATGAGTAGTCCCACAATGACGGCGAGCGCTTCGGGGAGAATCCTGATTCCATGCCGCAGCCGAGAGAGCTCAGATTCGACAAAAAAGATCCGCTGGAACAATCATACGCCCCCAACGATTTCTTTCTCATCGGGGATCCCACTGGTCCAAAGGTACTCAGACTGCGACGGTCATTCCCGGCAGCCGGTATCGGTATGCTCGAGTGAGTCCTCTGCGACTGGTTCGAATTAGCGAAACTGATCCTGCTGGTCGACAACGAGCTGTAGCTCTTCGATGGTGAATAGCCGTCTTCCCAGATCGAGCGGATCTTCGCTGCGTCCAAACCGGAATCGCCTTGTCGACAAGTCATGCTTTCCGACGCTTGCTCGTTCGTTCGCTTGCTTGCACACAAACTCACTAGATGCTAGTAACGAAAGGCCACAAATTTCGGGCACAAATATTTCAAGCGCGGCGCCTCGAGCAAATGCTTCAGGGCATACGAAAGGTCAAGAAGACGTACAAGCGACATGTGCTCTGAACGAACGTCTCCGCCGCAGCTAGAACATGTGCCTAAGTCATGCTCGACGTACACGTGCTTCACAGCCACAGAACAGCCGGGGATTTCGATAGCAAGTCTGCTCGGCTCCGAGAAGTTCGATCGGATTCTCCATCAGAATCTTTCGGAATCTCCCCTAACTATAACAGAGAGTCGACAGCGCTGGTCGGGAGCGTCTACGTCTCTGTGGATGGAGCGCTCTCGAGAAGCCTAGGGGAACCCGACACCAAATTATTTTCTCGCGTTCGACCCTTCCAGCGCTCCCATAAACGATTTGCAATCCGAGCCGAGACTCGAAAACCAGCCTGTCTTGTGTCGTCAATTATTGGTCACGGTTTCCAAAAATCCTCCGAGGAGACTTGAGTCCTGCTGAATCAAGAATGCGCTCCCAGTCGAGATCTTGGGGTGAAGGTTCGGAAAAACTTTGGGGGTCCTCTCCCTCCCCATGAATTAGTAGACCGTGCGGGGAATGAGGAATTCTCTAAGGAAGATCATGCCTCTACCTGTTGGAGGAGTCCGGGTCAGGGGCCGATGGATGTGTATTTTCCTCCAGATTGGAACGGAGCCGAAGGGAGTTCATTGCGCTCGTAGAATATAATCCGGAGGCTCGTCGAGGTGGGAACCAAGCCGCGTACGCGACGTATGTCGTAAACGTCTCCGTTCTCGAGATTCCTGGAGCAGGTTCTCCGAACTTGGAGATTTGACGGGCCACATTTAGGCGGCGGCAGAGCTCGCGGGCTGTTGTCAAGTTTTCCTTCGTATTAACTAGTTGATATGCTGCCGCGAGCGGGAGATGCGAGGAGTCAGGGAGGACATGAGCCGCGATCCCCGATGTTGCACCTTACAGAGATACTGAGAGAGCCGCCGAAATCTTTTTCGGGACGAAATGAGCCATGCTCCGCGCTCTCGCTTTCGAAAGCTCCTAGGGCCCCGGGGTCGACTCAGCGCCTCGATCCTGACACCCGTGCCCTGGCGGACTTCAAGGGGGAAAACTCGCCTAAGCTGCAGCGACTCATTGGTATTTAAGGAAGGATGCTAATTTAGGCAAATCTTTTCTTTATTTACTTATGCTCCGTATGGTTCATCGTCGGGCGAATTTGTAATCCTTGATCGATATCCGTTCCCGCAATATCCGTAACGATGTGATTGTTTTTACACTTTCCAGTTATAGCATCTCATCATCAATGACCTCCGTAGCCGTTCAGCAACATCTAATTCCTTTCGCGCGACAACGATCAACTATCCCCATTTTTAGCATACGATATACACTACTGATAATGCGTTCGCTCAGATAACTTCACGTAGGAAAATGTAACTTTTTCCTATCAACTCCGAGATACTCTTGACACGGTGTATAAGGAAGGCACATGAGGTGTATTTCGGCACCAATGCTTAGATTCAACAAATTCAGCTTTCGTCTGAGGAATCGCGGTTCGTACATTCATTCCGTTCCCTACGGACGCTCTCAATCCAAGTAGAAAGTTTCGTCTTGGAGAACGCCGTGTGGCGTTCTTCATTCCACACCACCGAGGATGCTGCCTGTGTCAGTGTGTGATTCCGGAGATAGGAAGATGAATCGTCCGCGAGGGCGCTCCGAATTCGAGTACGGCAATGAACAACGTTTGGTCGGACATCGGTCGAGTCGTCGCCAGATCAAGCTCTGCGTATTTCGAATAAGATTTGCTGGATTGAGTCTTTCCCATCCTCGGCAGTGTTCCCAGGTATCTAGCCAACTCTCTCAACGCTCATTCAATCCTTCCTGGCGGAGTTGCCAGATTGGCCTACGAAACAAGTGCAGACCACCACCAAATACGCTCGATGCAGCATTTTTGCCTTGTTTAACGATTTCTCAAGCGGTGCGACAGCAATCCTTGTCGTCGTGTTGAGCTTCCCGACGAGTTTCGCTGTCGTCATACAATTTCACTTCGGAATACAAATGCAGCACAAAATCTCAAACTCACACGCTGACACTCAATCGCTGACAAGTGTTTACTGCTGCCTTCTTCCGCTTCTGAATCAGAAGCAATTGAGAGAGGATGGCGGATGCCGCCCAAAGGTGTAGGCGGGCGATCATAAAAAAATGATCTCGGCTACATGGGAGGTTCTTAAATAGCGAAATGCAGGGAATATATATATGTGTATGTGTATAATATGCTGGTGTCTGTCAGTGAGGGTCAGTGCGGACAGTCAACGGCCAAACCCGTCTTTCAGCGAATTCTCGAACTTATGATCAGAAACTGCCCTGATCGAAGTCAAGCTCCCACGTGGTTACACCCAGTTTTCTCAAAGAAATTACGCCGATCTTGGTAGCCTAGCAACACTTGGTAATTTAGTTTTATGAGAGACTTGATTGAAAACCATCCTTCCTCCGTCGGCCATCGGTCGAGATGGGTCTACATAACGGAACAACGGGAATCGTCCATTCCAGTGTTGTTCCCATCCGTGTGGAACACCTCGCCGGGTGCGAAACTCACCCTCTGCTGGGGCGAGAGATGACTGCGTCTTGTTCTTGTGACAAATCTGCGTTGCTTGCTGACGCGCTTGGCCATCTCCGCGTCCTCTTGATTGAGAATGGTTGTCGTCACCTCGATGTCCCCTGTTTGGTTCTCGTCCGGTGGGAAACGAATCCCCTTGAGGACGTAGTCGGACGGCGGGTTGTGAGAAGCGCCCGAATCCGATGACCACAAAGTCATTTTGCTTTTCGCTTTGATACGGAACCTCTGCGGGAACTTGTGGGCGGCCTGGAAGCAGAGAACATTCGATTCAGTGCCCGGAGAGGAATCCGTGCAGCTCACGGGAGCACCACTCCGACGGAGCCCGAAACGACGTTGTCGTCGTCGTTGAGATTGGTATTTGAATCTTTATCGAAATTATTCTCAAAACCATTATTCGAATTATCAACTGAAATAGGGAGATACCTCGTGGGCTCCGCTCTTGTGTGTAATTTTCCACCCCCCGAGCTGGATGTCCTCCTCGGAAGTGTTCTCCAAAGTGACTTGTTTCCCGTGCAGGACGTCGTGATCAACGATATTGAGCGGCCCGACGCTCTCGTGGACGCATTCAACGTCCCCGTGGCTCTCGGTCGAATCGAATGCAGAGGAAAGACGTTTCCTCTTGCGGGACGATGATGACAAGATCGAGGCCGGAGAAGAGCTCGGCGTAGTGATATTGAGACGCGATTCTTCTTGCTCGAGCAGAACTCTGTTGATTAGATAAAGTTTCAGATATTCGGAAATCAAAGCGACCGGAAGGAGTCCTTGAGAGGGGCGGTAGATGGAATCGATTTTTCTCCGTCTCACGGTGATTCTTGGTCTACCTGTAAGTATCGAGTTCTTTCTGCAGACTCTTCTTGACGTCGACGATATCATCGAACTCCTTCTGGAGATTTCGGAAGCGTTCATTGCCGTCACGAATGAGATCGTCCTTCTGTCTCAGCTGTTGGGCGTTCCACGCTCGTTCCTGCTCAAGAAGACGTCGCTTCTCGTTGAGGTCGCTCCTGACCTGAGTCAGCTCTTGACTTAAAGTTTTCAACTGACTCTGGGCGTGAACGTAATCGGCCGCAGGCACATAGTCAGCGAGCCGATGCGCGAGCTCCTTCTCGAACTCTGCGCGCGCTTCACGTTTCTCGATCTCGTAGATACGGCGGAAATCCTCGATCTTTTCTTGGATAATCGAATCGGCATTAACTCGGGCTTGTTGATTGATCTCGGTTATCTCCTCCTCAGTAAGAGTACGGGCTTGGTGTAGTTCCCTCTCGTGGGTCTCCCTTATGAATTTGGTATCATCTTTTACTGAAATGAGAGGAAGGAGGGTCCCGCTTAGGTCATCGCTTCACTCTGTCTCGGTTCGGAATGCCGTTGGGACGAGCGGCCTGAGACGCCGTACATCCCGAAACGAGGGAGCTTCTCTATGGAAGCGCCGCGAGCGAATTTCTTTGCGATTTCGCTGGTCTATCACGGTTCCGTCGCCCTCCGAAAATTCAGCGGGTGATCGTGGCCGAAATTCACGGTGGAACGACCCCGTGAGACGGATTGTTTCTGTATGATACGTTTCAATTCGTGGCCGACCACGACGAATGACATCACGGCTGACATCACCGCGAGCACTTTGCGCTCCGTCGTCAATGAGCGTGCGATGGACAATGAGTCGCGAACTTCTGTAGGTAGGCGACAGCTCACACTGCTGTCAGCATCGGTATGCGAACACGCGTCAACAAGCGCGATATCGCGAATAAGTTTCTGTACGATATTCCAAGGAAACCGCGGCAATCGCCTCCCCGGTTGGCATATTCTGGGCAGAAGCCCCGGACAGGATGGAAACTTACGGCTCTCGACAGTGTTCCGGAGCGACGCGTTTTCAATCGTTGCTTCCTTCAGACTATTCTCAGCGTCCTGAAGCTGTTTCTTGAGGTCCGTGATTTGTTTCTCTCTCTGAGCCCCTTGAATGGAGGCGTTCTCGTATTTAGCTTTGATATCGGCATTCTCCTTCTCGAGGTCGTTGATACGTCGAGCCGCTCTATCGTAGTCGCTTCGAAGTTGATTCGCACTGCAAAAGCACAGAAATCTTTGAGGCCCATCCGAAACGGCAAGCTGTGAACTTGACATACTGCACAGCGTTGATCTCCCTCCGATCAGCCGGTATATCGTTAGCATGGAGGCTCTCCGAAGCGACAACGTTCCCCGGGTGAGACTTACAGTACGTTTGTACGTTCGATCTGTTTTCGGAAATTGTCGGTCTCGGCTTGCGCGGTCGCGCGACGTTTCGCTTCTTCATCCGCGAGTTTTCGAAGCGCTTCGATCTCTTTTTGGAAGGTTCCCTTCAATGTCTTTATTTCTGTTGTCGACTTCTCTTCAATCCTTCGTTTGCTCAATGTGAGACGTTGGTTTTCGCCTTGAAGTTCATTCACGTGTTCGATGTATGCCGCGAGTCTGGAATGAGAAGGAGAACAATTATTATTCACGGGATTTACGATCGACAGACCTGAGAATCGCTCCGACAGCGCCTTTCAGCTCGAAGCGTCGCTCGCAATCGTTCTCATGTCCAACGGTCCGGTCAACTTTGCACGCTCTCCCGGCTCGCTCGACCCGCTGTCATACTCATGTAGGGGAGCGCCAGCTGAACGTAGATAATTTCACAGATCAGGGAAAACTGCAAGACGTCGGACGTAGAAGGGAAGGTTCGAATGAGCCAAAAAAGCAACAGCCGGTACGAAAATTATGAATCAATGATTTTTCAACGACAGATGCAATTTCGGAAGGCACAGACAGGCTGCGTCCCGCTCTCCTTCTTCGGTGGATGAACGCTCATGAAAAGCTTGACAGCGTCGCTGGCGGCGGCTTACAGTGGGCCCCACGAGCTGAGCAGCCGCGGAGGCCACGCGAAGATCCCGAGTATTTTTCTTTTTCCTCCTTCGGCAAGTATACTCCCTCATACGGCGATGCAGCAGTGTCGGGGATCTTGCCGCCCGACCGAGTCGGTTCCGCGAGAGATGCGAACTGCTATAACTAACCCCATATAACTTCGATAGGGAATCGATCCCCGTTGCGAAACTACTGTATTCTATGGAAGTCCTCAGCAGATCCCAAGCCCGACCGCACGCCCCCTCGCGGTATCGTAGTTCTTATCGCTGGACCACAATTATTTCATGAGTCCTAATATTTTCCGAAAATTCAGTATGTCGGTCAATGGTCAAGCCAAGTGGTGTGAACCGAGAGCCGCATCCGCGCTGGTACGAGGCGAGCTATTCGCTGCTCCATAAAAGGAAGTGAACGCGGCATGGCGCAGACCGCCATTCAGCGGAGCCTGAATAACGAAGTTGTATAGTTCCCTTCGAAGCTCGTGCCTTTCGAAAGCTCATCCAAATGACCCGCAGACAAGCGATGGAGGATGTTAAACATCGGAAAGTGGACGACCCTCACGGCGAGGGATTTCCTACGCAAGGATTGAATGAAACACCTAGTTCTGTACGCAAGAGAGACCCCATTAGACTCTGAGAACACCTCCTTCCCTGACTGGGCACTTATGGTCTTACGAGGCAATTTCGGATCCATCGCTCATTGAATCGGCCTCTTCCCATCGGAGATCTCTACCATCGATACGTTCGACGCACCGTGAACTCATAGGGGTTTATGAAGTTCTCCTCCTCGCGCGACCTCATGCTCGTGGTCAGTCGCGTAAATGCCCCATTTCGCATATCCGGTACGGAATATTGAGGGATACCATCGGCGTACGCTTCATGAACAACAACTCTGCAGCCGTTTCTCCGGCGTGGACCATAGACGCATCAGAGCATGCTTTCAAATGAAGACTCCGCCCTCAGTACCAACGACAGGCTCGAGGAAAATATTTCAAGCGAGATCTTCTGTCAACGGCCGGTGTCCATCTCACACGCCGAAGCGCGGTGCGCGTTTTTGGAAGCCGGCTGCCGGGAATTCAAGCTACCGGCAGGCGGGCACTCGGACGAGAGCTCGATCCAAGGGTTTGACCTGCGTTCGAGAAGGATTCACGGAGACAGACACGCGGGCAATTCTGGCAGCTATCTAGCCAGAAAAATGTCTCGCGTCGAAAACGCTGCGCCAGCATGACTAAACCGCAGATCCAATACTCACCGATTGTTCAACAAGGATAGTTGTTTTTCTCGCTTTCACGAACTACAAGCCCTGGACTCACTGGTCTTTCGGGCGTCTCAGGAGGTTCCTGTACCGAAGGACCCGGTGAACTACGTTCGAGCGGCGTCGAAGTCACGAGGCCGCGGGTTTGCCTTTGCGGCGTCCCTTTTCGAGGACTGTCTTTCGGCGGTGCTGCTGACATGCTGTCGAGTCCGGCGTCGTTGTTGTTGACACTCGCTTACAAGTTTGCACCACGCTGTCGGATGATAATGAAGTTTGTTGCTTTTTGCTTACACACTGTGACTCGCTGCTACGGCCAACTCTAAGATGCCGCTTCCAAAACAAGCCAAAAACGAAAACCCGCCGCGTTCAAACAAACGGGCGAATGAGCCGCAGCCGTACCTTCAACAACAGCAGCCGAAACACACACACTACCGCACCCTGAAGAAGAGGAGCCGCAACGGTCCCGATGTGCCCGCTGACGTCATAATCCCGCCTCATTTCGAAACCGGAACGAAACTCGGCGCGCCGAATTTGAATGGATGCCTCCCCGAATCATCCTTCTCGACGGAGTCGCTCACCGCGGGCCTAGAAGTCACCGATCGCACTCGAAAGCACCCGAATTTTCGGTCAACGCCCCGGGCGGCAGTCGAATTCACCGACCCCCTGCACGCTGCTGGAAAAGAATCGGATGGCAAGCAACGCCGAACGATCGGAAAAACCGAATTGAATCCGGCATGAGTCTCATGTGCTCGATCGGATGAACTCGGATCGGACTCACTCATACTTGGCGCGAGTTTCTAAACTATTTCCTTGTCTGGATGACAGATCGACCGTCGCCGGTTCTACCACAAAACCAGAGCGAACTCACGTCGAGTCATATATCTCCGATATCAGAGCTGTAGAGCTGTAGCCCCGTATAAACGAAAGCGGAAACTTCGGAAGCCGCGCACGTCTCTGCCCCGTTGACGTAAGAATGGAGGTTACTCGATTCCGTGACGCGGAAACCCCAGCTTGACCATTGACATTGACGAAAGATCAGATTTCTCACTCCTCTCTTCTGGCGGAGAGCCCGGGCGGCTCGTCCTTCCGGAAGTCATCTTCGGAGGAGCCACAGTACGCGCGACTTCACCACTTGAACTCAAGCCTCCTGATGGGCGGCATCGGGAATCAGTGATCGATTGTTTCCCATGTTTCAGTTGCCAGAGAGGCCCGATAGGCCATATGAGCCATTCGTGTCATTTGTGCCATAATTGATAATGAGGTCTTGGCTCAGGTCGTGTCATGTTCCAGAGAACTCCAAGGAGGTAGCATATGATCATCAAGGCATCACCTGAATAGAAGTTCTACATGTGGTAATACAGGAATCTATACCCTTGTTGCACTGCTCCCTCACTACATCTCGGACTCGGAACCGGAAATCTTGCCGCAGGGAGACGGTTGAGTACGTCTTCGTCGCTCGTGTGAGAGCCGGGCAGGGTACCTCCTGGAATGAAATGTCATTTTTTCCTAAATGAGTTCCAAGGCATCACCTGGGACCCGGATACCTAGGAGTGCCGCATGAGGAAGATACAGGAATCTTCCGCCTCTTTGCACCGCTCCGTTTCGACGTGTCGGAAGTCTCGCTGCATGCATCTCTTCCTCGCTCGTTTACGAGCGTAGCGGGTGTCTGTGAGAAATTCAATTTGGATTAGGCATTCTTCTCGAAACCCTGCAGAACTCTCGCCCGCGACCCAGAACTCTAGAGGGGGCGAAACTCCCTCGTTGTTCGATTCGGCCGTCACTCGAGTGCTGTGATGGGAAGTGTCTGGCCAGGAAAGTGTCAAGCTCTGACCGGTCGTCGAAGATCACACCTGAAAGACGCTCAGAAGACGGTCTCCAACAGACATCCCTCAGGGGGCAGTCGAGGAAATTGAGAGAGGAAATCTATCGGAGACAATAATGGATTCTGTTCATTCCTGCGCATATCTTCAGGCTTGGAGTACTCCGTCGTATCTTGCGACAAGGGCTGTCGCTAGCTAAAATGTACCTACGAGTAGCTAGCGATATCAAGCTCCCCGCTCACAATAATCCAATATACCCACGTACACCAAGATCTCGGGGACGGTTGACGATCTTCGCAGAGACGTCCGAGACCAATAATTTATTTACAACCTTATATTTTACAACAGTTTCTTAGAGAATTCAGACTGTCTTCAAGGGGCTTCTTTGGGTCGGCCTTTCCTCCTCTCAGACTTTTTGAATTTTTTTTTGGAGGCGTCAGATCGCTTCCCCATCAAGTCCTGACTCTTGAGTAGAAGTCGTTTCCTCTTGTATATCAGCTGGCGCTCCTCGAAGTCTGTCTCATCCATCCGAATTTCGGCTTCTCGAACGGCAACGTTCACTTGGGCCATTATTTTGACGATTTCTCTATCGTCGATCTGCAATAATCGAATGTTAGTAGAGCGGAATATTCCCTCTTATAAATAGTTGACCAGCCGGGTAATTTCGACACATGGCGGAATGCACCCAAGTAGAGAATGAGCTGCGTCACCTTTAAAATGGTCACTCACTTTCATTTTGGTCATAGTGACGCCGACATGCTTCTCAATCTCGTGAAGAAGGTGAATGTCCTGGGGAGTAGCGAGCGTCACGGACAAACCGCCAGCTCCCGCACGAGCTGTCCTGCCGACTCTGTGCACGTAGAGTTTCGGATCGTTCGGGACATTGTGGTTGACAACGAGCTCCACCCGGGGTATGTCCAAGCCCCGAGCTGCCACATCTGTCGCGACAAGAATCTTCGTTGCACTCGACTTGAACGTCGCCAGAGCCGCCACGCGCTCGCGTTGAGTTCGTTGAGCGTGCAGGGAGACATTTCTAAAGCCCAGCGAATCCATTCCGAGAGACAACGCCTGGCACTTCTTGCGGGTGGCCACAAATATTATTATCAAACCCTTCGAGTTTTTCTCCTGGAATTGCTTCACGACCTGGATCAAGTAGGTATCTCTCGCATGATCGGGAGTGAGAACAACTCTCTGAACCAGGCTATCCACCGTGGCGATAGAAGACGGCGCCATGTAGAAGAATGGATCCGTCATGGCCAACATCTGCAGCTCTTGTATTGTCCGCGTCAGTGTGGCAGAGAACAAGAGCGTTTGACGTTTCTTGGGGAGAGCAGAGAATATCATCTTCAGCTGATCGTTGTATTTTCCGCTCAGGAGTTGGTCAGCTTCGTCCAAGATGAGCATTTGGATTTTCGAAAATAGGGGTTTCATATCTTCAGCCGCGAAATCGAGGTGATCCGCAAGTCGTCCCGGGGTCGCGACGACGATATGAGGTCTCTGTGCTAACTCGCGACCTTGGTCGACGATATCCGTGCCTCCGACCACGAGACAATCTTTAAGGTTGACCTTTTTACCCAATATCCGAAACTGCTCCGCTATCTGAATGGCCAGCTCTCGAGTCGGCGAGAGTATCAGAGCGAAAATACCGTATGGCTCTCGGAAAAGCTTCTCGAGAACCGGCAGTGCGAATGCCAAGGTTTTCCCGGAACCTGTTTTCGCACACGCGAGGCAGTCCCGCCCTTTGAGGATCTCGGGCACGCAGTTTCGCTGCACGGGTGAAGGGGATTGTATGCTAATGATTTTCAGCCGTTCCAGCAACCAATCTGAGAGCTTCAGCTCTTTGAAGGTTTTGATTTTGTTGTCGTCCGAGACCGGAGCCGATATCTCGTCGTCCTGCGACATCGCTTATTTCTGGAACACGGGAAGAAGCCATTGATGAATACTTTCTCGATTCAGACTCAAGGGATGTGTCCGAGAAGTCGAATGTGACATATTCTAACGGGGGTTAAAAGTGGAACAATGGGTCGGGATCTTCCTGGGGGGGGGGATTAGAGCGCAGCGCTGGCCCGCTGACAACTCCGCTCGCCGGAAGCATGCCTTCGACTATGGGGAAAAATTCTGACCTGTTCAATGTCGGACGCAGATGGATGAAGCAGCTTTGTTTTCGACCACCATCCGGACGTCTTCCAATCAGTTACCGCACGTGCTTCTGTCGCGTCGTCGATTCTGTTGTGTTGACGGGTGCGATTTTCGCGGCGGGAACCATGAGCTGGCAGTTTTCACCGAGCCACCTCTCAATTCTCTCGAGACGTTCGACGCCCGATCCTCGGATGAGAAAAAGTAGGATCAGAGAGAGAGCATTGCGTTTTGGAATCGTCGTCCCCGATTTCTCCTTTCACAGATGGCGCGAGATGAGAGCGCTAAGAAAAACATTTGCGCGTATCCTGTATCTCTGAGCGTGTGTGTGGTGTCTGAGTTTCGGAAGAAGAACAACAAGGAACGCTCACTCAGGGAAGTATTTCACTCCTCCGGGAGTTGAGTCGACCAACACTAGAAATCTCCCCTTTCGTAAGTGATGAACGACTCATTCATCAACATGGACGTGTCAAACAAGCCAGGTGAGATAATTATTCCCCTTCTCTGCGTTGTCGCAATCCAGCGATCGCGGACGGACTCTGTGCGGTCTCATCCGGGACCCTATCCTGTCTCGATGTCCACCGCTGGCTGACTTTCGGTATTATCTCTCGATTTTGCTGATCGATCCACGACTATAAGTGATGAGATAGGGCTATCTCACATTATGCTCATTGCTTGATTCACTCGGCGATTCTTTCCGGAATTTTCTGGATCGCAATACTGAGACGTTCTGCAGCACTTGTCAACAACGCACTCTACGCAGAGACACAGAATGAATGCAATGAGCATTCCGTCGCTATCGACAAGAGGTCTGGCCGGAAGCTGTGAGTGAAGCGGCTTCGATTCCATCATTAATCTTCGTCAAGGATATCCTAATGAATCTGCTGCTGAGAGACTTCGGTGTTTCTCATGATGGCTACACTCCGCTTTGGCGGCGTCGACCCCGGCATTAGAGATGAGGGATTTCTACCAAGGAGCTTCCGATGAAAGGCTTGACCGATGGGCGAGCTTCTTCCGATTAAACAGAAGCGAAATACGGAACCTGTTCCTAGAACATCGAATCGAGTCATTATCGGTCTGGGCCTCGCGCGATCGATGCCTGCTCTAGATCGATGGCGGATCGTCCGAACGGCATTGAAAGTCATGGAAACTCGACCAAGAGTCTCGTAGGGTGAACTCTCTCTCTGGGCAGAGTCGAGGCTCGAAAGGATTGAATAATTTATCTCCTGCTCGGGAAGATCTGCGCTTGTTCCAGGCGGAGATCTGGAACGTACGCATCTTTTGCTGTTGGCGGCACTCACGGCGGAGGTATCGAAGGCGCGGTCGTCGTTGAGTTCCATATCTCCTATTTTCCGCATCTGTGATATGAAGAAGGCCTCACAGCGGTGAAGTGTGGACGTCAACAGCAAACATACTCTCCTCAATTTTGTGGGTGTTGTCCGATTATCATTTCAATGATGACTTCCGTCAGTACTCTCGAGCATCGCTGTCGTCTGCCAGTGTCTTTCCTAGCATCGTCCATGGAGATTTTCGGCAACTTCCTGACGCTCCGAAATCAGCTTGCTTTCCTCACTTCCAGAGGCGCGCACAGGAGGGGGGGGGGAAAGGGGGGCAAGGAGGCCATGGCCCCTACCAAAATTCTCCGGTTTCAATGCTAAAGTATGGACTCCGAGAAGGCGCGTCATCATTTTTGGTCGTCTGGCCCCCTCCAAAAGTCTAGTCGCCCTCCCCAAAAAAAAATCCTGTGCGCGCCCCTGCTCACTTCTCGAGACTTCCGTCGAATTCGGAAGCCAGACTCGTATGACCGTCTCATGATCGAGCGTGTTCTCAAGACGCCAGGTCGAATCGCAGGAGTGAGAATCTCCGAATTTCCCTCCGTTCAACACAAGAGTGTCGCTTGAGCTGCATGGAAGTTCCCGAAGCTTCGGTTTGAACTCCCAGATAGGGTTCTGTCGGAGTTAATTAGAGAAATTAGTACGACTCGCGTTCATCTGTGCCAGAAATGCATGACTTGCAGTTCCGGACAGATGACTTCATCCGGTTGCTCAGACAGTCGACTAACGAGGGAACTTGTTTTCCAATGAAGGTAACTCGTCAACAGTTGCGGATGAAATGTTCCCTGAAGGAGCCGGTCCCTACGCCGACATGGAAGAAGCTGGAGGGTCATCGAATCTCCTCATGGACCTAGCTGCGTATGAAAAGAGCATCCATCAAGATTTTTTCAACGACTTCGATGACCTCTTCGACGACGAAGACTTGAGTTGAACGCTCACCGCGAACGACGCCGTGGAAGACGCTCTCGGAGCCTTCGGCGGAGTGAAACCTGTACATTCTTAGTCGAATGAGAATAAGGAACCTCGAATAAAAAATACAGCTGTATTAGATTGTATCCGCTTCTCTTTTGTTCTTCTCTCTTCCCTTGGTTTTTGGATCATCCGAATAGACCACAAATCCGAGGCGGCTGTCTTGAGTCGCTACCGTGGGCCTTCACACGACGCTTCTCCTCTCCCAGACGTTCTTCAAATCCTTGACGTCACGCCTGCTCGCAATCCCGAGTGGTTCACCCTCCCCCTTTCGTCTCTGGGTACTTCTGAAATATCAATGAGAGCCGCGCGGGACCCGCTCCAGTAGAGAAGGCACTGTGGAACGACCGGCGTCGGAATGCAGCGAATCTTCGCCGTCTTCGCGCTCTTTTTCTATGCTGCTGCGCATAGTGTTTCCGGTGCGGCTTTCGTCAACCTGACATCGGGCGGCTGGAATGGACTCGAGCTCGAGCTCCCGGGTGTGTCGAACAAAGTCGAGGTCTTCTACGGAGTGAGATACGCCGAGCCCCCGGTCGGGGATCTTCGCTTCAGGCATCCGGTACCGAGAGCCTACAGTGGAGCATCCCTAGATGCCACGAAACCCGGTCACGCTTGCATTCAAGGCAACACGTTCTACATCCGAAGCAACGTGAGCTTCGGTTTCGCCGAGACTTCGGAAGACTGTCTGCACGTGAACATTTATCGTCCCAAAGGGGCTCAGAATGCGCCCATGGCGGTATACTTGCACGGTGGAACTTTCGTCGCCGGGTTCAACAAACTCTTCCTCTACGACGCCGAAGAATTGGCCGCGCGTGAGAACATCATCATAGCCGTTGTCAACTACCGGCTTTCGGTACTCGGATTTCTCTATCTCAACCACACCAACGCCCCCGGCAACCAGGGTCTGTTCGATACGTTGCTCGCGGCAAAGTTCGTTCAACAAAATGCCCGAGCACTCGGAGGAGATCCGGACAGAATCACTCTGTGGGGACAATCCGCCGGAGGAATGGCGGCTGGATTCCTGTTGGCCAGTCCTCTGGCCAAGGGTATCTTCAAGCGTGCCATCCTTCAGAGCGGCGTGACCGCTGCGGCAACGCCAGCACTGCGACTGAACAACGTCAACAACGCTGTTTCTGCGGCGAGTGTACTCGACTGCGTGGACAGTAACAGAACCGTCGATGAGCAGCTCGGTGACATGGCTCAGTGTATGAAGAAAATTGACGCTCAGAGATTATTCGATGCCGTTAACGTGGATCTCGGAGAAAGGTACACTATAACGTTCCAGCCCATGTACGGTATCGATGATATGCTCCCGGTTTTCCCGTTCCCTGCCAATTATTCCGAAGTTCCCCTCAACGACGACGTCAAAGAAGTCCTCACCAGCACCGTCTCCGACGAAGGTGCCATGTTCATTTGGGGTGTTCTCGAGCGCTTCCAGTACGCCGACTCGTCATCGGTGGAGGATTTCATTAGTCTGAGTCAGGTTGTTCTGAAGGTTGTTCTGGAAATGCCAGCCGAGTACGTGAAGAACGGTATTCCCCGCTACATTTCGCCGAGCGTGACCGATCAAGCAGAGATGAGGAAGCAGGTCAGCGATCTGTTCAGAGATGTTCTCTTCGAGTGCCCGGTCGACATGTACTCGGATTTCCTCGCCACCAGAGGTGTCAAAGTATACCGTTACCTCTGGAATCACAAACCATCAACGAGCTACTGGCCCGAGTGGGCGGGAGCGACGCACTGCGACGATATTCCGTTCGTGATGGGCTCTCAGTTCGACATTGGAAATAAGGCGGAAAAGTCCAATCAAGCCAGTGCAGGACTCGTTCATTTCCTCAAGACACCGATAACCGAGGCCGAGAAACAACTGATCAGAGACTCGCTCAAAATGATCGGTGACTTTGTCAAAACAGGGTGAGTTGGGATTTCCGTTTCTTATGCTCAGCGAAAATTGTTTCTCAACGTTCTGTCACATTTTCTGTGGCACAGATCCGGTGGAGGAAATGAATTAATGGTTCAACAAGTTGTGAAACGGAGAAAACGCGACGAACGGCAATGCGGTGCCTTTAATGAGATCTAAGTTCTTCTGTTCTAATCACTTCCTTAATCGACACCGATTGGATATCGATCACACTGAGAAAGGAACCGCGCACGTTCTACCCTTCGCGATTTTGGCAAACAGAAGAAAAGTCCGCTTCGGTCTGTGCGTCACACGGTCCGTCTGGATATTCTCCGATCGCAATTGCTCATGTTGGAAATTTCCGAGCAGAAAATGCGATGATCGTTCTCAGATGCAGATAGAAGACCCACATAGACGATTGCCGAGTTCGCGCAAGATATTTTTTCTCTCATCGCTGAGACACATGAATCCATCAGAAGCGCGGCGACGGACACAAAAAAAACGTTTTCCAGTGCTTAGCGCCGGATGTTGCTATGACTTTGGCAAGCAAGCAAGTTCGTTCCATTGCTGCCATCAGCGGCGGCATCCCAAGTCGTCTCGATCTTTCATTAACCATGTACGCCGGATCTTTCATGTTCAGTGAGTTTTTTAAGTGACAATCGTTTCTGCTTGGTTACCGTATACAGGAGTTATCTAGACACCGGATAAACATCAGAGTTTGCGCGATTCCCGATTGTTGCGGCAAAACATTCTCCTAAATGTTTCTCGTATCCGGGAACGGAAAGAGCAGCAGCCATCCATCAGATGATGAGTATCTCGATTCCTCCGGATGTCTTCTTTTGCTGAGCTCCTATTCGGAGAGAGGCATCCCCGGGATTCTCTTGTACCCATGAAGATCGGAATCCCAGACCGTCTGAGCGCGGGAGTCGAGTGATTTCCGCCGACTATTGTCGTCGCGGGATGCCGTCCGTCTCAACGGAACTGGTATGGAGCCATTATTTCCAGGCTCATCACGATTTCCGGTGCAATGAATTCTCGACGTCTCCACGGGGACGGAGCCATCAGATCCTCTTGAAAATCGGCGATCTCACTTTGTCGCTCTTCGCGGAGAGTTCCATGTCATCGGGTTTGGCGCGCGAAGAGCCGCGTCCGATTTACCCTCCAAGGTCGACATTTAGATATCGGCATAGGCTTACACCGAGCCGACGGGGCATCGGTAGAACCCACAGAACAGATTTCTCCTTCGGCACGAGTGGCTACGAGATGAAGAATATCGGCGCTAAGGTGCTGAAATGGATTCATCTTGTTCAATGCGCTAAGCCCGGAACGGCTCGAGGTTTGACATCAGAGAATGACTGCGATTTCTTAGCTGTTAAGCATGGGCAGCTTTTGTTCTTCAATCGCGTCCTGAAATCGATGAGTCGGAAGAGCAGTCTGCTCCCAGAAGAAAATGCGTATGATTCGAGCGTGAGTGGATTCGTCTCATTATTGATGAGCGATATTACGAAAACGAGCGGAATTTCGCCAAGCATCACGACGGTGGTCGTGGATCGTCGCGGGCAACGACCTCGGGCAAATTCACCTCACAGCGTGCATTCACTTCATTGCGTTCCCGGGCCCTCGACACGGCTCCGGGTCTTGAGTCCCATCGCGGCGTAATGAGCCAGCTGCGAAAGAGCTCCCGAGCTCGAGACGCCACTTCAGCTCAAAATCCTTTCTCGGCTAGCCGGCTGAAATTTTTTCCTTATTAACCGGATCTTGTTCAATTTTCCACAGAGTACCCAGCAGACCCGATGGTTCGCCCTGGCCGCTGTATACGGCAGAGAAGAAGGAATTGGTGCGAATCGAAGTTACGGCGTTTTCCAACATGACGGGACCGCATTCGGGCAAGTGTTCGACTTGGAAGGATTTCGTCACCAACAAGTAAGCAAACATCCCAAGTTTCGTAAAATTTCATGTATCCCCAAGCCGCGACGCTGCTGATGAGGGCACCTGGAGCAATGCCAAGCAGTCACTCACTCAGAGGAACTGTTCATCCTGTGGAACTCTTAAAAATAAGATTCTGTACCATCAGACCGAGACCGTTGGCTGCTTCAGCGGGACAAATTGCTATCGAGTCGCGATAACTGCCTCTGACTTTGCTCTGCTGCGCGAGATCTATCTAAGATCAGGATAATAACTGCCAAGTCACTATCTCTCCACATGAAGATAATTTTTTCTCTGCTCCCGCAGGAAGACGACCAGACTCCCGATATACACCCTGGAGGACACCACAACGGCGAAAACCCCAGCCGTCGAATCGAATGAGATAGTCACCAAACGACCTCGCAAAAAGAAGGGAAGATACAACAACGGTTCTCCCGGGACGGCCTCATCGCACCCTTGGATTCTGTCATTAATCTTGATGGCGACGATCAGATTCCTGTGATAAGCTCCGTACGCTCTTCTTCATTCCTGTATATACATTCCATCGAATCGCGAGTCGGTTGTGAGGAAATACATAGTTTTATTAGTCGCGGAAGTAGATGTGTTCTCAATTCTCATACCCTCCTCGGTCATAGTCTTGGACAGTCCTACGCTTCGGTCGTGCTTTCTTGAAACATGTACATGATGACAAATCGATTCATACTATTTCAAGCCTTCGAGGGATCGGGACCATTCGCATCCTGATCCGTAATTCCATCCACAATCCATTTCAAAACCTTTTATGTTCGACCTGGGGAAGACCAACCCTCCCTGAATCGACTCCAACGTTCGCAGCTCTTTGCTGGAGCAACCTTTTTCTCCAGGCAGGTGATTGCTAAAACGAATCACCATAAAATGAGTTCATTAGGCGGCTAAAATATACCTAGTCAATCACGATGTATACTGGGGTTTCTGTCAGAGTTTGCTGTTGTAAAGGGGGTTCTTCGCATGGGTCCCTTAAGGCCGGAGGTTCCTTGCAGTCTAATCGGCGACGGAGCTGCGCCTGAGGGGCGCTCTCCGGCGCTTGAAGAGGCTTCCGCAGACTCTGGACATTCAAATTCTCGTCCAGACTTGGACAGAGGGCTCCCCGTTTCCGCTTTCGACTCGCAGCTCCGGAGGCCAATGTCTGGTTCAGAGAAAAGAAGAAAAGATGAGGAAGAAATGTTCTCCATCTTGTTCCCTAGCATGCGAGGTGAGAGCATACATGAAGGAAATTGAAGCCTAGAAAAGTGGAATTCTCGAGAGAAATTCTCACCGGAGACAGGGGCTCGACGCTTTCGGGAGTGATCCTGTAGCTTTCGCAGCTCTTATTGCTAGCGATGATATCCGCGGTGAACTCACAAACCCCCAAGCGTCTGAACTCTATCAATTTGTTACAGATGGGGCACCGTCCTTTCGGTCGTTTCTCTTCCATAGCTAAGAAATTGTGCAGATCGAAGCACTCCAGATGCTTGCAAGCCTCGAAACGTGCAGGGGTTACTATGCGAGTCCCGAGACCTGAATGACGAGAAAACCATGCCATGAAGATTCTCTAAGACCATATGGTGCGTAGCCGCTGATTCTCGACGTTCGGAAAACTCACAGGGACACTTCAGGCTCACTATTTCTGATTCGACTCCTTCGTCTCTCATACGCTTCCGTCGTTCCTCGACTGTGTCCCGCGACAGTGGATCCGCAGCTAATACCGATCTATTGGGCGGACGAAAAAAATTCTGTCGCGTCAATCTATCTCAACAGACGCATTTGCATGCCGACAGTAAGGCGATGTGGTATCCACGGAACCCTATCTCGGAGCAGCGATGCATGCCCAATACGCGCCGGATTCTACCTGATCAGAGTCGCCGTGCTCACACGCCGACTCAAGAAAATGTCGGCGACGCCGCTGGCGTTCGGGCTGTCTAGGATGGCGATGGTCAAATCGAATTCTGTCTTGAAAGGTTTTCCCTCCGCCTTTTCTCTTATTAGGAATCCGAGATCGACGGGATCTTCGTGCACCCAATAACCTGCAACATTTTTGAACATTCTGGATCACTCTATTCCGAACCAATCTCTGTGAATATCGAATGTTCCGATTTGGAGCAGATCCTTACCTGAGAATTTCGTCCATCGCGGTTGAACTATTCCTTGTGTAGATTCTGCGGATGTGACGGTAATTGTTTGTGGCACCGGTTTGTCTTTCTGCGTCGGGGGTACTTCTATAGAGATAAGCACTCGAAGCTCCAACCTCGTCTTGGTGCTGATTTGACGCATCTGAGCAGGATATATCAATATCCGGTCTTAGGTACTCATGTGAGACATATTCGATACCGAGAATCATGGTGAGACAGACTCCGCAGGATGTTGATGGGAATGATAGAGGCGCGACTGAAAGCTCCGCTGATCGGAAGCAACTGGATAAACGCTCGATACTCACAATAGACTGGGACAGGTCGAGCGCGCATCGTGTCGTCGCCGTACTCAAGGGAAAGGAGCGGCCGATGGGACCATCTGATGGAAATGGGAAATATCTTACCCTCTAGTCGACGCATTCAATCATGTTCTTCTCGTCTGAAACCTATTGCCATCCTCTTCCGAGAACATCGCTCGTCTGAATATCGAGAGATTCTCCCTATCGTCCGTTGTGACTCTCGGAGAGATCAAAGAAAGTTCAAAGACTCACGGATTCGCATGTTGGGAAGAAAATCGGGGAATTTGAGAGCTTTCGGAGGCATTTCAGAGCGGGAAGTTTAGAGTGGTCTCTATCTATTCGAGCTCTTCTCTGCCCGCACCGACGCCGTTGGAATCAGATCGAGCACTAACACCGAGGAGGGGTTGCTTGTTCTCGCCCACATTCACCGATGAAACTCGTCCGAGTGTAGATTTTCATCCAATAATTACAGGGGAGAAATACTAGAATGCGATCGGTTTTTGTTGTGCTGATTTGTTCGGAGGAGCGCGCCTGATGATTCCGAAACCAAGACTCTCCCTATTTCAAAACAAAAATGGCGCCGAATGCTGTCAATAGAAGAAGGTAGGATCCTTCGATTCTTGTCATCTCTCACCTCAATTCATGGATATTGAGTTGGATCAGCACTGTCGCGTCTTCCGCCCGCTAATCGATCGAGCAGCAGATGCTTCGCCCATCCCGGTGGAACTCGATCGTCAAGGGGTTTTGATGGTCTCCTAATTCAGGGGCGACCAAGATCGAATTGAGAATCGAGAGAATTCGAATCATCGCATAATCCTGCGAGCTCCTCGCGAGTTACAAATATTTCCGTGACCTTCATCTCAAGAATTCACATTTGATGATTCCATTCGACGGTGTTTTTCGAGAGGTGCGCGAGAAACCTTCATCTTAATTTCCTCGCAGAGCGTGTAAAAAAAATTATCCAGAGTCAGTTTCTGTGGCACTGACGATAGTTGGCCTGAAACCGTCCGATCCGGTGTTGCGCCGACGTTCGTTGAGTTTATATGGAGAGCATATCGTAAGGGATCTTATCGAGTTTGTGGTGCATGGTGAAACCGCCTCATTGGCTGAGATAGGATTTGATCGGAACCGATCGATTCGAAAATCGCTTCCGTGGCTACTGCTGAAAATCCGTGATTAGGACAGATGCTGCCCGGAACCTCGTGTGGCGTCTCGACAACAATATGAATAATTGTTCCCCCAACAGCCTACGGCGTACTCGATACTCAGCTATTCTCTGGGCGCTCCTTTTCGGTTTCCTTGCGGGATTGTTCTCGTTTCTTGCCCGCTCGTGTTCATGACACATCCGTGGAAAAACATAAGTAGAAATCATCTTTGCCTGAAGAGCTGGATCAAAGCTCACAGAAGATGTTGCCGCCGCGCTGCCGAGACTGATGTGCGGTTTTCCGTCGCCGGAGTCCATATGAGGCAGGAGTCCGCTAGAAGATTCTCGACTGGGGATGCGTGGTTCTGGACGGGGTGGAGGTGTATTTTGCCCGAGTTCTCATCCCCCTCGATTATCAGAATCGCTAATAATTCTCAGAGAGTATCAATCCATGGACGAGAAAGAAAGGTTGTCAATGCGTATTCTGCAGATCCAGAGACGTCCGTTACAAGCTGTTATCTCTAACAGCAGAACGATGCCCGGAACGATGACCAAACTCCACCGAGACTGGATGCTGAAAACACCGTAGATTCGCTACCAATGAAAAGGAATGAGGAGACGGTCCGAGCCTCCTGGATTGACAAGATTCGCTGCATGGAGCCACGTTCGCCTTGCAGAATCGTGATATTCTGCAAGGCGCAAGATGCAAGGATCTCTTCGATTTCCACATCAAATGGCAAATCGAGTAGACCCGGAATCAGAATCCTCAGCGGTGGGAGCTCGAAGCTCGTTGTGCACTGCCCGTCGACCATTCGTATTGAATCATATCCATTACGGTCATCCGACTAATGCAATTCATACATGTTACGATGGACAGTGTCTGAGGACAGCCTTAAGGACGACATTAAAACCATGTGCCCATCTGTACATACTGATTGGAGCTTGAAACAAGGGCGTTCCGCAGGGGGGGGGGTTGTGGCCCATGACGCGATTCCAGCCCGAGCATGAATTTGACTACGAACACGTTCAGCTCTGCAGGCCCAACGGGCCTCCTATTCGACGTTCGCGCGGCGATAGCCGAGGGAACAGGAAAGTCAGATTTTCCCTATCTCATCCTCGTAACGGGTCGCCGTTGAGGAAAGAGGGTCGAGGTACGGGAAGACCAGCTCATCCGGTCGAGCTACGATAATGAAGACATGTTGTGAAGCTAAGCGCTCGCCGTTGTTTACACCTGAGAGATTTTCATCGATCTTGAATGTTCGAATCGCTTAGACTCCTGCAGCCAGACTTCCTGAGCGTCCGACCATGTACCCGAATGAGGCGACTCACGGCACAAGGAGCCGTCAGAAGTTCTGTTTTCCCCTGCGTCGGTAGGGGCCCATAGCTCAGCTTCACCGGCGACAGATCTTGGCGATATCATTTTGCGTTTCCCCCTGGTCTCCATGGGCACGCTTTGCCATCCGCAACGCCCATAGCTTCTCTCCATTTCCGATGTGCATGGGCATCCCGGAAGTACCTAACCCTGGTCATTGTCGATCCTCGGCGAGGACTGGAATCGTCTCATTGATGCCTATCACTCCCCGGATCTCGTGGGTCGTCAAAGCCGGACAATAGGAGTTCGGGATAATCCTGGGGTAATCCAAAACGTGTTGAACGCCGCATACTTGGAACTCTGATGAATCGGATGGGGCGAAACAAAATCTTGGAACAGCGCTACCAGTTAACGATTCTCGCTGCGTGACACGGGATTTTCGAATGCTTCCAGAAAGTCCCATGACGTGAGCTCCATACGCGGCCGATACCAGAAAATAGGGATAGAAGCTCCTTTCCCCCGCGGATCAGAATCTGACAAGCCTGGCGACTACGCGTCCGAAAAATGCACTGACAGTTGCAGAAGTCAGTCTCGAAATTCTCTGGGAAGGTGACAGACCGTGCAGTTTGTTCAGCATTTCCTCGATTCCCATTGTCCATTGTAAAGCATCTTCGACGACTCGACCTACGCACGCGTCATCGTATGTGCTATCTGTCAGATATCCGCCTGCACAGTGTTTTCAGATCAGTATAAAACTCGCTTGCGATGAGGCCTTTCTTTCGGAATGGCGCACAGGTCTCAGCCACGAGGCGCGGCGTCCAATCCCACCGGAATGCATCGGAACGATCGGCTTCACATTCAAATTCATCGCGAGTCATACACCTCGAAGCTAAATGTATGCTGAAGTTCCAGGGTCGTACGAGCTGCGATCAATCAAACATGCCGGACGACGAACGATCGGGAGCTGAAGGTGGAAAGCATCGAGAGCCCCCGAACCCGACTGCGCGAAAAAACCGTCGAGGAAGGAGTTCCTGAGTCAAACGTCTTCAGTACGCCACCATCGGAGCCCAGCCCTGCGTTTCGCGATAAATGGAAGACGACCACTGAGATCGATTCTCTTCCCGCAGAAAATATACTCATCCCCCTCATATATAAGATGCTTATACCAAAATAATGCGACGTGTTCTTCGGACATGTGCTCGCAAGCGAGATTTGCGGTCGACGCGTCGATCTCTCGATGCGTAGGGGAAGCTCCGAGAAGAATCCTTCGCGAATCGATGCATGTTTAAAAGTCGAAGCAAGTCGTTCGGGAAATCATTCGCAGATCGAGTCCTGCTTCGCAAGTCGAATCTTCGTCTAGAAACGGAACTTTGTAAGTTCGGCTTTGACTCTACCCGGTCGTTGAGAGAAACCAGGTCAGGATCATACGGATCGTAAAATGTACATAGATTGCTCATCCCATTCATGGATTTATTTTGATTCGGCGAGCAAACCTCAGCCCTCGTCAGATTCATACTCCCCACCTGAAATCACTGCCCTGTGTGCGGGAAAGGCTGTCGAGGATGGTCACCAAATAATTATTCCCCCATTGGCGACACTGTAATCGTGATTCCAGATACCTATCACTGATGAGCGCCTCTCGGGAGGATGGCGATTCCCCTCTCAATCAATGAGGTCGCTTTCAATATCGTCGAACTAATATTGGACTGGATTGACTATCTGGTATCGCATTAAGCTGTATGATAATCGCACGAGCGCAGTTCTATAATGACTCACGGGAGACCAGCTGACGAGAGCCTTCGATTCTAGGACTGATCGAGGCCCAGAGACTGTGGAAGTGAGCAAGTACACGACAGAAGTTCGCCCACTTGAATCTCCGATCAACGTATTATCGGTCGTTTCCCTACGATATCTGTCGTGCTCCGAGGAGTTCCTCCCCGCACATGCGTCAGTGTGCGTCGCCTTCACGAGTCGGTGCGGAAGTCACAAAGTAAAATTTATTCAACTGGTTCACATCGAATCAGACGCAACATTCGGTTTCTAAAGTGATAGGAAAGGGTAATAACTGATTTCCCGCAGGTTGTGGGGTCTTGTGAAGGCCTCAGCATTCGCAAATGCATTTGAAGAGAATTTTGTTCTCTTCACCGCATTTCTTGCAGTGTATGACGCATTTGCAGAGGCACGACTTCCTCGGTTTGTCGACGCTGCACGACGTGGAATTACAGCAGGACTTCTCGCTTGCGGTTTTGCGACAATTCTTGCAGGTGCATACACATTCGCACCTTTCGCAGCATTCCCCGTCTTTGCAAGAGGTGGGAGATTCACAGCTGCAGTCCTTCTTCGTGTCACCGCCACAGGCACCGCAGGAACAATTACACTTGCAATCTCCGCAGATTTTTCCGTTACCACAGCACAACTCGCAGTCGCGCGTACATTTGCAGACGCAAACCTCCGATCTCTCCGGTTCCTTGCCGCAGCTTTTGCAGGTGCATTTGCACTTGCAACCGTCGCAGCGTTTCCCATCCTTGCAGCAGTTCTTGCATTTGCTCATGCACTCGCAGGTGCATTGCCTGCGTGAATCCGATGACTTCTGACAGCTGTCGCAGACACAACGGCATTCACCGACGCATGTCACCTCTCCCTTGGGTCCATTCTTCTTCGGAACTGGTTTACAAACACAAATCACTACGTGTTCGCCCCCGTCTGACGCTCCTTCCTCTCGTTTGAACGCTCCCTTGCAATTGCCTCCGCATTCCGAATCACCCATGGTCGCAGCCTGAAAAATATGGGAATTTGCCATCGTATAAAGGTGCTGACTCGAAACCGAATCATCGTCGGACCGAGAGCTCACTGATGGATCGAGGTCCAACGATAAATTCTTGTGTGAAGAAGGCTTTACTCACTTTTTCAGATGTCAAGATGCCGGTGCAGATGGGGCTACTCCTTTCTGCTTCGTAATATATACCCTTTTTTGACAATGGCGACAAATCCAGTAGTGCCGTGTGCAAAATTCTAGCGAGCCGTGTGCAAACTGCGCATGCGCTTTCGGAGCAGAGTGCTTCCTTGGTGCCACATGGGTGGATTTGAGCAAATACTCTAGCACTGAGGACATGTGGAAAATCTATTCACCGTTGAGAACAAGTCTTGTGGCGACCACAGGCTCTCATGCGAACCATGGGCACCATTAGCAATGGGCCACACTTAGCACCGGGCACATCAGAGTCAGGGAGGTCATGACCTGAGCCGAATATCCCCCGAGAGCGTGAAATGAAAAAAAGAAAACGCGGCACCAAGCCGAGGGGCGCTTCAAAATTCGTTCTCCTTCGGATTCTTTGATCCACGGATCTAGCCTGAGGTATGAGTGCATCGCTGACTGAGTAGGAGCGCCGATCTCCGCGGAAGAAAATCCTGGGGCGGTGTCCTCCATGCGGGATGATATTCACATTATTACTGAAGAATGATGCTGGATAGAAGAATGCTGAGTAGAAGAATGATGAGGCCAATCGGGAGAAAAGTCGCTGGAAGCCTCCGCTCTGAATACTTAGGAATGTTCAACTCAAAGGGATTCGCTTGCTTCGCGTTGCCTACATTCTACAAGCAATGTCAGCACAGGGGGTCTGCTGAACAACTCATGGAAGGGCCGGGTGCAATGGAGGAAGGCTACCTCGGGAAGTTGCTGGGAAGAAGCATATCGTACCACCCAACCAGAGCCGCAATCGAGGGCAACCGGCGCGCTGATGTACCCGGGACTCTCGGGCTCCTTACCAGCAGGAGCTCCAACAGGGACAATCATCTGCTCTTGACCATGCGAACTTGATGGGAGAACGCATGGGAAACTCCTCGGAGCCCGGAGGGTCCTCATCGCACAAGTCACGACTGTGTGTTGAGGGAACGATACGGAAGCAGAAAAGGAGTACCTATTCGACGGAAACATATTTATTGTTCTATACGACCTGGGTTCGGACCTTCGCGATCGGAACACAACATTCCACCGCTCGGAAGACCTAATAAGCTCCGCAGCTGTGATTATGGGTACCATCTCAATCATTGGGTGACTCCTCTAAACTCTCGCATATTTTCCGATTCACATCTGCCCCGTAGTGAATGAAGACAAGGAACGATTTTTCCGAAAACAGGTTTCATATTCCGTCTGCCCGGTACAAAGTAACGAGAGATATTTGCATTCATATGTACAGGAGCGTGTGAAAAGAAAGGGACTCTCCCTACGTCTTATCAGGGTCGCCCTCTTGGGACTTTTTCACTCTTCTCTGTTTTTCGCGCATAAGAAAACTCTTGAAGGACTCATATTCTTTATGCTCTTCGTCGTCCGCGTCATTTTCGTTGACGACGACTTCTTCTTCGGAGTCTGGTTCCTCGAGATCCCCTCCGTAGCTTGGCCGAATGAGAATTTCGGATCCGGGTTCTTTCGCAGGAATGTCCTCCACATCTCCGATGACTGTCTCACCGAGCGCCATTTTCTGAATGACGACTTTCTTCTCTTTCTCGAGCCGCTCGTTCTCCTCCCGCAGCATTCGTTCGTATTCCGGTCTGTACTCTTCTTCGTATTCAATGCGCGCTCGATCGATTGCACTGAGGAACTCTTCGCAGCCCAGTCCAGACACTGCGGAGCAGCCAACTGAATTGATGTTCTTATAGAACTCATCCAGAACCAGACCCAACGATGAAGCCAGAGTCGAGATATAGGAGGTCTCATTCCGGAGCGATGCCTCGAAAGCTTCCGGGTCTCTCATCCATTCCTGGGCGTAACTGTGATTGACGATGTCGATCTGCAACAGAGGCGTTTATCGATGAGAAACGCATCGCAAAAAGTCGTCCGTCCGGACCTGATACTCGTTCTCGATGTCTTATAATTTATGTTCGAGGCCTCGCACAGATACTCGCCTTGTTCATTGCGATCACAAAAGGCAATCGTGTTTTGTATAGGATCGAACAAGCGTACAACATATTCGACATGAACGTGACCGGTTTCGTGGAGCGTACGACGTCCATCACATAAACGACGACAGTCGGAAATACTGAAGCCAGAGCTTTCGTGATGATGTCCCCGGACGCTGACCATGTGAAGACTTCAATCTGTCCCGGTGTATCGAATATAATGTATTCGTGCTCGTCGGCACGTTTCTGTAGCAGGCTCATCATCTGCGAAACCCAAGCTGATTATTGCGCGGCCTGCCATACGTCCCTCCACTGCGCGGGATGCGGTAATCTATCGGTAGAATCCTATCATGTGAGTTCTCAACAGAAGCGTACTAGTACGATCGGCTAAGAATGGTTTACCTTATCGAAGCGCGTGGAGAACAGATTGAGCGAAGTGACGATGGCGCCGTTAGGTCCCAGCTTATACTGCTTCATGACGTTTTTGTACTTGACAGTATCCCGTATATCGATGTTCACCGGATAAGGGACTTCGTGGCAGGCTGGATCTAAATTGACAAGGAACGGCCGCTTTTTCTGCGCGTAAAGATGCGCCGCCAATCGTTGTACCCAACTTGTTTTGCCGCTACCTGCCATGCCAAGAACTATTATGCATACTGGCAGTTTTTTCGATGCACACGCACCTTCAGCCATCCTGAATCCCACCGCGGGGTCGTTCGGAATTCCCACACTCGATGAAGTATCGGCAACAGGTTCGGGCCTCAAAAATTGTTCCGATCTCCGGACTCAAAACAAAAATGAGGAGAGAGGTTGCAGTAGGACAGGAACTGACGACGACAGGCAAGGGTGCATTTCCGGCACATGTTTACGGCGCGTGATTTCGAAATTCTCCAGCGACTGGATGGTCCTGACATTCCAAGTATTGCATTACCTACGCAGATATACGCAGGCCTGACGAAAGGGGGCGGTTCAGGTGACTTCTTACCCCGGACCCAGAGTTCCCGTCGCGGCCCCTAGCTCTCGCTTCAGTCAGATGGTTTCATCTGCGTCCCATATTCTTCCTCATCTTGTCAGATGCATGGAGTGAAACTGCTGCTCTAACCCGTTCCATCCATCAATATTCTAGTGGCGGTCAAACGATTAAGAGGGGACCATGTCCGAATTTCCTCCCGGGCCCGGAATTTCTCTCGGCGGCACCGGATATACAAGTTCTTTCAAGGCATTTCAGGCATTCGCGAAAGGAAGTCGGATCATTACTTTCCTACTTATTTATTGATGAATGAATGTTCGTCATCGTTCGGTATGAGAGAGCGAGGATTAAAATTTTTAATTTCGCGACGCCCCGGGTAGTAAAAGTTGTTGTTAAGATCAATTCGACGAATCGCGATTCCTTTCCCGGGGTTGTCGGTGATATTCATCATCACAACGTATTTCATTTGGATCTTTCCGCCGAATAATTAGTCTCAACAACAGAGCATACAAGCAAGATCAGGTGAAGGAAAACTCGTCGAATTCCCTGTCGTCGATGTATCTCTCGCTAATCGTTTCGGGGACCCGCGATTCCATCGGCGTGTTGAGGAAGCTCCTACGTCGTTCCTGAGTGATCTTCAAACGTTCGGTGAGCGACAAGTACAGGTCATGCCAAAGAAACTGGGGGAAATCACTCAATAGATCGTTGCACACCCTCAAGTAATTATCATTAAGACAGTTTCTCGTCGGACCCAAATTATAGGCGCGGAAATATCCAAGCTTGCGATAGGAGGTTATATAATGGCAGACTTGGATCCGGAAAGCAAGTGTCATGCGAGAGATAATTCCCTGTGGAAGAAGTTTCCTGAGTTTAACCCTATCTCTCCACAAATATCGAATAGCCGGCCGACGATCGCCACCGCGGGGAGCTCCAAGCGTTCGAGCACCGATCACAATGACAGCTCACCTGCAGGTAGGACCAAGCGATTTCTTCGCTTTGTTTGACGGCGCCTTTGACAGTTGTGTAAAAAATGGTAACGATGACAGGAACCATCGAACGGCGTATCCTTCCCTTGAAATCAGCCGCGCAGAGCAGGAGCACTCTTCTTTCATTCGATGTCAAGCGATACATCCAATCTCTGATCCTCCGTATAGAGCTACGAGTTCCGTTCACCCTGGTCAGCAATGATTGCAGCAACATCCAAGTTTCGTGAGGAGAAACCGGTGACGAAAGATCACTCCGAGCGACTTGGAGCGGACCCCTTCCTGACACTGCCGTGATGATTTTCACGGCGATTGCGAGCGGGTTGTGGCATTCCTCCACTGGCAGTCCTAGGAACTCATTAGGACGAACACGGTTGTGGAGCATGAATTGACACGAAATCATTGCCTCGATGATCGACTGTCTTCCGCGCGGTGTCGTGTGGCTCGAAGTAGAAACGTATTCGGCCATGCTGGTCGTCATCCCTAGCTTGATAGAGCGATGTGCCCACATGACGAAGTTCAGGAACATCACTGCGTCCTCCCATCGGCCCTGTCTGGGCAGCGAGAACAGAAGAAACTCGTAAAAATTCTCATGTCGAGGACAAACCAAAGATTCCTCACTCCCATCGGAGCTTCGAGCGGTGCTTGGAGTTTGCCCCACGACCCACAGGCACACGAGCCCGCACCGGAGTCCGCTCCGGTCCAGTGATTCCCCTGCGAGTCATTAGCTGAAGTTCTTACCGGATAAGATCATCCACTCCCAGTTTTCCATTTGCCAATAGCCACTGCCAAGCTCGAGCCTCGAGTTCTCTTTGTGATGGAGTCCGCGGAGCTGATCGATCGTAGACGGAAGGAGGCACTACTCGAATGCCTCGATAAAGTCTCTGGTGCATTTTGGGGCCGACCCTGATGAGTTCGAAGGATACCGCTTGCCACAAACCGAAGCTGTATTTGTTTATTTTTCTCGATCGCTCATGGGTCTGCGTGAGGTATTCTGAACGTCCACATTCACGCATACATTGGTGATTGCGTTCGGGCAGGACGAGAAGTCCGCCATTCGGGGATTCGCTGCAGTTGACCCTCAGGGGACCAACGGAGAGCCCCCGCCCACACTTCAGCCTCCTGGGTGATCGGGATGAGTGATTGGGATACGTAAGTCGGGCGTGGATGACCGAGGCGGCGAGTCCACCTTGAGCGTTGGGGTCTGCTACGTTGGGGACCTCTGAGTGAGAGGCGACTCCACCGAGCGTCATCGCTGAGAAATCGTCACCCTCTATTTCGACGGAAGGTTGCAAAGTCTGGAAGAGCTTCTTCCTCTCGAACAGATTTTCCGGCGAACCTGGTGCGATTCGCCGGTGTCCGAGTTGTGCGCAAAATACAATCGCATGTCTTGGTTTCGCAGCACGAGAATCAGCCCACTATGGGAAGATCGTCAATTCAGATGTGATAACGAAATCAGATGCAGTCTGCGGACCCCTCCGTCACCGATCCGCAAGCTGTGGTTTCCCAGCCTGGTCCCGGGAAACCTCCGATGCCTGGAACCCGACCCCAAGTTTTTAAGGTCTTCACAAGGTCTTCGAGGTTTGACGAAAGCCCCTCGTTCCCGGAGAGTCCTGACCAGGCCCATGTGAGAAGTCGGCTCCCCACTGTCCGTGGCGACGCGAACGGTCACCTGAACGGAAACTTCCGAATAAATCGCGCTCCGACGAATCAAAGACCCATGGCCCTCCCGGTCCGAGAGAACGCGCACACAATGGCAGCACTGTTGGACCTCGTCGACGGTGTTGGGACCTACCCTCCAGACCACTTGCTCGACCTAGACTGAGGCTCGGTCTCGAGAAGGTCGCCCTGCGCATCAAGAAGATTCATTCGCAATTGCCACAACAAAATCAATTTGTGACTCGAATAAGTTATTATGACTAGAGCCCTCGCTCTGCTCGGCTCGTGGTCTCCCCCATTGGCCTTGGGACGGCCCTCTAAGTCAGTGGTGCACTCTTTCTTATCCCCTAGCCCTAGATCATTCCCCGCATATTCGGGGTACATGGGGATCCCCAAGCTCTGAACAAGGATTCGAACCGCAGAACATCATCTGTTGGTTCCCAGTCAGTCACCGTTATGAGTTTCATGACTCATCAGGCATGGCAGAACAACATCTGTTATCTTCACGGAGACACCGGAGCCCGCCTGACGCTGGGGCTCGGGTAGGGGGACCGCCCTCTCCCCGAGGGTGCCACCACCGCCAGAGACCAGAACATACATTCCAAAAGTACATGTCCCCATAATTTTTCAGCTTGCTTGTGTCGGCGTCCGCTTACGCCGTGGAATCGGCTGCTCCGGTGTTCAAGCCCCTTCTTCGGGGCGCTCTCCATGGTTTAGTCCACATAGTCGTGAGCCAAGAGCTCCAGTTCCAAGGCTGATCGTGAGAATTCAGAGGCGAGAATTCGCGGTCGAGGGTCTGTGTAGCCGCCGCCTCCGCTGTTGCTGCCCAACCGATAGTCTATGGATGTTAGCCATCACGTGTGACAGGTTGGGCCCTTATTCGCTGACTCAAATTGGAGCGAAAGGAGTCCGCCGTAGCTGAGACTTCTCCAAAACAAACGGAATGCCTCGGGAAAGTGGATGATATTTCATGAAGTTTAGAATAACTCCTTGGTATCATTCCATGTTTTGACCATATCCGGGTTCGGAGTGTTCACGCTGCGCGCCATGTTGCCAACGCCCCCTGGAAGTGACCAACCTAATCAGGAGTAAACGGGAACCTCGCTGAGCTTCCCCTACCGGACCGATCGAATCCAGTGCTTTCCTCCCCAATGATACCGAATGGATTTCTGCGAGGGGAACATCGATGAATGCGCGCCGTGAGCTTCTCACTTCTCGTGGCGGAATCGGCTCCCGGGGCCGACAGCAGATCCCGACCACCTGCGCGAAAGCCCCAAGTTAGCGCAAAGTTCCGATAGCGTGGCTAATAATTAGCGAAACATATTCCATGCGGAAAGTGTTCTCTATGAGCAGTGAGATAGCTCAACTTCCAATATGATGTGTTCGCAATTAGCCGGAAGTGTCAACCAAGCTCACACGGACCTCGAGGATGACTCCAACCGTTCGGACATCGAGCCCGAGTTGAAGGAGTCGTGTGAAGAGCAAGCACAACAGGGGAAACATGAGCGATACGCGACTGAAGCTCCCAGCAGTGCCGAGAAATCCCCGTCGTCCAACGATGGCATGTCCGAAGTCGGGCTCGAAGCCGACGAGGAAGTCGAGAGCTTGAGCATACCGCGGAGAAATTCCGAAACCGAAGTCCTTCTGAACGGACGGATATCGCGCTGCACAACTGAGAGTCATTCCATGCGATCGGATTCAGATATAGATCTGTCGTCGGATGAGAACTCCGCGAATCGGCAGTTGCAGATGAAGCTCCTGACTTTGGAGCGACGTCTCACCGAAGTGACCACCGAACTAGCAGAAGAGAAGGAACGCCGAATGTGCGACACCGCTCACTTCCAGAAAGACAAGGAAGAAACTCTTCGGAAACAAGAGCTGCTCGTCCGAGATTTAGAACGAATGAAAAAAGAGAAGGAGGCCGCTGTGATGAAGTACGCCAAGAGCGAACACGAGGCGATCACGGCGACAAAGTGTAGAGAAGCGTCCGAGAAGAAATTATGTGATATGACTAAGGAACGAGACGTTTACGTGACCAGGGTTCGCGCTCTGAATCAAGATTATGCGAAACTGCATTCGCGGCTTGAAGCTCGGGCTTCTGATCTCAACAAATTGGAGCGCATCATCGACCGCTTGACGGACGAGAAGTCCAGAGCTCAGGAGCGTTTACATGACCTCGAAAAATACTGCGATAAACTATTAGCCGAGCAACAGCAGGAACTACTGAAGACAACGACAGAGCAATCCCTTGAGTTTTCGACGAAGTTGGAGGAAACCAAAGCCCGATTGGCTGAATGTCAGAGAGAACGAGACGAGCTCTACACCAGAGTTACTCATTTGGAGGACGCTAATCGAGCCCACCACGAGAACTTGTCCCTTTCGCAGATCGAAATAGAAAGGTGAGTTGAGTGGCTAAGCCCCTCCGCGGGAATCATCGCAGTCGCTCGCAGCACTCGCGTCAGCGTTGCAGTTTTCTCCGTGATCGCCGTCGATGGCAGGTTCCGTGTTTAACCGAATAAATTCGTGATTTCAGGTTGAAAGCAGGCTTGGAGCAAGCGATCGAGGACCACGCCAACTGTCCGAACCGTGAGGCTGAAAGTCTGCAGTTCACCCAGCAGCTTACAGAACGCACTCTCAAGAGCCAGGCTGAGAACGAGCAGCTGAAAGCACAAATCTCGCTGCTGACTGAAGATCTAGACTCTTTCAAGGAGAAAAACTTCAATCTCGATCGCGGCTATGCGGATGCATCTGAAAGACTGCGAATCACGAGCAACGAATGCAAATGCCTAAAAATCAGACTGGCTGACACGGAACGTGAGCGGGATACCACTCAGAGGAGGGTGCGCGAACTTGAACACGAGAAACTATCGGTGAAGAGAAAGAGCGAGCAGAATGTCAAGCAGCTCAGCAAAGAGCTCCAGATAGCCCGCAAACACATCGACGAGCTAGACTCGAAGAGCGCTCCCAAGTCTAACGGGAAGGAAATTCTCCAGCTGGACCAGCGGGTTCTCGTTGAACGAATCGTTAAGTTGCAGAAGAATCTGGCTCGGAAGACGGAGAAAATCGAGTTTCTGGAAGAGCACGTCAAAGAGCTGACGGCGGAGGTCAACAGGAAGCGTACTCGATGACGTTGATAGTGTGATACCGAGTGTAAATAATACAGCCAGCGCTCGATGAAGTAAACCGCGATTCAGTGAAAATTTTGAGCGAGTCAACCATTGTCCTGGTCCCGCCCGTCGGTAGCGAAGGTTAGTCGAAGACAGGGCGGATGGTCAATGGAGGTTACTAACGAGTTTACTGAATCGAGCGCTGACGGTGGTCGTTCAAAATAAATTATCGTTTCAATCTCTGAATGGAGAGGAAAGAATCGAATCTTTTTCCTACACGCACAAGTTCGTTGATTAGGGACGATGAACGAAACTATTTTTCGGATGTTCATGGAAGGTCTCGGCGAAATCCTTCACAGGAACGCTATACTCAGCAGTTTTTTCTTACAAACTCCTCCGGTGGAAATTTATTCAACGTCGAAAACATAAACCTCTCCTCGAGCTGCGTGTTTCCGTTCTAAATATAATACCAATATGTTGACAGTATCCCTAATTCACTCAATATATACACATCATCACGCTCGGGCGCCTTTAGCGTACTCTGCGGGGAATATGAACGTGTGTTCGCCTTGCCCTGCGAAATTCGGCAGGAGTCCTGCATTTGGGATGACGTTCCAATTCAATGAAAGTTTCACCGGAGTCTGGCGCAAACCTCGACCATCGTCCCAGAAATAGTATTTACTGTGGACGTTCTTTGCGCTGACGATTCCGGACTGCCCTCGCTGAATAATTTTGTCCCATAAGACAACCTGGAACGAAAAACGATATAGCTCATAGTTTCCGCTCGTTCCAGAGTGATGATTGCGGAACTCTCGAGCACGGATAATGCAGCGCGGATGTTCACAGTCTGAAGCCAACATATGGCTGAGGCGAATGGGCAAGATGCTCGGGCCGGAAACTCACCTGGTTGATCTGGTTGTCTTTGGTTTGATACTCGGCAGCGAGGTAAACGAAAAGTTCTTTCACATTCCAGTTGAAGAGATCGGTGAGGTTAGCGTCGATGTCGAAGGTAATCACTCCGAGATCCAATTCATCGCGTGAAACTGTATAATCCGGAACACTTTTCCTGTATCGAGAGAGAAATTCATTCGAATTTACTCATGACAAGTCGGAAATAATTCTATAGGACTCATCGAAGGAGAGTCGGTTCGAAATACTCTGACATGGAATTTCTATCACGTTGGAGACACAACAGGGCTCATGTTCCGCCTGGAACTCACACAACAACTTTCCCGGTTCCCAGTTTGACATCGGTTGTATACTGGTGGAAGGCGGTCGATAGGAAAAACAAGAAAGTCATTGCCGTCAGTGAACTGAGGGTGAACGCGAAAATTGCGTGGAGCCGCGTCCATAATGAGTACATCTTCTCTCAGTCGAGTTCGTTCGTCGGTGAGCTCCACTTGTGCAACCTCAACTACGTGAAATCTACGAAGCAGACTGGAATTTCAGAACATTGAGGGAGACCGAAGGAACGACACGTCAGGAGAATTGGAGTCCGTCGATTTTGCTGCACCCGGAACCGGGACTTCCGCCGAACAGACCGCTCCGCCACGTATATGGAATTGGCCAATGTGCCGGTCGCGGACGCGGTCGCGCGATTGTTCTTGGGGCTGTCGTCGACGGAAGACGGAGAGATCGAGCGTTCTGAAGCCGTGAGACCGAATCCACGAATACAATGGCAGAGATCTGCTCCCGGAAGTCACGGGCACGGCTCGGGCGCACGGAACCGGCTCGCGCTACTGCAATGGACAACTGTTCAAACCGAGCTGGCCGCGCTGAAGCACCTGATCAGGGGAGTGAGTCGACGGGAGGACATTCATTCCTATGGTCGAGGACGTAGCTATCGCCGAGCTCCGCAATGTTGTTGGATCCGAGCAATTCGACACAGCAGCGAGAAATGAGCAATAGAGATTTTGAAAGAAGAGACAGAGAGCTCTTGTGAGAGCTTGTCACTTGTCAGCTGAGTAGAGCAACATGAACAGAATCTCACCGATGATCTTTCTCCGATGCGTCTGAGCCGAACAGGGCGGCCAAAAGATGAATCATCTGGAATCCATCGACGTTCGAGGGCTGAATAGACTGAAGAAGCGTCTAGCGTCTAGTCTCCGATAGGACGGTAATCAAGGTCGGAAACATTCGCACAGGTGGATAAGCTCCACGAGGGATCCCACCAGCAGGAGAATTTCCAAAAACTCCAAGTTTGCCCGAGTGTTGCTAGAACCTTATCGAGTGTGTCCCCGCTGCGGTATGGATCAGGAGACGTGATTGACGCAAAAATGGATGTCGGGCTCTCGCCGCCGTCCACAACTTCCAGGACTTGGTTCTGGGTATTCTTTACGCAACACATTAATTTTATTCCGGAACTAGGCGGAGGAATGCTGATGAGTGGTCAGCCACGTTCCCCGTCTTTCGTTGCGAACTTCATATGTATCGCATCTTCTCAGGTGCAAATCGAGTATTCGAGATTTCGATCGACCTCCGCGGCTTTTAGAGAAGTATGATTATCGCATGGCTGACGGCATGCTTAATGTAATCGCCGTCCGCCGTAGTTACTTTCGCTTTATCGAAAACGCATGGCGCGACCGCATTGAAGAGCTCACTGGCCAAAGAGGATCCCATATCGAAGAACCTTCCGCGATATCTCCAGTGAGAAGTGTGGTTCAGCAGTCTCCAAGCTGATACGATCCGCCCGAGAAAATCGAAAACTATCGATGTGGGAGTCGACTCTGGAACTATCAGGCCGCCATTCGAGGCAATGAAAGCGTATCCGATGTTCGTGCACATACACAGGAGCCTCGCGAGCTCGACGAGGGCTGCAAAGATACCGGATCAGGGGAGGATAATTACACGATTCCTCATTTTAAAGCTGGGAGAGGACTCTAACGGGTTTAAACTCACTCCACAGAGGAGCTTCGGGGGTGAGGAGCTTGCGATATCACTGGGAACATGAATGAATGAGGAGAAAAGCATGAAAACTCAAAATTCTGACCGAAAGCGGGAAGCTTGAACTCCGTTGCGATTTTAATAACATTCCGCGGTCCGCATTTCCTGAAGACGGACGCCGCAAAACCCTGCGCCCTGAATGTTTCGACAGGATCGAATATCCTCAGCTTCTTGCACTGATCGAATCTTGAAGCGTAGTAAGGATCGCTCCAATTGATTGGCTTCATTTTCATGCCCCTGCCAGGCCGGGCTGCGAAAGAATTGTGATCAATCAGCGACAAGGAGAACAGCAGAATCATTCGAGCACACCGTGAACTGAGGAGCTCCATCAAAGCACTTGAACTCTTGATTAGAAGCGAAGCGGGTCCGTCGGGCAACGAGCGCACGTTTCTTTGAGATTCGAAATTCCGAAAAGAAAATGGAAGCTTCCAGTTCTGAGGGCGTATGAGGAAGGTTTCGAAATGTTCGGAGCAACCATCGATTTGAACAGCTGCGCCCTGCGCCCCATGAAGCCACCCGAGTGCGCATTTCCATTCATCTGCTCGTTGAATGGAGGTCTACAGCAGGATCAAGTCCGTAACCAAGGCAGCCCGATTCCGAAAGATATCTCTCCCAGGTCTTCTCCCTCCGAATACCCGAACTCCTTCGCTACGGAGTTAGCCGATTCTGCGATTGGGAGCCCGACACTCCTTCAACCAGCTCCTTCAATCAGTTTCGATTTTCAGTCAAGATGTGTACCCGCCATTCGCGGATCGCCGAGATTGAGGCAGAAAGGAAACCTGATCAGTCTGCGGTGCATCCGCGTTGTTGCGGCGGGGCATCGAATGCAGAGCGCTGGATCTAAAAGCCCCAAGTTTTCCCCTCATCGAGCTGTTCTCCTCGAGGGCGCCGTCGGAGACCGAGCATCGCTGATTCCCATGATTAATTTTTAGCGGTATTTACGCGTAACCATGGTTGTGAGGTGGAAACCGTCGAGGCCTTCCCGAGATACGTCATCCTTCTCTAGACTATCGGAGTCCATCAAGACTGAAAAGAGCTCATTGTCATTCCGGAGGTGCTATGCTTGAGCATGGACGCGGCTCGGACGATATGGAAATCTTGGAGGTATGTTGGATGCGGCACCTGCTGCGTTGCAGCGGTCTTCTTGTTCGAGATATTCTGGACGACAGAGAAATTCGATACGGAGCTCCTCGACCCGATAAGGTCCGAGCTCCCCCCCTGGAGATTCTTCAAATCCACTTACGAAACGAACGAGATCGAAGAGAGCATCGTCGCTTCGATCGTCAGCCGTGTAGAGAGACAGCTCGCGTCGAAGAACGATCTGCAGATAGAATTCGTCGACTGCCGCCTGAGACTCTGGTTCGAGACATCGCTCCATTTGGTTCTCACGAGGGACCACAGGAATTTCGCTGATGATGACAGCTTTGGTCACGATCGAGACTCCCTGCACAAGCGCAGAGCGGTTTTCTTCTGCTACAACAACACCGCAGAATTCAGTGATCTGAACCTCGCGCAGGCTTTGATGACAGCTGATTCGAAACTTCCCCGCGGGAAATCCGCCACGGACTTGCTGGTCGTCATTGCCCGCGGTGAGCACCGGATATCCATCGTCAGGAAAGAGATACAGATCTTCCCGAACTACTTCAAGGGAATCATCTTCGTGAATGCTTCATCTCACATCGAATCCTCCCCGGTGCTTACCTACATCATGAATACATTCCGCAAGATTCCATTCGGCTTCAAGATAAACTTTGAAGATTCCAAGAAGACACACCGGATCGATGAATGTCTCCGTGATTGGTTTTCCCCCGACAATCCGAAGGCGTGTCCCCATTTGCCCACCAAGAGGCAAATGATAAGGAACGCGTTGCGGTATAGCCCTTGGGGGTATAGAATCCATTTCTCCACTGACCTCGAGCCTTGCTTGAACACCTCTCAAGACTTCTTTCTTTCCAACCGTATCGTAAGAGACCCACCCAAACTGGCATCTTTCAAAGACAATGACGTGACCGCTCACGGTTTCGACGAACGTGAATCCACCTCAGAGAATCGCGGACATGTTTTCAATGCAGCCACCCTCACCATGATGACCCTACTAGGTTTTTCAATCTGGTTTCTGAGTGGTGCATCATTCACCGATGCGTTCCTGGGTCTTCTCTGTGCAGTCTCGAGTTCTGGAAAAGTTATTGAGAGAATTAAAGGCAGCGTCACCATCGCGGCTTACTCGTGGATTCTAGGAAATATGTTTTTCTCCCTTTTTCTTGTGGACGATATGACCTCAACAATCAGTGTGCCGGTCGGATCGCGAGTCGCGGAAATCGAACAGTGTTTCATCGGGTATCGCTATATCGGCCAAAAACTCTACAGAATCATGCCGATCGAGATCTTCACCGGTTTCATCACCGTGGCAAAGGCAGAAGCAAATTCGAAAATAATCGTCTGCGGCTCTCGGCTCCAATTCGCGGAGATGCAACGCCTTCTCAATCTCCCCAACTCATATCGTATCCGCTTACGGAAGACCGATGTTAAAAGAGTAATTTTCCCGATAATAGACAATCGAGTTCCTGATCTGCTCCGGCAGCTCTCGATTGGCCTGAAGATATGCGAGCTTGTGCCCGGTCACGCTGACAACGGCGAATGGAATGAGTACGCTTTGATACTACTTCAATTCGACCTTATAAAGGCTCTGCATCGGAAAAATCAGAGGGACGTCATCTCTTCTACGGAATCTTACCTCGAGAAAAGATACGGATGCTGCACCGACAGGAAGAAAGTCAATAGGGAATTTCAAACATTCCTAAACACGCTCGGAGCGCGCGGGAACGTCTCGAAACGATTGGGGAATAGCTTCCCGACCGAGTTCTTGATCGTCGCCTTCTCCAGCGGCGTAGTGTGCTTCATAATCGAAGCCGTCATGAATTCTTGTACCTCAGGAGTCGGACCGGAATGGAGATTGCGGTTCTCTCGTCTGTTGCAGCGCTCTCGAGATCAGGTTTTCACCGTGGACCGTTTTCCCAATAGGCGGCGCCGCGTTCAGATTGCCCCTGGTGAGCTCGCTTGGTGCGAAGTCGTGTGAGTCCCCCACGAGGATTTTTCCAGGAGTTTCAACGCGTTTACTCTAAGAGGAGCGTCTATCGATTTCACATCCGCTGCAGCGAGGGCTCTTCTCGCATTGGAGTGCTTCCCACGATCGATTTGGAGGGTCTGAACTCTTTGCTCGCACGATTTAGCCGAGCTTTGCGGTGATATTCTTAGATTGTCGCTATCTTTCGCTCTTGTAGTCGGGATGTATCCGATTTCTCGGCCTCTGCCCAGTTGCACGGATCGAGGAATCGATCCCGACGTTTTGTGCATTGAAGCACGATCGAATTTAACTCCTGATCTTGGTTCGGGATTCCCGAACAACGCCACACGCCGGTCGACTTGCGACTCGCGATTCCGAAATCCGAAACCTCTCAAGACAATGACGGATCTCCGAGATGCCACGAGCATCCGTCTTTCGCCATGAACTATACAATGACTGCGGCTCGCTGATTTCTATTTCCATATTGATGAAGCACCGAATCATCAAGATGATTCGGCATCAATGCGCGGAAAGGATCAAGACTCCTCCGCGGAGCGGATCGCCGATGATTCAAAGCATTCCTGATACCGCGGCGGACCACAAATAAGAACTCGCATTCCGGATTCCTACTTATCAGGAGGTAGGAACAGAAATCGGGAACAATGACACGCAGAGCGTTCGCCCTCCGAGATCAAATCAGTAGCCAAGCGGAGTTCCATATGTTTCAGTTCGTCAATTTTGACGTGAAAACGTCTTTAGTATGGCTTTGAGGGGTCGGTCGAGTGTACTTCGTCCTCTGTGTAACGAAATTTGTCCAACTAAGGAGGCGTGTAACGTCGCTTATGCGGCACGGATTGTGTTCTCGTTCGTCACCACTGGTAGTAAATTAACAGAGGTTTCTACGATTTGATTCTGGCGGAGTTAGGTCGTCGCTCTGGACATCCTCCATAGCTTTGAAAGGACCCCTCAGAAGCTGAAAATACGCATAAATAACATTTTTCCTGGTCGGTGAATCAGAACCCGAAGACTTGTCACAGGCAAAAAGATAGGCCACGATGGAGCGCACCCGATAGAGTATGGATTCGAATACAGGACACCGAGGAGGGTGCCAAGCTGGGCAGAAGTCACACCTTCTCGACCCAACCCGACATGGTGTCTGCTTTTCTGTACAGATCTAGCTTCAAGCCTCATTCCCTCATTTGGTTTCCGACGACGATGTACCAAATATATCACTTTTGGCGAATGGCAATTTCCACGGCGGCGGAGTGTCTCTATGCTTGAGGGAGTATCCTCTTCTTGATAATGTTGTCTCATCCGCAGTCCTCAAGATGAGGCTGGAGCTCGAAAGGAAACGAACGGCGTATAGGAACACGAACGGCCCGGCTAAGGAAGCGAACACTAATGCCAACTTGCTGAGCATGGAGCGCGCTGAAGGAACAAGCGATGTCGCTTTCGTCCTTCTCCCTCCAGATTGAAGTCCAACGTGCATCGCCTAGATCCAAGCCCTTGTGACAGAAGAATGAACGAATGATTCAAATAAACTATTGATCTCGGGGCTCGGGGCCCAATTCGTTTAAGACTCCTCTTCGGAGACCCCTCATAGCTCTAAATATTTTCCAGAAATCGGTACACTGGGTTTTCGTTTGTTGAAGAGTTGACTATATCACAGGAACGCCAATGGAGGCTTCCGGCACAATCTGTCATCCATATAGAGATCCATCGGTAGCCACGGAAGCTAGATTAAGGTTCCCGTACCTAATGTTCTCTTCGCGATGGTTCTCGCTTCGGAGATTCATGGGCCCCTCTGGGGAGGATTAGAAAGACGTTTTCACGCCAACTCTACGGTACTGTCCTAGACATTACCACCGTGAATTTTTTTTGTTACTTGGAGCCTGCCCCCCCTATGCGTCGGTATTAGGATTCTTGCTCTGCTCCGGCTGAGCTCCGTCGGAGTCCTCATCGACTCCCTGAAAAATAAATCCAAATAGTTCCTCAATATCCCACAATCTGTGACCTTCCCATCGAGTCAGAGGAATGCATTAGTCTCAAAACATAAGGAGGTTGAGAAAAGAGAATTGCCAGAGGAACTTTGGAGCTCCAGTTCTCCCAGATATCTCATCCGGATATCGATTGAAAGCCCGGTCATAGGAAAGAGCTCGGGGCGAAAATCAGTGGAAATCGCAGGGGGACAAGGGACTTGGGAAAAAATAGGATAGAGTACCTTCCTCCCTCCTGGAACATGCTGTGCACCTGTGTTTCATGCATTTCACCGGCCGTGCGCATAATCCTCCGTCGGGATCTTGTACAAGGATTTTCGCATTTCCTCCTACAGTCAATCTGCACTCGAGCATCCATTCGAATCGAAAGGAAACAATCGAATCCGTTTATTCTGCGACGACTCACCGACCCACCAGGGGATGGCATCCCACACTTTTGCCGTCCCATCATGTCGACCGCCACTGGCGAGTGAGAGAAGGGTTCTGGGGGATGTTTCAAAAGTTTTTCTTCCCTTGAGTTCCTCCTCGGAGGACCGCATCGGAATGGGAATTTACCGAATAAACGATTATGACTGAGTCCGCGCGTTCAGATCCTTCAAATCGATCATCGAGGTGAGCCGATATATCGTTTCGGGAAATAAGGGTCCTAAATGGAGGAATCGCGGGGTTGTGCCGCATTTCGGATCCTCGCAGCTCAGATCATATCTCCAGGGAGATGATTGATGTCAGAGGCGTCGCTCAATAGCAAGCGGTCCATACGAGGTTTTACGGAATCCCCAGGGGGCCTTGTCGGTGTCTCTTATGTCATATGTCAATGGCGAGTGGAACGAGTACTCCTTCATTCTATTCCGATACGCCCTGCTGGAAGCTCCGCTCAGAGATGATGAGAGAATGTTTCTCAATAAGTCAGCTGAATAATTTCCTCGAATTGAAATACGGCTGGTGCGGCGGCAGGGAGGAAATGAGCGAAGGCTTCCTGAAATTTCTCGCCGCTCCCGAAGCAGACGGAGAGCCTCGAGACAACTGAGAGACTACTCCCCGGTGAAATTTCAGATGGCAGTTGTTCTCGTCTGCTCGGTCATCTTTCCAGCTGGAGTCTTTATTCGATGTCTTCACCGGATCCGATCGGAGCCTGGAACTCAGCGCCGCCGGGCTCCGTGAAGCTTCCGCCCACATCATTTCACGAGGAAGAATTCGCTCTACCGACTTCGCGGCATACCATCTGATTCTGAAGTGATTTTCGAGTCGGAGCAGAGTCATCGAATTGAACTCTCAATTTTTCAAGCTCCCTGCTCCCTGCCTTCGCGTGCAGAGCCGTGTAGAATTCCACGCCGTCCGCGCGGGGAACGGCCGCGCGATCCGCGCGATGACGCCCCACTGACGACGACGGTTTGGGATCTGAGAGTCCTCAGCAACTCATAGCATAGAGTTCAACCTCAATCGTCATCCTATTATCGCGAGAGAAGATTGCGGAGGAGGAGTAACAGAACCTCTGGAAATCCGCAACGATGACCATACGATTTCTTGAGACAACGCTTGGTCCGATTTTTCCCTGAGGGATGGAGGTTGCGGGAAGGAAGGCCTCGAAATCGCAGTGCTCTACGGAGCATGGATACACTCGAGCGGATCAGGTCCGGGGTTTGACCTTCGGGTCGCGCTACTGTCCATAAGCTCTGAGGAAGCTGACCAATCCGCTCGCCTGTCGTCTCCCAGATGAATTTCGCGCTGGTATCATTACACGCTCGAATGGATCGTCCGTTCGCATGTCATACGCTCAAGCCACCCGGGACCGTCCTATCCGGACATTTCTTCGAAATGCGACATAATCCGGACTATTTTCTTCTCGGAGGAAGATATTCTCTAGCAGAACCCATTTGTTTCCTATGATGATACATGTTTTCGATTATGTAGCCTCCTCCGCGAGTGGCCCGAATCCGAGATCATTGAGCCTTCTCCAATTTTCTCGATAGACGTCGAGCTTAGAGCGAGAGATCCGATGATTGAGAGTGTCGAGAATCCCACGCGCTACTATAGATAATAATTAGGGATGTGAATTTTTCGCGGACCGCCATTTTTCCGCGAATTTCCGCGGAAATTTCCGGCTACTCCTCATAGAGTTTCAACGGGGCCGCGAATTTCCGCGAATTTGGCGGAATTTTTCCGCGAAAAATTTTCATCCCTAATAATAATCCATCGCCTATCATCGTCCGCGACCGCCATGCCGCAGCGTCAATCAGAAAAAAAATTGAAAGGACGGAGACCTGCACGTTGCGCTTGAGCAGAGACAATAATCGTCATCATCACTTTCCTGAGCTTACTCGGCCCTCAACTTCGCTTAAGTCTGGGATCTGGAGCTCACTTTCGCAGTTTTTCAGCCCCTTCCCCCGTTCAACGGTCACGTATCTTGAATATACCACTCCCGCCGTTCTGCGGGGAACGCCGTACCTCCGTATCAGAGAATTGCGAGTCTGACTCCACCCCACCACTGAGGCGAAGGCTTTTTCTTCTCGGAGCATCCGTATGAATCTGAGTCGGACTGCTTCGACCTTGCATGAGCCACTTAGCGTAGGCCGGTCGTCTTGCTCCTCCCTTCAGTTTTTGAAAATTCCGCATCGCGGAGAGCGAGAGGAGCCAGATCTGTTTCTAGCTGCCTGCTTGAGCACGTGTGTTTACAAAATCTGGCCCCCTTCCCCCGCGATCATTGAGCAGTGTGCAGTATTCGAATCGGCGCAGGATAGGTCTATAGTGCGTCTGAGCTTCCGAAATCATCCACAGTGGTCAGAACCCAATACTCGAGAGGAATTCGATGGGGAGATGAAGTTCCCAGTTTCTAGCCCATCCCACGGAGGGAGCGATCTCCACGGACCAGAGCAAAACTAATGCGAACAGAATTTTCAGATGTCCGACGAGGAGATCGTCGAAGTGCGTGGTATTGATCTGCTGGAAGCTTCTTCGGAAGTGCAGAGACGACTACCCAGGAAGAAGAAGAGGACGAAGAAATCCGGCATTCAGGCCGTAGGCGGCAAAGCAAAGAAAGACAAAGATGAAATCAATCTGGAAGACATAGTTTTCGGGGGAGACCTGAAAGCGAGCGACAGTGAAGAAGAACCTGCTGAGCAATTGAAGGCAAGCCCTCCCCTCTTCGCCTCATACATCCCCCAACAATGTTGTTGCGTTGCTGATCGTTCGGTGTGGTTTGATTTTTCAGAAACCCAGGATCCATAAAAATTCTTCAGGATCCGACCTGGAGCTTGAGAACGATCTCCAAGCCGAATCCGGAGTAGCCCAGGATGCGGCGACTGAGGAGAGAGTCCCGGCATGGGAGGATGACGATGACAATCGCTTGGTTGAAGAGTAAGTAAATATGCTGATACCCTAAAAGCTCTCGCTCCTTCTGACACATTTACAGTTCTTCTTCGGAATCTCGGAGATTCAGACTCCCCCGGAATTATTGATGATTAGTCTTTCATTTCCTTCACAGGGGGAATGATTCTATGGACGGTCAAAAAACGATGACAGCTCTGCTCCGCGAGAAACACGAGAAGATATTCTCGAGGCCTCAGTGGGCTATCAAAGCTGAGAAGAAAACCCGAGATGAAGAAGCTGATGAGCTCCTCCGAAAAGCGTCGACATACATCGATAAGAGTTCCTCAGGGCGACCGCTCGGGTCAGGAACTCTCGACTTCACCCGCTGCCCGCAAATGAATAAGTTCTGTTTCCAGCGCAGTCCGTTGTCCTCCTTGGCTTTCCACCCGTCGTCCGAGATCGCGATGCTGGCTCACAGAAACGGGGCGATAACATTCCTCAGCGTTGCTGCGAAGGAGTGTAACAAAATTCAAAGTGTGTATCTGAAGAACTTCGAGATCTCCTGCGCGAAATTGAGTTACGACGGAATGCAAATGATGTGTGGCAGCGCTCGGTATAGGACACTGCATTGTTACGACCTCATGAGCGGAGCACGAACCCAAGTGACGTTCCCGAAAGGTGATGAGCATGCTGAACTGGATTCTTGCTTCTATCTGATTCCGTTCCGCGAGAGTGTCCTCGCTCTAACGCATCATGCGATTTTTTTAACGCAGCTCACGAGTTGACTCACATGAAAAAATTCGATGTCAGCGCCGACGGTCGTTTCATGGCGATTCACGGACGGTTCGGCAATATGTACGTAATCTCTGCTGACACGAAGCAGCAAATCGCAACCCTCAAGATGAACGAAGAAGTGTCCTCTGTGTGCTTCACCAGAAATGGTCACATGTACTCGCATGGAGGGAATTACGTCTATTTGTGGGACATCGCCGCCAGAAGGTGAGCTCTACTTCTCCAAAATCGAATGAAAACAATAATTCGATATCACTTACTCCCCAGACCGTTCCATGGGACAAAAACTCAATCGGAAACCATGAATAAGCGTTCCCTCATGCAGGTGCGTCCACAAGTTTCTGGACGAAGGCTGTCTGAAAGGGCGAGCGATGGCGCTGTCCCCAGATGAAAGCTTCATCGCGACGGGCTGTGACAGCGGGATCGTTAACTTATATGATGCTTCAAAGTTACGCATCGACAATTCGCGTACCCCTCAACCGTTGAAATCCGCCAAAAATCTTGTGACACCAATAACCAGTCTGGAGTTCAATCCTTCGAATGAGGCCATCCTGATGGCTTCGAAGTATAAGCCTGAAGCTCTAAAAATCGTGAGTGGGGCCGGCTGAGGCTGGAAGAGTGGATTGAAGAGCTCTGATCTTGGTCTGTTGCGCATATCAACCAAGAACCGTTTTTCGTAATTCCAGTTGCACGTGGGATCGCGCACGGCTTTCTCGAACTTCCCCAACGCCCAGCACAAGTTCAACTCGACAACCTGTGGCGCCTTCTCAGTAAATGGTGGTTTCCTAGCTCTCGGCACGAGTCTAGGAGCAGCGAATCTGGTCCGGCTGAATCACTTCGGGAGTTATTAGCGGCGTGAAATTCACAGATACGATAATGTAGTTTATCCGGATCAATGAGAATGCGCTGCCGGAGCGGGATGTATATAATAAACCTTACGGACTGTTTCGCCTCGAGCCTCGAATCTTCGTCTCTGGATCATTGAAGTCTCACAAAAACATCGGATGACCCTTCACGCTCTTTTTAGCACTCGGTGGACATCTTTTCCGGTCGCCGCGCCGTGATCCGTGATAGGCTATCGCCTGATGGTTATAGGCTGTCGTATACGGCCTTGAATGAGGCCGCGCGGTCTTGTCGAGAGGTCGAAGCTCGTCACTGAACGCTCCGCACGGAGATCGGTTCCCTCAGCGGGAGCGTTTCATTGACGCTGCCTGGAATCGGAGGCCACGGGAGATTCCTGGAACTGCTTCATCCAGGTTGATTCAAGGGGGGCGAGAGATTATTGGAGTCGCATCTCGTAACCGAAACGTTTCTCTCTAATCCTGCGGCGGAGAGGCCCGGGTGTGAGGCAGAGCCATTATGACATCAACCATTCGAGGCTGGTTCCTCCCTATATCGGTTCACCGAACGCATCCTTCGACGGCATTGATATCGTGGGTGAACATACAGAATACTAGAATTAGTGTATGCTGTTCCCTCCAGCAACGGGCTGAGGAGGACTCCATGAGCATCTGCCGCTCAAGGCATGCGATTTTTTCCGAAAGTAATAATAATAATTCAAGGAATCGTCGAGAACTGATTTTGGAATACTTCCGTCGTTTATTGTAGATCCTTTGACCGGGAGTGTGATATAACATCAATAATTGGCATTATGACTCAGAGAAAAGGTCATGGCGATATTTTTCCATCATGACCACGATTTTTGCAGTATCTTACGCAGGTGAGCAGGAGGAAAATCAACAAAAAACCAACATCCTCCCCGTGGAGCTCTGCTCGGGTAATCGTAGAATTCCAGTATCACCATTGGCCTCCGTCATTTTCACATTAATATTCGACGATCATATCGATCTCACTGTCAAGAGTTTGCTGCACATGTATCCTGTAGCCGGCTGCCTCTTTTCGCACGCTCCTTCCCTTGCCTTTTCCGTTTGAGACTAAACATCACAATAGCCGACATAAACAGCTGTTTCGATTTCTGATCGATAGTCACTCCGGAGGAGTCTAAGACTCGAGTTTGAGAGAAACCACCACTGAACAAACAGTCGGGTCGAGCGAGAGCGGACCCTCAGGAACTGAGATCGCTATCGCTCGCATCGAGGCTCTGGCACTCGATTTCCTAGGCTCGAGATGAATGTATGGAGCTTGGGAAGAGACGTGTTACTCCGAACGCTGAGGCTAGGCTCGCGCGCGCTCTGGATTCGAGCTCTTTTGCCGTTCGGGACCCGTGTCTCCGATTCATCATGAATCATGAAAGAGAATCGCCACAGATCACTCCTTCGATTGAGATTACTCTTTCAATAATGTACGCATACATCTCGACCCTTCCGCACAGTCACGTCGAGAGTTTTTCGAGCGGAAGTGTCGTATAAATCCGTCTCCAGTATAATTTACAGTTTTGCCTCCACACAAACATTCATACATTGGCATCGTTTGCATTGAGTGTACAAGTTCCAAGAGAACGTATGTATATGTAAAAATATTATCTGATCTATGGGGTGATGAGCATCACAGAGCGACCCGCGAGGGCTCTGTAGCGATTGCGGTATAGGTCAAAGCGGGAACGGACGCTCCTGTGATGGCAATTATGCATTCCGTCGAGCTAATCGCTGTTCGGAGAAACGGTGCCAGATGAGTTCTCCTGGGAGAAGTGCTGTTGAATGTACTTGTAGATGTCGTAACCATCAGACCACTTCTGGACCTTTGCATTGATCGGACGTTCATCTAGCTTCGTCGATAGAGGTGAATCCATTCGCGCCAGTACGAGATCTCCACGTTTGCAGTTTGCGGCTGGACAGAAATCGTTCATTCCGTCTCCGATGTAGACGACTCTGTAAGATACGAGTGTACAGTCATCTTACGAGATAAAGCAAACGTTGCTCAGCAGGAGGGTATTCTGGCACACGCGAACGTTTCATGAGGGAAAATTACTGGAGGAACGAGATAATTTTCTCGCAAGGGATCCAATCTAGGATGATACGCTCAATGTCGGCTTCAAACATCGCTAGCGAGCACGCGCTCACTCTCGATCAAAGACAAGATTAGTCTCTTTCCATGTACTCTAGTTTTCTTGATATCCGCCAGCCGCGGATTCCACCCGAAGAAAAAAGCCCTCGCCCACCCACGCTCATCAGTTCCGGAACTTGTCATCGGGAGGTCTTCCCTGAGGGCGATGGGTCGTCGACGCGATTCCCTCCAATGATCCTCCATATCGTAAGGTCTTAGGTTGTTCACATGAGCCAGGACTCTTATCAACACCACGGCACCGATGACGAGCCATATATTTTGTGAAACGAGTCGTTGTTTTCCGGGCTCTCTCTTCTACGTCATCAATCGGATGACTTTCAGATGCGAGCGGCTGTCGAACTCGAAAACACTCTCTTGAGCTACCGAGCGGCCGAGACGCAGGTCGGTCAGCCGACAGGCCGGCTGAGCGGCCGGTCGGTCAAGTCGCGAGGCTGAGATTCGCTCAACGAGCGACGCTCAGATCACGGAAACGCGCGTCCGACATAGAATCGATCGTTCATTCACAGCTGTAAAACCGAATGATAGTGCATCTTTCCTAAACAATGCACAATCACCCGTCGGTCCGAGGCGCATCTTGTTCAGGGCCAGTTGTTCACCACAGGGGCGGCAGAGAAAGTCGTTGATTGCGCGAGGACGAACTCTCATTCATCTCATCAACCGCACGGATGGCTCTCTTCGATAAGATCCAGGGCGATGATGAGATGGCATGGGATCGAGAGCATTCCCGCATGGGACGCTATCGACCCCGGGCAAGAGCATTAAAATAATCGAAGAAAAACTATGGTCCTCTCGGAGTGCATGCCAATCCGCGACTATCCGTATCAGCGCCGGAGGATATCCGCTGAGACTGGGACCCGGCCGCAGCAAAGCGAGGAATTATATCGTGTATCCAGATGGCTTTAGGGGGATCCGATAAATTGATCACACACCCTCAGGGATTGATTCAGACCGTCTCACACCCAAGACTCGTAATCTCATGCGTAGGTTCAGCGGTCGTGAGAGCTTGTTCGAGCTAACGGGAATGGAATTGACAGGAAAATCCTAAGCTACTACGAGGATTGGAAGTTCCTGACTCTCTCACGGGGTACCGCAGCCGATGACGTCTATCGACTGATAAGCTCATCCTCGAACATTCGACGGTGGGCACGCTCGGAATTTCGACTCACGCATGGAGTCACATACGATGATCATACTTCGCTAATTCTTCATTTCATTGACCGGAAGAGTGACGACGAGAAGGTCAGTTCCTTCTCCCGACTGTTCATGTGAGCTCTCCGGAAACCGAGGGATGGACCCCTCGCGGAGGAGCATCGAGAACGATTGGCTGATTCAAGCCGGAGGAGGATTAGTCGTTTGGTGGATCTCATCGTCGACATGGGCATCGGTACTCACTTTTGAAGGTTGACGCCTTGCTTCTTCCGTCGGTCGATGTAGTCGCTTACTACGCGACTCTTACAGAGATTCACGGCACAGATCTTACACTGGTCATTGTGATGGAATTCTTGAATTGTCAGACAGCCGTTGCCGTCGAACTGAGCATAATTCGAAAACACCTCGTGGACAAGATGCCGTACGCCCTCCGTGTAAAGTATGTGCTCAATGAAGACCGTGTTGGCATCTGAGATCACCACAACCTCGTATTGACCAGTTTCATTCAGCGCCTAGAAAGAAGTTTACGATTGAGCTTTATCTTTACAGGGCCCTGGGAGTGGTTGACGGACATTGCGCGGCCCTGGATCCTGGATCGATGAGCCGCGGATTAATCACGAGGTCGCGGACGGAGCTCAATCCGATCCCGAAGCATTTGTACTGACCGGTTTTGTCTACGATCGAAGCTCAAAGCTCCAAAGATTTTATATCCGATGCCAACTGCTGCATTCTGTTTATAGAACCAGTTGAACGAATAGATTCGACGCGTCGATAGCGCCGAGTAAGAATGGCAGAAGAACAAGGCGGTCATTCGGACGAGATGCCATCGACGGAACTGGTTTCCGCTCTCCACGGGTTCCTTTTGCTCCCGAAAAGAAATTGGATTGACTCGTTCAGAAGCCGGAGGCAATAATTGAACAACGGAAGAGCAGAAGAAAGCTCGAGTCGCCGAATAATGGAATCGAGAATACTGTGACTGTATAGGTCCGCGGGTACGAGAAGGGGACTCGTGGGCTGATTCTACTTTTCGCATACGCGAATAATAAACGCAATACAGACCGGGAGCACAATCGCGCACGAATTGACTCTCTGAATTCCTCACATCCGTCACATATCGGAAAGGAGAGCCAATATATAATCATACGTCCATGTAGATGCTCACGACGAGTCGCCGAAATCATTAGGCCTCTTGTTCGATGCCTCCAGTGGGTAGGTTACACATGAGGAAGCCGCACCAGAATTTGATGATTTTTTCCGATAGAGCATAAAGTACGACGCAGGGATTTTCCTTGGACGATAATAAGCATTTCGTTGACGATGCTCCCTGTCAGGTAGCGAGACTCTACCGCTCGGCGATACTTCCACAATTCGTGAAAACGATGGGAGAAAGAAACCATTCTCGGACTAAGGCTTCTTGAAAGACTTCCGAAGCCTGATAGAGAGGTTTGATTCCTTCGCCGAACCTTCTCGTCAGCGCCAAGCAGTGTCATTGGGGCACGTAGGCTTGTTCGCGGCTGATTCTCGAAAGAACGGATGTTGAAAGTACGTACGAATGCCGCGCCCTCCGTGGACGGTTCACACCGTTTGTTCCAAGCGTCGCATCTGACTGAGCTCTACGACACGATACCATGAGCCTCGAAGCAGCTCGATGGTCCGGGTATACATTAGGGGGTCAAGCTGCGACGACCGACCGACAATGGAGTCTGCACGTCGCGCATGATATTGCATGGAAACCGGAGAGAATCCGAGGGAGCCGATATGCGAAAACGGTGCTGACTCCTCGTCAAGTCATTGAGACAAACGAGTGGCGGAAATGAAAGGCAAACAATACACATCGCTTCCCCGTACTCCAATGTCTGTATAGTCCAGACGCTGCAGCCTTGTACGCTCCGGCTAAAGAGCGCCGTCGGACAGCCTCCACTATTGACGAAAAATAGGCGCACACTGACTTAAGCCCCCTGTACATCACGCCCGATGGCCACTCCCGATCTCAGTGGCCAAAAAAAAAATACACATATCACCCACCTTGAACCATTCCTTGGTTCCGGAGATCAGCGGGATTTCGCCTATACAGTCGAGTAGTTGCTCTGGTCGCACGCCACATTCGTAGAGGTAGCGGAAGATTGCTCGCATGAATTTTGTCCACGAACCTGGAAATCAAGAAACTGTATCAGCGGGCCTCGGAATGTGTTACGATACGACTTTTACGCTACTTATGAATTCTGACAATTTGGATCCTTCCCAAGAATTCGCTTCCTAGACGAAGTCGATAACAAGTCTCGATTACAATCACAGACACCTTCGCCGGTCAGAAGATTGGAAACAAACCTTCTGAGGGAACGGAAATGACAGGATTCGACGTGGGCACGGGAAGTGCCCCAGACCCTGATAGCTCAGTTTTCCGTCGTACTCCTTTCCAGCAGGAGTGCCCGACCTGAGTCGCTCATTAGGTGAAACCCTTTGCTTCGCTCCAGAATCGGAATGAGATGAAAATCGAGCCGAGATTCCCGAAGGAATACTGAAGGATCAACCGAGCCAGTGATTCCGGCGACACTTCTCTCCATCGAACCCTGCCCGTTTCCCTGCCGCGGATGGCTAAGCGAATGATTCCACTCCGGTTGAGAATCGCAACGGTGGCGATTCCATGCGGGCGATGCACGGCCGCGATGAGCCAGCATAGGGAGCGATTCTCCAGCCGTCGAGTCAAAACCCAAAAACTCAAAAAGCCAATCAAAGTCATCGGATTCTCAGGAACCAACAACGCCTTCCATTCGACGTATTTGCGGAACGACCAAAAATTGGCCACGATGATCGTCCGAGTCGGCATTGACGCATAGCGGAAAGTTGCCTGCTCGCGATCATCCCGGAGCGATATCGGTATCCTTGAGTGTCGGTTCGATTGTGAGAATACCCGCGGAGTCGGCAGTCACTATTTTCGGGGCTGCGAGAAAGCTCTCCGAGAGCATTCCGAGCTCTGGGGAAACAGTCGGGGAAAAGTCTCTGAGATTTGCTGAGACTGTATTTAGCTCACAGTTGTCAGTCTCCTTATTGGTTTTCTCTCAGCCCTAAGCTGAGCCACAGTGTAACAAGGTCCGACTCGGGGTACGCTCAACTATAATGGCTTTTTCTCCGACACGTCGGCGACTCTCCCTCAACTCTCTTCGGAGGGTAGACTCTAACGCTTCGAGATGGCGACCGGAGTTCGGTTCTCCGTCGAACAGCCGATGAAAGAGTTGTCGTGAGTTATGTAGCTTCTTCCGAGGAGAGCATCGCTTCCCTTCTGGATGTTCAGGGTGCGTTCCACCCACGATGCTCTACGCAGAGAAAATGTTTCTCGCTTAAACTGAAATCCTTTCGACAAGCGGCATCCTATCGTACTCATACAGCGAGCCTGACGGCATGAAGAGCCATCGGAGGCGCGATCAATCTCGACGATAAGTTGGAGGGATCGGCTATTCTCGGACCGTTCAGGAACTAACTCCACCAGGTCCATCAACCGGCTTCATCAAATAGTTCTCACTCCAGTTCGTTCCGTAGTTTTGTTTACGCACTCTCCCTCGACGCTGGATGCAGGGTCAGCCGGAAATTCAGCGTAGATCGTAATGCTATGTCGTGCTTTACGGCGGAAGTTTTACGGTGTGACTCTCGAGAGAAAATGCGGTAATCTGCTCCTCAGCGGTAATCTACTCCGCAGGGCACTTCAGAGAACCGTGGAACTCTTGCGAGCAGCGCACAGGCGCCGAGAAGAACGAACGGTTCTCTGGTTCAAAATTTCCTCCACCAGAAGCCACTGAAGTTGCCATGTTCGCTGGCTTCCCCTGTAAAGAGCGAAGTAGGAAGGGAAACGGGCGCTGCGCGGAACGTTGACCTTGGAAGCGCTTTAAAGCGAGTGAACGGACAAACTCAAGAGCGTTAACGGCAGGGAGATTCGAATGAGAGCCGCGCAGTGCTCCTTGGATGGAAGTGCTGACAAGCGTCTCTGGAGCGCTTCATTACGAGAATCCGAGTCCAGCTCGGCATCTTTGGGGTGGCTCTGCCGCTGGCTAGACTGCTACGTCGCTTGGTCGTCTGACTCTCTTCCCCTCCCCCTGTCAAATGCATTGGGGCGCTCGGCAGCGCGGTTCGCGGCTACCAAGATAGGAGCTGCTGCGCAGCACGACGGCTAGCACCGATCGCACACGTGGTCATCGCGTTGAGTATGGATCGGAGAATGCCGGCCCTACCTGGTTCGGAGGAACGGAAAACCGAAATGCCCCGATCAGTTAGGATTGAATGGAGTAATATATCTTCGCTCCAACTATTCGTTTTTGGTAATTAAGCGGGTTGCCGGTAATCGAAAACAAGTGATCTTCCACGAGACTCAGATGACCGATATAACTCCGCCGATTTTATGTTATAATTATCGGGAGTAGAGGATGCTCAGATGGAAGAGAGAGCAAAGCAATTCAAGTCAATGATTGAATCCGGTGAGACGGTCGTGAGCTTAGCTAGAGCGTCAGGAGGAAGTAAGTATTCGTATGAAGAGAAAATTCATTTCATGCACTGCCGCGCTCAATCCGTGAAAAGACGCCGCTCAACGCGGGAGCGAAGATTCAGATATCTCTCGGCGGGAAACTCGGGGTGCTCCTCCTGATGTACTTCGGACATCATGGCATCTCGGTTCGTTCTGACGAGCTCGGGAATCCGTGGACAAATACTCAGAATTTCTATTTCTCTCTGATTGGCGCCCAGCTCCTCGTCTCAACCCTGTCGATTTTTTCACCGAAAAACCCGGGAAATCCGTGAGTCCCCTCCGATCAGTCGCGATTTGGAAGAGAAAAGCTCGAAAATGAGGCGACACCAGATTCTCGATCGTAAGGCAAGGCTTCCACCGCAATCCGTTACGTACGTCGTGGGACGCTACCTCTTCAGTGATACTAATGATCATTACATGGAGGAACACAGATGAACGATCGATGCCGTTACGTGATCTTTCAACTCCTCGGAGATGATTATTCGCGAGTCAGCCTCCTCTCTGCGCGTTGTTCTCCCCCACCCTACTCTCAATCAGCAGCTAAAGCGTTTCACACGCTCAAACCAGTTGAGCAGGCGCCAACAACATTCGATTGCTGCGTTGATAGATCGCCACGGTGATATTTTTCCGCGAGGAAAAATGCGAGAACATTCGCCTGCCGCTCTTGTTCGATTTCCTAACCTGGGCCATGGCCACGGAATGAGATTCCGTAATATGTAGTGATATACTGAGTTTGCACCGGAAATTGTTTATCAAGCTGTCTCAGGCAGCTCATGGATTGATTCGGGCAAGCTTTCGTGAGGGAGTCGAATCCGCAGCGAACGACCCATCTGAATTTGATCAGTTTTTCCACTACGCGGAGCAGCAAGCTTCAACGAAGAATAGTATTAGTTGAGACATTTGCTGGCAGCAAGACGATGGTCTGCTGGCTCGGTAAACACGCGTCAGCCCAACTTCGAACCGAAAGGAAGGAAATAGACTCGCAGTGAGTGTGACAGAAAGCCGAGCGGAACCTCAGGGGATTTCAATGAATCACGCAGCGGGTCTCTAAGACACAACGTGATACAGCGTCGAGAATCACGAACATATACAAAACGAACGGTGACCCTCAACTTCCGCGCAATTCATTCCCATAGGGGCGAGCGAATTACGTCAACGAGCATGTTCAGAGTATGTTCCTCCATCCATTCGGGGATGCTGACAGGTAAGCAGCGGAAAACCCGTTCGTAGCGATTGACTCTTTGAAACGGATAGACCGAGCGGCGGGACGAATGCCGTAAGATCTGCTTAGCGAGCCCGATTGTGAGATCTCATTCGAGATTAGAACCATTACCAAACACTCCTCAGCTACTCGTTCTATCTCGAACACCTCGCGCTGGGTGGGATGTCCGTCGAGATGCTCGATTCTATTTCACTTTGTGAGTATCCCCGTTTCGCTAGTTGTGGTATTGCAAGCGACACGGAATGCGGGGGTGGATAATAATCAGTGGCGCAGAATCGAGGTATCTCTTGTGAGCGCCATTTCCCGTCACTCATCACAAATCGGGAATATGCGTCTCGAATGAGCTCGCGAGCGGAAGGACTTTCCTCCAGCTCTAAGGACGCTGGACTCGGCTATCTGTCAAGAGAGTCCGATACTCTTAGCCCAATATTCAAGGAAATTATTTCTACATCAGGGAGCGCTCAAAGCGCAGCTCCGCCGACCTCTCGATGACCATTTGAACTTTCGAGACTACTGAAGAGGGATATGGGCACCGGAGGCTACACGCGTTATCCATGTTGACGGAGGCCGCTATTTGTTAAGGCTTCCTGCTGTATCGTCGCGGTCACGGGGCGCGTTAGATTCAGTGGTGCTGGTCACGGAAGTGATAGCGGATGGGAGCTCGTCGCAGTCAACAACGGTCGGGAACTCTTATCGTTCATCAATGCCCGCTAGATGATTGCTCCTTATCCGTCAGCCGCAAACAAGTTTTTTGAGCGTCCGACAAGAGTCCTTAGTCGACATCCATGCATGAACGGGGAATGGCCTCCAGAATCAATCGCTCTAATGAGCCTCGAAGTTCAGTGTGTGCAAAGAGCAAAGTTCCCGTATCCGGCAAGTTCCCTCTGTCCCCGAAGACTTTTTCCTACTAGGCACTGGATGAGAATCCCCTGGGGAACAATTTTAAGTTCATCCTCTTCGCGGCTCTCCAAAAACCTCGGGCTCGGTATTCGACCTTATGGGACACTCGACTCGGAGAGCTGCGAGGCCGAAAGACGCTCTCTCGATCGGTGGCCTACCCACCATCTCAGTGAAATCGGAGCCCGAAGGAGTCGTCTCAACGGAACAACTGAGTCGGTGGAGGAGCAGAGAGAGTGAGAGTCGCGTGCCGCCTTTCTGGAATGAGCCATAGGGTCATCGACCCTCAGACTCGAATAGCGCTCCCAGTGACCAACAACGTCTCGAGCGCAGGCTCCTCCGGGCGCAATCCGGTAGCACGCTCGAGATGGGCGTCTCCCCAGATCATCGACTCACAAAACTCATGAGAAGGGTCACACGACGGTATTCCGTATCTTACGAATACGAGATAGCTTACTCACCTGGTGAGTATCTTTTGCGTATTTCTTCCGGAATTTTCTTCCCGGGGGCGAGTTTCACAATATATGTATCAGAATTTGCGTCTATCAACGTGTGGTCGAAATCTACGGCCACAAGGATTTTGTTGCTCAAAGGGATGCCTCCCGCCAGACGGATCCGCCGTCCCCTGAAAAGAATAGCAACTTTTTATTGATGATGCCTCAGAAGTCACCGGACTCGCATATCTCAAAGAGGGCTATCGGCGTCCGAATCGATCCTAACCCTAAAAGAAGCCCCCGAAATTCTTAAACAGTCTAAGACAGTGAACCGGAGGCTCTTCGACTTCTTCAGATCATTCGAGTAGTAGGCTCGAAGCCCGACCAGACTTCCCATGCTCTCACGGAAGAAGAATTTCGAACAAATTATACTTGTCGATAGCCACCACCACGGTCGTCGCTCGTGGCAGTCAATTACAATTACGGAGTGCTTGATAATAAAACTGTTATACGGAAGCGGATTTTTGCTCGGCAGCCGCCAGGACCCGGGTTACCGCTCCACCATGATATATCCTGACAAAGTTGCAACATCGAGCCGGGGTTCGGCCCGGCGAACGTTCGCTGGAGCCGAAATGCAAGTGAGGATGTCTGCGTGAATCCAGTCGATCACTGTCTGTCATACGAGGCTCGAATATGCGGGCCAGCAAAGCGAAACATGGAATCATACAGTAGAACCTCGTTATAACGGACCCGGAGATAACGGACACCCGATACAACGGACCATTCTGCACGGTCCCTTTGAGTCCATCATCAACAGTGGCTGATGGCTCAACAGTGAATATGCGAGTTGAGGAAAAGCGTTACGTCGAAGATCTTAACGCGTGAAGAATTCATGCTGATACTCGTGGCTTTCTGTGGGCGAATGAAACATGCCCAATCTGAAGATCCCAAAAAAGTGCGACCCGCTGCTCGGCCTCGGTAACCGTACACTCAATGATAGAGATTTTCTGGTGGAAACCCTTATCGGTATCGGCGCGCGTTGTAATGCATTCCATTCGACTCGAGCGTTCTAGGCTTCGCGAGCTTTGCGAAGGAATAAACTGTGTTTATCGGACGCGATTCATTGGATCGGCGAGCGACGGGGAGACAACGAAAATCTGCTCGATCTGACGAAAGGCTACATATGAATCCATTGAATCTTCGTGAAGGCTTCGCCGGACGAACGTCTCGTGCCGTTCTATCACATTGGATTGAATCGCGAAGCTATCACTAAATCTGTTTAACTTAGCGAGTCATCGCTCTCGATTGTCTTCGGAAAGTGAGAGACAGCGATCGCTGCCTTCCCATAGGTTCGGGTTCCTACTTAAGTAAGATCCAGAATGCGCCGCTCAAGAGCAAGTCTGCGATCCCGTGGCTGGGTAGTCTATAGTATAGACTCTATACTACTCAAGGAGCAGCAGTCTCGGATCTGATCTTTGATCAGCAAAATGATCTCCAGCGATGTCACTTCATCTCGTAATATCAAATGTGTGGTCTCCCGCGAACAAGTCGACTGCTTCGACACGTCAGGAAAATTCGATAGCCGGATTCTCTCCTGTCCAACTGACAGCCGGTAATTGATGCTAGTGGAGCAGCACTAATCGAGGACAATTGTTCGGGAATCTCACCGAGCGGTAACGAGATCGTGCGCAATGGCACCGCACACGCAGACGAATCGGTCCTGAACGACTTTCTTCAGTTTCTTTCGATGGCGATCCGTTTCAAAGTACAAGGTCATCTTCAACAGTAGTGCCGCCGCAGACGACGCGACGGCGCTACAGCTCAAGGCTGCGCAAGGCTTGTTTCCGTTCTTGTTTATGCTTCCTTATGCTTGGGCGCTTGGGAGCAACTCGAAGAAAAGAAGTTCGATGACGTCTTCTCGGAGGCATCTGATGTCATTGCGCGAGAGTCCTCAAAAAGAAATTCTGAGTTCCTCTCTTAGCTCAAAGACGATCTCCAACGCATTCCACGCGAGCCTTGATTGGGAAGCTCCTCGCTAGGGATGGGGACAGGGGGATCGTTTTTCCATCAACGAGGAGGTGGACCAGCCAGCTGATCTCGAGGTTTCCGAGGAGAAGCCATCCACTGCCGGCCGAAGAGATTCGTATCGATATAATTGTGTCTGCGATGGTTGGCAGCCATCAGACACCGTCAATGACAAACCTCCTTGATTACACCGAGACCGACATGGTATCGAACCTCCGATAGAAGCTCGCGGGGAGAGCCGGGAATCCTCACGGAAGGGAACACGGAATCAAGAAGACAATAACAAGATCGACACATCCGCCTATCTAGGGAATTTCGAAGACGGGGCATGGACAGGATTGTGTCCCCTAATCCGGGATCGACGGGAATGAAGATTTAGAGGAAATTCAGTCTTGCGTAGATCGAGTCCAGCCGCCCCCGCTCCTCATCGTGGCTGTCTCTGATCCTTCTAGAAACGATCGGAGTCGGAAGCCTCCTCGATCGGGTCGGTGAGAGTCAAGGGGTCCCGTGCAACGCCAGTCGAATCCGCCCCCTATAGCGAACGGAAAACACTACCGCGACTGCCTCTGATGCACTCGCGTGCGTCGCGCGGGAGCTCCCGCGCTCGCTGAGGATTCACTTTTAAAAAACAAAAGATGTTGTTCGCGGTAAACTCCCTGAGTTGTCTCGAGGTCAGGATAACCTCTCTCGTATTCCTCGGTCTGATGGCCTCGAAAGCACAGTGTCGCGCAGCCTCAAAAAAGGCGGCAGTGACACTAACACTACGTTGAGATGGAATCGAAGTCGATAGACACGAAATCAAGCTGACGGTCTTAGCTAACACGGCGCCAGTGTATCGTATGCAAGATAATATCGAGACTTACAGAACCATTTCGAGCCGCAGACAATTCGGGTTGCTCGTCGCCCGAAAATTTTACGCACTAGGAAACGATGTGCTTCAATGATAAGCGTTTCACGAGCTCAACAGCTGATCACATTGGTGTATGACAATTCCGAACTGTCGTCTCGACGATGGTCTTGTGGGCACTGACAATTCAGGCGTCAACACCAGAACCGATAACCGATCCGATAACAAGAACAGTAAGGTAGAGCGATCGACGGCAGCCTGCGTGCCACCAGTGCGTCGGGGATCTCCTTTGTATTTCTTTACCCTTGCCACCGTGGCGAGGGCAGCTCTACTTCCACAACAAGAGAGAGAGGGACGATAAGAGTATCGCGGGAGAATTCGAAGGTGCATCGAGCAACAGATTTTCCGGCTCAATAGATTCAATCGCGGCATCAGATAATGGAGCTGCTCTGTGAATCGGGTCCAGTGGAAACTTTTGTTGTTCGAGCGAGATGTGTCAGATTGGACAAGTGAGAGCGAGGATCGACGACTCGCTCACCGGGAGTGACATCGTCCCTCCGCGCTTAGAGTAACATCCCTTCTCGTAGTCAATCCCGTTCTGGAAAAGATCTTGGCCCTCCTCACCTCAGCCTCCATGCGGAAAAATATCATAAATATCGTCTCTGAGACCTCAAGATTGCGTATTCCTGGGTGTGGGAGGGGGGAGGAGGGCTTACCGGCAGATTCGAATCTCCCGTTGGAAAATTTCCTCCGAAAAGAGCTTCTCGCAGATTCGAGCACATACCGCGGGATGTAGTTACGGTCGTTCGAGTCTGGAAGCTCGGTGATAATCTCCGTCTCGAAGCTGGGGGCTCTCGTCAAGCGGATAGATGTGATTTCGCGGCGGCGTGTGCTATAGAAAGCTCATCTCCAAGACAACCCCCGTTCCGCGGGGTCATTTTGTCAGAGAGAGCGCGAGAGGCGAGGAGAGATTCTTTACCGGAGTCATCCCTCGATTCGACTTGAACGGATAGGGCTCCGACTCCGGCTCAGTGGTCGGGAACAAGCGCCGGCGCCACGTGATGACCCAAAATTTTGATGAGTGAACTCACCAGATAAGGCGCGCAGCGGCGACCCATATGTCCTCTGTGCTACAAGGTCTACTTTAATTTGTAGCAGCTCTTTCTGGGCCACAGGGAGCGGGATGGCAAGCGCTTGTAGGTCAGCGATTCCTCCAAAGCCAGGGTAGATCGACTATCTCGCGTGTTGTTCTAATAGGCTAAGAGAAGATTCCGGTGCCCGTTCGGCGCCGTTCTATCCCGGAGTTTATATGAGGGGTATCCAGGACCCGCTGTATGGAACCGCCACTCACCATGAGTTTTCCCAACCCGGGCTCGACTTTCTCCAAGCGTCTCTCCTCTGTCTCATGACTAGTACGACGTCAGAAGGGAGACAAGCTCCGGCGGCGGCGTCGCGAAAAGATGACTCACTTAGCGAATGATTCTCGCCTCCGATATTTGGAGTATACTGGGAATCATCTATACTTCGGTCGGTGATTTATAGCAGTGAAATGTACTGTAGTTTGGTCCAGCTGACCAAAATAAGCAATCTTTTCTTGTATTCGACATAAGCACTCGTGACTCCGGGCCGGCCAGTGGTCACCGGGCTCGCAATCAATATCATCCCCCCGGTCGCCTTTGATGCTCACGGATAGATATATCCTCAATAGCGGCCTTCGGGCGAAGGCGGGATTTCCCTATCGGGCGAGTGTAGTCTCACGACCGAGAATCGGAGCTGCTAACAATGTTCTGTGGTCCACTAAGTCAGCCACAGCCACAGGGATTTAGCCGACATCGGAACTCCGTATGCCCGGAAGCGATTGGAACTTCTGCCTTCGCTGATGGAGTCCACACGTCGGCGTCTTTTTCCCGCCGGCGTCTAAGATATTCAAGATCGAGACTGAACATCGCGAGCTAAGTAGCGATTGGAGTCGCGAATATTCTACCCCACAAAACTTTCCTGGCGTCTCAAGAGTCTCGAGCACGCCTCAGAACCTCCGCTTATGATTTCACCTCTAAGCGACGAGCGTCCTCGATCCATCTGTCGATATTGAACCGTCCATGAGCAAAGTCTTTTTGCTCGTGATGCCGTTGCTTAGGCTCATAAAGTGGCGTGGGTGATCGCAGAATATCCTGTTATAGAGACTGCACTCGACCGAATCTCCCTGATCAATCAGGGGTGCACCCTCACTCGGGATCATGAAGCGATAGAATCCTTAACTATTTCGGCACGGCATTGGATCGGGGTCATGAGGAGGCAATGGTTTATCCCATCGGAGGCAATATCTACCTGACCTGCTCACGTGGGGCTATGAGGACGATTCCGGCGCGCCAAGTGAGAATTCCGACTCAGGGCCGAGGATCTTGTGGGGGAAATGTAGTGGGGAGCTCAGGGGTTCGAGACGGCTCACGTCTCTGCATATTCCTATAAGTTGCCATTTTTCTTCGGGAATCGGCCCAAGAGTAATCGCAGCCCCCTTCCCCCTCCCCCCTGCGACGCTCCGGAAGCCGTCGATGAAGTTCCTACATCGTGGTAGACCTTTGACAAGTTCGGAAATCGGCGCATGGCAAAATGCTGACCCTGGAAGCAGGTTACCCGCGGGGCTGGACTCGTTCTCATTCAGTGTGATCAGGCTCTCTAAGTTCAGTACCTGGAACGCATTACGCAGCGTCGGCTCTTCCAAATCTTTTTTCTCGGGAGGAGAAAGGGCGGCTCCGTCCGATTCTCCTGCCGTTCCGGATCCCGTAGGGGAACGAGTCGCTGAGAGTGTCTATTCGATCCGCTGTAGCGCTAGATATTCCGGAGCGGACTTGATGTTGCTGTGCACAGAAAAGACGAGGCGTCTATCATTGCAAAGTGAGTTTTGGTATTCCCATTACGTAAGAAAGCATGATCGCGGTTTGGTATCAACTTTTCATCTAAGGGCCTCGAAGACCGGGCTCGTGCTTCCGAAATTACACCCGATGACTTTCGCGCAGGTTCGAAGCAATGTTGAGTTGCTACTTGGGTGTAGAGCTGTGGAAGGAAAATCTCTCTGCCGAGTTCCGCATCCCCTCCGAGTACTCATACGCATATTTCAATCATGCCGACTCCACCAATCTCCCCCAACAGGTTAGGTGAGCTGCAATATCCGTGGGAGCACTCGTCGACTATTATTCCGCCTTGGAAGTCCTGCGGGAAATAGACGCTCCCGCGATCTGGAATCGAGAATCATGGAAATGAACAGGACTTGATGTGCTGAGCTGGAGCTAGGGGCTGAGGAAATGCTCGAGTTTCGGAGCGCTCGACATTGGATATTGGTTTGGCTGGGAACAATTCACGGCATTTTTCGCGAAAACTCACGGCAATTCCCACCCCCAATCGACTTCCTTTGGAGGATCGCCGGAAAATACCGTCACGGATTCACGGCTTTTGGCGCGACCGCGCCAACTTCCCAGCCCCAGATATTGGTATCTCAGCCGAGAAGGAACCGATCCCGCAATGCTGTTCCGAGCTAAGAACGGGAGAAACCCTTGCTGGTTTCACCCAAATGTATCGGCCGGATACGGACAGGGTAATGAGCTCATGAGGACGAGTGATGGGAGATTTGAGATTCGATTAGACATTTCTTCCTCAGAGATTTGCGATTCGATTCCACCTTTCTTCTGACGCAGCGGTTCACATCAGAGATTCTTGGTTGTCCGACGAGGTCTCCTCTCGGAGAAACTTATCCAATGACGTCGGCATCTCGATGCAGGTCCTCGCCAATGAAACTGCAAGTCGCTCCGGGAACCCGATAGGGAGAAGGCGATCACGGGAGTCTCAGGAGAGCAAAAGTCCCGCTGGATGAGCTTCCTATACGGTTTCTTCCCATAATCACTATGTTCGATAGAAGTGGAATTCATGGAAAATCTTGAGTCATGATATTCAAGATCAGGTGACGTGATTAATCAAGTGTGATAAGGAACCCTCAGAATCAATCAATTCCGAGTGAGATTCAAGTGAGATCGTGCTTCGCGTGAAATAAGCCGCAGAAACTTACGAAAATTACGGGAAATTTCAAGGATCAGGCCAAATTTCAACGTAATTCTTTGGTGCTCGCTCGCACCGTCTCAAATCACAAATGAAGAGTAAAAGACCGCTCTCAGATGTCGCTTCGAGGGGATTCTTCTCAAACCCCATTGGTCTATCTGATCGCTGTTTCGAGTCCTACCATTAACCGCGTGCACCCGTTGATCCGGCAACCCCTTTCCGTGAGTCGCCCACCTCGAAGTTCGCCTATCGACGTTCTCACTGATGCAACGCTCGCACATATCGAAGCCTCGACTCGAATCTGGCGGAAGTTTTCAAGATAGGGTGGTCGACTTCTGTAGTCGGGCTACGGATAATTGAGTCGATTGGCTAAGGTCGGAGAGGAACGAGTCTTTCTCTGGACCGAGAGAGCGCCGATGACGCGACGCGCGACGGGAGGGTGTGATGACTTGGCAGCACGCCTATCTCGACCCGAACTCGGGTTTCTGGCTCGATCCGAACCCATCCCGACAGAGCGTGTATGAATGCATGCCTACCGCAACGCCGCTCCCATCGAGCCGATAGCACTGTTACTTTCTTGGCCAATTTTGTCGCGTTGATCGCGCACTTCCGAAGACGGTAGAGGAGACGAGTATTCGTTCCGGCCACCACAATGAACGCGGCACAGCGACCCCGCGATATTGTTCTAAGGTGACTCTGGTTGCTATAACCTGTCTATAATTCGATTCCCTCGAGGAATATGATCAAGTAATTGATAATCGATCGATGGCGAAATCAGAGACTATTCCACCTCGTTTCGCGAACCCGATCTATGCGGGAGGATTCGAGGAAAGATACTGAAGGATACTATTCGGAAGCTCCCCCGGTTTTGAGGAACTGCTTCTGATCATTTCCCTCATCGAAACGGGTCATCGTGACCACTGTCTCCGGGCAACGATTGGCGATGACCGCCCTCCTGTCTCGTGACCTCGTGACTAGCATTGCCATTATAGCGTGGTCAATGTGGAATCGACATTATGATCCCTCGTAACAGGACTCGTATGATCGATGGAAAATTTTCGAATACTGAAAGTCCTTCTCTCGCCAACAAAGTTGGCAGTCCTGAATCCTATGCAATAGTCATCCATGTAGCTCAATGATTGAGCAGAGGTGGGGTAGATTCGAGGGTCGCGAGCCATGCCCTTCGTTCCTCGAGCTCCCCGAGCACCTTGTTGGACTCTCTGGAATCGATGCTGAGAGTAGCATTATGACCGTCGATGGAGCCTCCCTCTGTCCTCGAATGAGCGAATCGCCCTTTGTTCTTCAGCGTCAAAATTACGATTCGCAGCTGCTTGATCTCCGCATTAGATGAGCCTACTCGGAAGCGGAATCAGGTGAGGAAAAGCGTCGAAAGGTCGCGAACGGACAGACGGACACAGCGCTTGGGATAGAGTGATATGAGCTCAGTGTGGCGGTTGAATTTATTCATCGCTAGCTTTATTCCGCCGCCGAGTCCGCGTATACTGATCCATTGCCTAGATCTGGTAACTCGCATCTTCTCGTGGGATCAGAATTTCTCGTCTTTTTGTGTGCCTTATCTCCCTCAAGATCTTCTGCTGCAGGAAAGCAAATCCGCCACGTAGGTGAATGAGCATCCTTCCCGTTTGAACTCGAAACCTCAGGTTGGAACAAGTGCGGTCAAGAGCTATTTTCTGTGAGCACGAGGGCAGCTCTCGCCGAGAAGGAATTCGACCTCCGTTAAGCAAGCAAACGAACGTCAGAGCGAGCGCGGGCGACTTTGTATCGAGATCTTATCATCGTGTGCTATCCACCCTATCGATAGAGCCAAGAAGTTAGCGAGGAGTACAAAAACCTCAAGAGCTCTTCTGCGGCTGCGAACGTGGCTTCTCGTCTGAGGGGCTCTCGCTGAGCTGTCTGGCCGACTGTCCAACCGAGCGGCCGATGAGCGTCCAGACCGCCAACTGGCTCTATGGCTAGTTAGGCTAACTAGCAACTTGAATGAGTCGCTGACTCCGTGGCTTGCATTCTTTTGTCGACGAGTGCGCACAGCGAACGCTAACCGATCAGATTGCTTTCTCGCGTCCACAACAGGCTAGATAACATCAGCGACCAATCTTCTGCCGTCCCAGCTACCGCCGCTTGTAACGAAAGCCACTCATCATCAAGAAGATGGATGAATTTCTTCAAGGAAGCGAGACTGATCTCCGAAGGCAGCCAGAGATTCGGAATGACGGAAATCCCCTGGTGACCGCCCCCGGCCTTCCCCTGAAGGTCTAAACGTTCTGACCCTCTTTCGGAGACGATCTCTGAGATCAACGTGTCTCAGCGAGAACAGGCTTCAGCTTCAGACCTATCGACTGATGCAGTCGTTGGCGGAAGGACAGGATGCCTATCTGGAGGTCCGTGGGGAAACATTCTCCAAGAAACACACAGCCCCGACTCTAGTTCCAGATTGCCTCCGCTGACGGCCTCCGACAAGACCCAGTTCCTCTCCGGAAGGGGTCCTCGCCCCGTGTACAACGGGATCTTTCTAGTAGTTCCGTCGTGGGAGGTTTTGGCACTTAGCTCATCTGAGCTGCTGGTTAGCGGAGATGCATCCCCCGCTTTTTAGGGTACATATGAAGCAATGGAGAGCGATGCGGTAAGCCTTGCTAGGCAGTCTTTCTGATAGTTTCGCATTCGGGCACGCGCCTCCCTTGGTAGTGAAGGGGTGTCCTCATTCGTGAGGGGGGTCCTGTACCTAGTCCTTCCTCGACGGCCAATCGTTCCGCAATTCGAGCCCTGCTCACGAGGGTACACCCGAAAGCATCCGACATCGCACTTGCGTTCCGTTGTGGCAGCCCGAATGCACGGAGTGAGGATATTGGCAACCTCCCTCGCATCCTTCTTCCTTGCATCTCGATATATGGTCGGACAGGGCTCTGGTAGCTTAAGCCTTATTCTTGAACATCGGCGACGCGGTCGCGTTATTATGAGGTACGCAATGCCACTCGGTGAGTCCTGCTTGGGGACGGGGGAAGTTGTGACCATCATGCAGCCCATGCAAGGCTCTCTGGTGAGCTCCCACGATTCCCGATCCTGATGATCCAAGCTCATGGAATGATCGCCTAGGGATTCGGATCCGGAATATCTAGGCGGAATATACAGGCGGGGATATTCGAGACTTGAAATATTCGTCGGAGGGCTGCGCGAGCCTTCCTCGTTATGGCCACCGATTACTGGGTGAGAAAGAGCGACCGCGATAGTTATTACTTTCGATGATATCGATCTGGATTCGCCTTGATGTCTTCCACTGGTCCTAGTTCCGCTTTCTGCCTCGCATGAGAATGAGCCGATTCGCGAACTTGAAACCAAATTGAGGGAAGCCCTCTCCGGTGGTCACTAGCCACCACCTCTCATCTTCTAAGCCATCGGCGATCCGATCGCTCTGCGGCACTGAGGCTCGATTCGCTAGGAAAAAGCAGCAATCTGAGTTCCAATGACTGTATCGCTGATGCCAGAGTGGAAGCTTTCGGAAGCAAGCCAAATCTGCACAGGGAACTCTCACTGTCAGACCTCCGACTCACGTTCGATAAAAATTACCGTAAATATTCTAATTGAAGGGCATGCCCGTCTATTTTTCGACCCCTCCGAGACCTGCCCGTACGGAATCCGGCCAGAATAGCTATCCGAGAGAATGTTTTGGAGCGTGCCTTATGTCGAATCATAAGTCGTCATCAACGACGGGCTGGCTACTTGCAGACCAAGGTCTGTGAGCAATCGATGACACCACAATCAGACTCAGAAACGAGGATGACACCGAACAATCAGGGTAATCTGCAACGCTCGTTGAGATTACTGTCGCACTGGACGAAGGAAACACTCGGTTCGCTGCTCCCCAATGAGGACTCGCAGCCTGTGACACCGGCGGACCATCGACCTGATCGAGTCCGCTCACCGCACTCGAGGATTTTCTCGCCGAATCTTTTGAAGATCCCTCAGACTCCGGTCCTTCCGCGGTGGCAGTCGGACGACCTTTTCTCGCTCGATCGCGATCGTGGGACCTGTCACTGTTTCCGCAGAGCCTGTTCCAGCCCGAGCGCGATAAGATGACGGCGATCGCCGAGTGTCGGTTTTCATTGGCGTCGAGAGAACTAGAGACGTCGAAAGACCGAGTTGTATACAATTCATTCGCTTGCTCTGCACTTTACACGAGCATAGATGCTCGCAGTAGTGACTCGAAAGTTATTTCTTTCATCCGCAACACAGAAGGTTTCCCTTGATAACGATCGCAACGGGATCGGCTCGCTCGGCGCTCGCGTTTGAATTCATAATCTTGAAGTTCCGCCCCACAACGAGACACCCCCCTCAGAATCGGGAAGAGGAAGAGAGGAAGTAAGTTTTCGGAGCTCGCGGAAAAACGAGAACTTTTTTCGACGCTCGGTTCTTGTGTCATCGAAGAGGTTCTCGGTCCGCCGTCTCTTTTAGTTAAGGCTGCTCGGGTCGACTTTGGATCGGAATTTTTTTTCCAAAGCGAATCGAGCCGCGTTTCGAAAACATTTATCCGAGATCTTCAATCACGCGCACAACGGAACACGTGGTGTCATTCTTATCCACGAAACGAAGCGTGACAAATATGTACACGATTCCTGACTCCTAATGCGGAGGTCTGGCTGGAGTCCGTGAACTCTTAGTGGAGCCTTTCGAAGCTCGGGATGAATCGACCGCAGCGAAAGCCAAAAAAGGACCTCCTGTTCGAGTATCTCCAGTATGTGACACCATGGGGGCTAGCGACTGAAGTGTGACGAGCTCTGAACACTTTCGTTGCCTGTAGCGAAGTCCATTATCGTCGAATCCAGTTGCACTCTACGACGACTACTGCCTTCGCCCCTATTGTTCGCTGTACAAAGCAGCACAACCGACCGAGAGGGCGAACTGTTCTCTTGGGTTTCTCGACGATTCCGAGCCCTGAGCTAAACGTCGCCCCTCGATTCGGGAATGGAGAAAACCGACTTTCAATTTCGTTCTTTTATCCAGTCAATTCATTTATTCGACATCGCATTCTGAACTTACAAAACTATAGCACACATTAGAAAAGACACAACAAAGTTCTCAATCCGCGTCTTCTGGCAAGTAAAATACAACTAATATTCAGACAATAAATACAATGACGTCTAAGACTCGTCTGAGACTTTTCCGGACACGGCTGCCGGTGAACTTCCGGAGGCAACATCGGGAGGTGTCATTTCAGGTATCCCGCCAAAATTGCGCCGAGTGTAGTGACGAGGCTCGATGCTCCAACTAGGCACCGACGGGGCCGGGAGCGTCTCTATATTCTCGAGTTTTTCTACAAAATGAGTTCCTTAGCGACAGAACTTCCCCGGTCTGTTCCTCGCTGGTGTCCCGCTCTCTCGGCTCCCGGACCTGAGCCTGACCAGCGTCCTTGATTATAAATAATAAATACTCCTCGGGAACTCCGTAACTAACGGCTGATTCTTCATATATACATTCTACAGTGGTTCGTTGTGCTCAAGTTGAAGCACCTTCCTGTTTTACACATGCGAGTTATCCATCAGGCTGTTGTCGTCGGCTTTATGCAATTGAGTCCTCGACTCCGTGGATGAGCCGGCGAGCACCGAGGGGATTTTGAGTTGAGGCGGCGGCGGTGTTGGAGGTGTAGAGTGATTCTCGGCCTCCGAGGTGGCTTGCTGCGTTGTCCGCTCCTCTATCGCGGGGACCACGTGAGCTTCCAACGCTACATCGGGCACGCTCGCCTCGCCTAGAACAACAATCATATTCTCTCTTCAGAAACTTCTCTTGGAGGACCTCTCCGAGCGAATTTTTCTGTTCGTGACCCCATCCGTCTGGGTCCACCTTAAGCCGCATATCCACAAGCAGGGAACTCACCGTAAGGGTTGGGTATGACGATTTCATCGTCGGGCTCCACGGAGTTATGGAGCATGTCTTTGCTAATTGGGCACTGCTGGCAGCGACCTTCGTGCAGTCCGTAGTTTAGGCAAGTGCTGCCAACACATTCACAGCAGCCATCGTGAAACCATCTGGGGAGAAGAGATCTCTTAGAACCGACGAACATTTAGCCTAAACAAATCACTCAACAATTCTAAAGCCGTTTTGCTGTGAGCAGCACCAGAAGCAGTCTGACTTTCCGCCCTGAGAAGAACGTCTCGATTCCTCTCGGTTCCACTCACCGATAGCTCGAAGCTCCGAGACTCATGCAGTCTTCACGGCATTTATTGAGGGAGAGACAGGTTTTCATGAAGGCCACCGTACAGTTGACATCATCGCTTTTGGCGTTCGAATCGTACGTCGGATTTATGTCGATCGGTGAAGGAGTTCCATCGATCGAACCATTGGCCCCGACAGGATGCGGACTGACTAGAAGAAGAATTCCGGAACATTAACATCCGGTACATCTCTGCGTTCTCGGAGTTACGCTCCCCCTTCTCATTTTCGTTTTTACTCACTTCGAACGAAATGCAGATCCTTGTTCAACCCGATCACAGTGTGGTGAGATGGGAACGAGAGCGACGTCCATCGGCCCTGCGATGTTTCAGGACTTTCCATGAGCATTTGGAACAGGGCGGGCACCGGTTCAGGGAGATCTTCAACGTTCGACTTCTGATTTAGGGAGAAGCTGTTCGCGTTGTCTTTTCTGCAGACATCTACAAGCGGAAAATACGAGAGCATGAGCGGTGGGGCTCGACCCGATAAAGATTCTCCGAGTCGAGTGGATCGGAAGAAGTGAAGATGCGAGCGACACTTCTACGGAGTGCTAGTGGATGATCAGCGCTATATCCTCAATTTAATGACAACATTAAGATACCAGCGCTATCTACAACAGAAGATGGCGCTTTGAGCCGTTTTCTCTTGAGACACTCCTACATCAAGAGCGCGACACCTAAGCAAGTCCTCAAGATTACTCACCTACGCACGAGCAGCATTCGGTGTAGAGGTAGTCGAGGCAGTAGAAACAATCCCGCGCACATGTGATGTTATTGACGGCAGGGTTTGGACCACATTTACAGGATTGTGTTAAAAGGCATTTCGAGACCACGCTTCCACAGATGGACTCCACACAGCCTTGGGGCAGGGTCACCTTCTAAAGAGAAAAGGAAAGGACGGTGAAAACAAGCTATATCTAGGAGGAAGTCGACAATACGAGCCCGACAGAGCGGGAATCGATCGCCTCTGGATAATAATCGGAGGCATTCATTTTGTCGAATTACTCGAATATTCGTACCTCTTTGGTTTCTGTCGCGACCGTCGTAGAATGCGTCAAAACTATGGTGTACGCGATGATCGCCGTACCGAAAGCAACGATTTGACCTCGTGATTTCATTTTGACTGGAAGATAGAGTCGTAGTTAGTTAAACCGCTAACATTGAGTACGAAGCATAGGAGTAGCAAGCATCTCCTCTGAGAAGAATCGACGCTATACAGCCTGTCAATTGGATTTCGCGGAACATTCAGCTCGTCCGTCGGACAGCTATCCGGTCAGAGTGAGCCATTCGAGCCGAAAAGCTATCAGCAGCCTGAAGCTCTATTTCAGCCGTCTTATCTCCCGGGGAAGGACCTCACTCGCCAACCTTCGACAGGTTTTCAATCCAATAAAACTAGAGGCGAAACAAGTTCTTCATCCCATGCCCCGGATGCGGCCAGAGTCGTCCGAGTAGGTATGGCGTTGATTCGGATGAAACAACTCAATTGTCGCAGTGAGCAAAGTTTCCGTTCTATATGGCAATTTGCCATGAACTTCCCCTCAGACGGTCCGCCGGAGCCAGACAGACAGTCTTCTAGCACGTCTGACGGTCGCTTCAAATTCGCTCAGTCAAATGGCCGGGCGACCCGCTGTACGGACTCCGAGTTCCGTGAAGTGGCGCATGCGCGAGATCTGGTCGACTACACGGTAGTCAGCAGTGTTATTAGTCGCGCCCATCTTCGATTCGTACCCTAAATCCCCGCCGTTTTTCAGCGAGCCACATAATTAATTGAGTGCGGGGGTGAATGAGGAGCCCTTTACTGACTGACCGACTTCAGACAGTACTTCCCAGAGACAATCAAACGCGAAAACGACGGGTCAACGATGCACTGTCTAGCCAGACAGACTATCTCTTGGGATCGGGTAGGTGCCGATTTCGCGTCGTGATAGACAATCCAATCAGACACCAAGCAATGTAGGTGGCACCGAAGTTTTTGAGAGAGAGCGAACGACGGCCGCATCGTTTATTGTCATATCTGCCGAATGTCGTTTCTGTTAAGGCGAAGGACCATTTCGATGAGGGAGAAACGTGACTGAAAACATCTCGATCACCGATGTGGGTACATTCGTTTCCGTGGTGATCGACCATTTGACGTGCGTTGCTTCCCTCGGTTCCCCTGCGTCGATGGACTCTTTGTGCGTCTAGGTACCTGATGGAGCTCTCGACAATCTGCAGTGTCAGGGGAGCCGCTAATGGAACTCGGGAACCTCGTCTAATCGTTCCGAGCTCTCGGACTTCCTCTCTGTGTGGACAAGCTCTCAGGATTCATTTCGGAACTTATCATTGGAATTAGTAACTAAAGACGTCCTTCACGGCTATAAGTCTGATGACGTCGAAGAAGGAGGCAATTGTCTCAAATCGAGAATCAGCACGCCAGGCAGCATGAGCTCGCACCGAAGTCACAGTTTGACTGGGGAATTTACGCACATAGCATTGCGCCGACTGGAGGTCAACGTCGCCCGAAGTTCTTCTGGAACTTCTGGCGTTCAACGTCCAGCTGAACGAAAACAAGCCGACCGGCATTCTTCTCTGTGAGAAGCTGATTTTTCTCAAGAGGATATCGCTCCCTCTTTAGGCGCATGGTTCGGCAGATACTGTTTTTCGAGAAGCCGCTCGCTGGGCTGACAGGTTGATCTTCCATCCTTCCTCTACCAAGGCTGTGGAAATAAAGAACAAGCTCCGAAAGACTCACCAGTGAGAATTCCCTTTCTTCTAGAATAGATCAAGAGATACGATTTCCTCCTCGTGATGCTTCAAAAACTTCTGGGATTTCTTAATGTCTCGTTTTCGAAGACGAGCACTTTTCCGACCACAGTGAATACGGTAGATCGGGTCTAAGTTCAGTCAGTGGAATCGATGGAACAAATCAGGCTGCTCCGACGATTTATCCGCGGGGTTGCACTCACTACTCAAACCGCGCACAGCATTAGTAGAGCACAGTGTGAACACATTCTCTGCATCGGTGCAGTTCGCGCTCGTGGATGGTCAACTTCCTTCCCGTTCGCCGGCTCACTGACTCGACAACACATGAACATGGGAATCTGGATGCATATATGGAGATGCTGTTTTCCGTTCCACTCCTCGCGATGGCTCCCCCTACGACAGGGTGACAGAATTCAGTCAACAGCAACAATAAAAACGACAAGTCGAGTGCTTGCGATGACTCGGAGCAGCAGCCGCAGTAATTGTGGGATGAGGAGGGGACGTCAGCGATGACGGTGCCAGTCGATCAGGAATTATTTTTAGTCCTTGAAAAGGTTCCGTCGACACTCGCGCGTTCTTCCCCACTTTGAGCTCGAGAGCGGTTCACAACTCTGAGTAAGAGCGTTTCTATATCTGGTAGCTCTTGATGTGTTCTGCGGGTGCTGGACGACAATAGATGCGCGTTTGTCTCTCTTGGCAGGCTGGATGGGTGGCGGTCGGCAGGCTGGCTGGCAGGCAAACGGGCTGACTTGACTGACTGAATGACTGACTGGCTTCCTTGCTGCGTCTTCGGAACAGAATGCTGCATATTTTGAGCTAACCAAGAATAAAAAAGTGGAAAGGAGCAGCCACCACAGCCCTCTCCGGGCGGCAGCCGTTGCAGCCGTACCAGCCTGCTTGCCTGGCTGCCCGCCCGTCCGCCCGCTCGTTCGCTGACTGGCTGGCTGGTTGGCCTGGTGCTGCCTGTGTCTATGGAATCGACTGGTAGTCGGCGACGATTGCCGCAGCCTGTCTCGTGCTTGCTTGCTCGCTTGCTCACTTGCTCTCTACGAAAGAGTCACGTCGTCTTTCGTCACCGACGACTTGTTGATTTCCTGGCCGCAAACCGAGGCATTGGAGCCTGACGTCCAGCAAGATCTTCACTCTCCAGCGGGTTCGAGCGGGAAGAACTCCCAAGAGGGGAGGAAGCAGAATTTCCAACCTTCCGGCGAATTGCATGCACAGAGGAATATCGCAAGGGGACTGCGAGGACATGTAGCCCCCGCGATCGATCGGCGCCAGTTTCCGGGAGTCGGATGGGAACAGGATTATCTTCCAACAGTTCCGACTGAAGGTCTCGAGACGATCTTGATATCGCTCCTGATGGAGAACGTCGCTGCGAGTTCGCGAGCCATAACGGATTCGGTGCTCTGGCGCAGTCGGTGAGGGTTAGACGCTGTCAAACGGAGCTTTCGGGCATTTCGGACGAGCCTAGAAGAGGGAACCTGGAAGATCAAGCGTCAAGCGACCTACCCAGCTTCCCTCCGGCAGAAGGCCTCCGTGTGATACTGATCTGATAACGGGGAAGGTAATGGTGTGCGTACACATGGGATCGGGCTATATCTCGCCAAGAAATCTCCCCGGGTTCGAGAATGTTGTTACACCGCGTTTCCTTCTTTGAGAGCTCATTCCAGAGTCATCAATTGCAGAACTTTCCCCACCGAGTCTCCCGAAGCGACATAAGAGGCGAATGATACGGAAGGAGGGTGGTGGTGATGGAATCCCCGAGAGGATTCCTAAACGGAAAATCGGGCCGTTGGTGCCGATCAGTTCTCCTTCGATACTTCATATATCTCGTAAGAGAGTGCGAGCTCTCCCGGTGTTAGATCGAAGGCTTGTTAGAAGATTTTGCGAAATATTTTGCTGCGGCGAGCATTGACTCGCTCACCGCGTTTGGAGCAAAGCTCCTTGAGGTTCGTTTTGCTCCGGCTAGCAGCCGTCGACACCTTCTCGAGCACTTCAAGAATTGTTGTTGACTCGAACAGGAAGCACTTCATTCACTAGGATCAAGAAGACGACGACGACGACGAAAGCAACGATGACGACGACGATCTTTTGTGGATCTGAATGAAGCCAACCAGAAACACAGAGCCCCTTCAGTGAGAACAGAATGCCAGCTATTTCCTGCCTCTCTCGCTCTCGTCTTAAGCGAGACCATCTACAGCCTGTTACTTCGGTCGCTTCTGTAACCTCCATTCAGGTGAACTCCGCCTCCTCTCGCAGCTCCTCGTTTCCCTCGTTAATCTTCTCGCTTCTTGAAGACATCCTCCGCTTGAGCGCAGCAACCTGCCTCAAGATTATCCTCTGGAATCCGAGGGGACACTCTCAAACATCGCCCTACAACGAAAGAATTCAGATGCGCGGTGATCTCCTTCGAGAGTAAAGAGATGATTTCCTCTGCTGGTGTTCTCAGAGTACGGTATCGAATGGCCGAGGTTCCGAGGTGGAAAGTCGTGTCAGGGTGGCTGGAGTTACAGAGCCGCGATCGAGCCAGAAATTGACCACCTGAGCTGCACAGCCGCATCGGAACCCTCTTTTTTCCTCATCATTTAGTTATTATGGAGCCCTTCGATCAAGATGTTTCTTCTGCTCTGTTTCGCCGACTTTCATATCGATCGGATTGGGCTCGCAATCGCTCGAGATCTCGCGCCGTACTTTCGGCAGAGTACGGATTCTTCCCTGAAGTCGGCCTTAGCTATTCGGGTTTTGTCTGCAGCGGGATATGAAGTTCGTCTACGAATATGGGAGGCAATTTTCGGGATTCCCAAAACGTCAGCTGATCAGAGTAGGGGATCTCAGAATGTAAGTTGACACTCTCTAACATTTGAACGATACCCGAACATGGGATGGGTCGGCTACGCACTGATTGATGTTATTCCGGGTAATTGTTTCATGTCCTCGGCGATTGCCTCGTTTCGACTGGGTAATACGACGCCATTTGAGAATAATCTATCGCGAAGAGCGCCTTTCAATTTTTCTATCTGATAACAATCCGGAGCCTCGTCGTCGACGCCGACTCATCTTTGGCGATCTCCTGCTAATGGGACGGGCTACTCTCTAAATCCAATTGGATCTTGCTGTGCACGGATCGAGATCGATTGATACCACCAAATCGTTCGACTTCAGTCCACGCTCTGACTGCCCAGGGAAGCATCCGCATCCAGTCCACTTGCACCTCAACCCAGCGAGACACCGCAGATCAACGAATTAGATTGGACGGCCGGGAGAGCGGTTTGCCCTTTCGAATTTCCCAGAATCGAAGACGACTCAATCATTTTAGAGGCCTGGCAGGCCTTCCGAAGCGTTTAGAGTTCAGAACATCAGGCCTGCATGTACT